TACAAAAACACCTTTATTAATTTTCTATATGATTCATCACGAATCAATAGAAATTCATTATAAATACTTTTCCATTTCCAATGCAAACGTAATTTTGGTAAAAAAATGGTCAAATGTGTCTCAATTTGTGAAAACGACATTTATTTAAAAAAATTCACCAAACCCTAAAACGAAATATATTTTAAAATAAAAGAAGTATGACCTACGACTCTATGAGCACATAATGTGCATATTTTTATTAGTCCATTTTTCATGATTATTTTACCTAATAAACACCGGAGGAAAAAGTTGTCAGGCTCGCTTGTTAGGATTTTAACCTTTGTTTAGCCATAACTTATTGCACACGCTCCATATATACTGTTGTACGTTTATGCTTCATCCTCCTTTTATGTACCCAAAAAATAAAGAATCAAAAAGCCAAAAAGTTGAAGGTTGTGCGCTGGTGAGAACTTAATGAACTTAAAATACGGAAAAAGAATAATTAACGATTAAACTATTCTTATTAAGCATGCTATTTTACTACGTACTTTACTGTCAAAAAATTACACATGTCAACATGGACAGGTCGCTTACATCCAAATGCCAAATCGTTTTCTAAGATCCTTCAAGAATATATATAAACCGTAATTCCACATTCTCCCCTTCACTATGAATAAAATGTATGGGAATAATATCTAAAATTTTAGATTGTATACAGTTATAAAAAAAATAAGATAATAAATGATAAACAAAAAAAAAATGATACTCTTAGTGAAATATTCACTCCATTTGAAAATGTAAGTCACTTTAGATTCTACACGTAAATTAATAAGACAATTATTTAATAATTAATTTGTGTGTTAAATTTCTATTTTATCCATCATTAATTGTTTTAGAATTATAACTAATACTAGATGAAAAGTGATTAGCATTATTTATTGGGGGCAAAATTGAGAAGTTAGTCTTTAATTTGTCTTGAAATCATAAAACGACTTATATTTTGAAATATTTTTCTAAGCATAAAACGACTTACATTTTGAAATAGAGTGAGTAGTATATTGAGAAAATATAGTGACTGATGTGTACCCCCTATTTTGTTGTCACTTTGACGTTGAAATTTTTTCTTCCCCCCTCCCAAATTACCCTTTTACTCTTAATTTATTATTGACACAACAATCACTATATATTTTCACTATTTTTCTCACTATCTGTATCATTGCTTAAAGAAAAATAGTATGTCATATTTTCAAAATAAATAAATAAAAATAATATGTAATAAAACAACAGTAAGTAATGTGTAATCTTAGCTTGGCTTATATAATACTCCCTCCATTCCAAAATAAGTGTCGTTTTAGCAAAATGAAGAAATTCCAAAATAAATGTCGTTTTCGGATTCCTATGCATTTTTTGTCAAAAATTTCCAAACATACCCTCAAAAGAAATAATATTATTGGTGAGCATTTATTTTAATGGGGTTGGTTGAGGATATTCTAGTAATTTAATTACCCTATTTAATGTTTTCTTAAACTGTATGCAAACTTTAGAATGACACTTATTTTGGACCGGAGGGAGTACATAGTCTGTATTCTATGAAATTGATTCCTTTAAACTAAACCAATAATATTTATGTACTATTTTTTGTTTCTGGAAGGGGGAATATAAGAAATCGCCATTAATTTGGCTGCTCGGGACTTCCAGTTTTCAAGAACAGCTTGAACTGTTGAACACGCATTGTATAATAAGATATCATTAAAGATTGGATTCGATAAGATAAAGAAATATAGAAAAGAAGATTGGATTCGATTACAATCAATTTTAAAATATGTTTACAATATATTACGATATATTTAAGGGTTAATTGAAGATTCGATGGAGCCTAGTTCGATTATTCAGCTTCTTTTTTTTTTTTTTGTAATTTGGTGTCACATGAAGTTTCAGTATTGAAACAAACAAAATGCCCTACTGAATTAAATAATGCTTTTAGTGCACTGAATAAAATGATATACTCTATTCATCCCAAAAAATTTTACTTACTACAATATTTTAATTTACTTAAGTGGATTTTTTTTTTTTTATAACATAGATAAAAAATAATACAAGAATTCTCTATCTTATTTTAATAATTCATCTTGCTGAGCTAGTTAGGAATTATAGTTGATTGTATTAGTGATATTGTTCAGATAAGTTGTAAGTTTGGGTCCCTATGTATACCTAATGAATTTAGACAAAACAATTTTTTTTAACGTATTTGTGTAACAGTTGGTATGACATTATTTTGACACTTGTATAGTCATTTACTCGAATGAATTTACTTATTTGATAGTCACAGTGTTAATATTAATGTATTTGACTAATTTTGTTAATGTCACCATGCGATGATCACTAGTTATGTCAAATGGCCAATACTAAAACCAATTGTTGATTTTTGTGTTCTTTTATAACAGGTTGCAATGACTATGCATTTAGTACTATTTGTTCAAAAATAATAATTATTTTTTCGTAAAACATATATAGAAATCGGACAAATATTTGGAAAGTAAAAAAATAGTACTCTCTCTGTTTCAAAATTATTGTCCAATTTGAGATTTTATTTTTAGTACAATAAAAACTAAAAATGAAATTCAAATTGGACAATAATTATGGGACAGAGAGAATGCTTGTTTTTAACTCGTTACTAGTTATTTATCACTCAAATGTAGTGTAACCTGATTCTAACAAATTCCTCGTGTATATATACTAGCTCTGCAGAAAAATGAACCGTAAAGGACGTAGAACAAAAGCAATCATTTTTTTAGGGTATTTACTATTTAGTATGTGAGTTGTGACTTGCGAGGAAGTAAACATATCAGAAATGCAGCAGTGGTAGCATGAAATATACCTTTGAAAAATAGAATATGTATAAACTTTTTCCATTTCAAAATAATAGTTATTTCAATCTTATATTAAAAAGAATTAAATTTTAAAGTTCGATGATCAACGTTGTAGAGTATGTCAATTTTGATGGATGCAGTGCTAACGTATTATACCTCCATAATGCCATACAATATAGTTTTTGCCCTAAAAGAAAAAAAAGAAAAAGGAAAAAAAGAGCAGTAATGTGTGTGTCACCTTCAACATTTGATATGTTACCTGGATAGAGTATTTAGCTAATTAACTAGAGCTAATCAATCAGCTTCGTCTGCACCTGGACGCAATTTAAGTTCCTCCAAATGAGTACTCTATTAGAGAATAAAATAACACAGGAGGTACATAATTGACAAAGTTAATTATTTTTGTCAATTATTCCGAGGTCCGAGGTAAACAATTTTTTAATCGGCTTAACGTACGTGATAAACTCATAATTAAGCTAATATAAACCAAAGCTGCTTAAGAGAAGAATCAGAATATGCCCCAGGAAGGTCCGGTCCCCCAGGCGCCAGGCTCTCTCTGAAGGTTGGTTCGGTTGTTTCAAATCAGACTAGTCTTTATTAAACTTTAAGGGCACTTTCATCAGTTCGCAGGGAAGAGAAAAAGAAATGGCCCCTTTTTTCAGAAGGGAAACACAACCCTTGAAGTCGGAAAGGACAAAAGTGAATTTAACCCTTATCTTTATAATTACCCCATAAAGAAAAACATTATCCATTCATTCAAACCGGGACCCATCTCCTTTAATATCCATCCCCTTTATTCACTAGTACATTATCAATGTGCTGCCACCTCTCTCTCTCTCTCTCTCTCTCTCCCATCGCCCATTGTTCAGTCTATATTCAATTCTATATTGATTTTTAGTACTGCTCCAAAACCTACAAAGCTTTGGACTTTGGAGTACCTAAAAATTTTTACATGTACTACGTATAATAATAATTTAAAATAGTAGTCCACTTGTCCAATTTTTTTGTAGCTATGATTTTTTGAGGTTCTTGTCATGATGGGTCATTATCAAAAAGTGGGTGTGATGAGGAAAATGAACAGAATTCACTGCCACCTCGACCTCATCCACAATGCCAAGGGGCTTTTTAAAATATTATTAACTTGTCTACCAAACCTCATGAACTTTGGGCCCTCCATTTCCACAATTTTCATGTTTCCAATCTTGCGTGTTGCATTGCACTGGTTGTTACTACTATCATTTGATACTCCCGTTGTCCCATTTTTATTTTTTTCTCGCCTTTGTTGGAGGTGGATTTTGGTGTTTTGTGTTCATCGAATTACAACAGACGATCGGAATTTAAACTTATAGATTTTGACGGAATGTAAACTTATATGTTCTGAAGGATAAGAAACTTCCTAATACTCTACTCTAGATAACTTCGTGTACTGAGTATCATACCGCAATTGAGCCCATGCGACTCTTTTTTGTCACCTGTGTTTGACTTTTTCATTTTTAAAATTATTATTTAGTTTGAATTTTTATTATTTATACTGAATAATAATTTTGAGACGAAAAAATTACTAAGCATTTTCGTGTGCTTTTAGGTCATTTAAGCCGGAAAATTTTCAATTCAACATGAAAGTTAAGAGCCATTTAGTTTATTTCAACTTGTGTACTCGACTGCATGTAGTGGATAAAAGAGCCACAAGAATTCCGACGTAGTTCGGATATTGTTACAATTTCAATTTTTTTTTATTCCCAGAAAGTTTGACATAAAATAAAAAACCTAGCCCTTAATCTGAATATCAAAATGTCGTCGGTGAATGTAACGTAGGCTCGATCCATAAAAGTCTAATAAGCCTTTAAATTTACATCCACCCTCAGATCATGCACCTAATTACCAATCTAACGGCTCATGCGCCAATTAGTAATTAGACTAATAACACGTGAATCTTGGCTAAATAGCGACCGCCGGCGTGTTTACAACGTGCAAATGCCGCATAAAATCTTGGGAATAATTAAACATATCGCACTTAAAAAAAAAAGAAGAAGAAATTAGTAATAGTAGTACTACCTCCATTCCTATTTATAAGATGGAGTTAACTAACTTTACACAAATTAATAAAATTAACACTCAAAAAATATTATAAATTCTCTAAATTGTCTTTAATAACATAATGAAGTAATTAAATTAATTTTGAATTGATTAGTTATGAGGGTAAAGAGAGGAAAAAAGTCATTAAATATTTTTTGGAAAATATAAAACTTCTTATAAAAAAGAATGAAAAAAAATGTCTAAAATCTCTTATAAATAGGAATGAAGGTAGTAGCAAAGTTACTCGTAATCACTAAACGACATCACTGTAATCTGCTGAAAAAGTCTTAACTAAAAATGTTATGATCTGAATATTTCTTTTTTCCTTGTTCTTTTGGCATCATTAATTAACATTATCATCTTGTACGGGTAATCGCGGGAAACAACAACAAACGTCCGTTAGCTGGGTTAACGTCGAATCCGACGGAACGGCACTTGACCGCAAAGTTCTGTTCTAACGGCGGTTGGTGTTGATAAACTGTCCCCGTTACAGAAGGAAAAACGTTAGTAGTCCGTTTATAAGGCCCAAGCCATTTGTTCTGCATATAACGGTGTTTCCTCCACGGCGGAAGGTGGAGCCCCCGGCTCTTCAACGATCGCCTCCCGGCGTCGCTCATCACCTTCAGAATCTGCTTCAGCTCCTCGATTTTACCGACGAAAACCTTCGGAATGGACTGTACAGCATGCTCGTATCTGGACGTCGGGCGGGCGATCTCGAACTCCTTGGCGAAATCCAGGTCTATCAAATACCTCGTGATCCGATTGAACGGGTCGGATCTGAGGACATCGATAAACTCGTAGTTTCCGGCAGTGAGTCCGCCGGAGCCGTCCCATTTTGTCTTGCAAACGGCGGCATTGTAGCCTAAATTCCTCAAATACGCCATCACGCTCCGCCGTACTTGCGACGCCGTAACGGTCCTCACGGAAGCAAAAATATCCACAGCTTTATTTACATTAGCACAAAGCACATTCCGATACGTATCGGTGGCAGCAGAATCGCCGCCGTTATTGAAAACCTGCTTTAGCTTTACCAAGTCGTCGTAACCGTCGACCGAGTCATAGACCGACGAATCGCGGTCGGAATCGGAGTCGTAGGGGGAAGAAGACTCGTCGGTTCTGGCGTCGTCAGCGAAGAAGCCGTAGACAAGATCAGACAAGCTGAGCGAAGAAACCGAGGAGTCAGCTTCGTCGGCGTCGGCGTGAGCACTGTGTTCGCTGCCGCTGCTGGCAACTTCGTCGGAAAGATTGAGCGGATCCATAACTCGTTTTATTCTGGCAAAACCAGACATTTTGATTTTGGTTTTGGGTTTGTGTCGTGGTTTAAGATAATGGAGGATAAAGCCAAAAGAGCGTAGTCTGGAAGGGAATGAGGGGAAAACGGGAGGTTTATATAAAGCTTAGGGGAAATGGTGAAATTATTAAAATGCAAAAAAGGGGATATTAAAAGGGAATATGCTTTGAGAAAGTGTTTTATTAGTTCGGTAAAGATAAACACGTATTTTTTGAAATAAATAAAAATAAAAAAAGGAGAAAAGACGGAGCCGGGGGATAATCCGGTATTGGGTACAGCTTTTGGTGAAATTTAAAGGACACGAGTACGTAAGGCAAGGGGGAGGACTTTGGGAAGAAGAGGGGATATGCTTTGGTGTATCCCAGTTGAGTTCGAAGAATTGCAGTAAATGTGAGAAAGGATATCCAAAGGAACCAAGACTTGATTCTGGGTCTCCTTTTGAGGCAGAAAAGATGATGCATTATAAAGCTTTGCCTTAATAGGATCAATATTCAATAATGATTTCCCTGTCTCAAAAAAATAAATTAAAACTATTGTTTATTGCTCATTTTGTCCCATATTTATTATCAATTTTAAATTTCACTATTAGTTCAATTTGTATTACAAATCAAAATCCAAACTGGACATAATTTCCGAAAAGAGGGAGTATGTCATTTTATTTCAACGAACATGGTCTTGTGTTCCTGACCAAAGGTATTAAAAAAATTCCTCGGTTGCACCAAAAATTGCACTAATATGTTGTTCAAGGATTAAAGTTTTGTATAATTTGAAATGTACATAAATGTAGAAGAATAATGGGAAAAAAAAGAAAGGTGTTAGATTTCGACATTATTATAAGTTACATCATTCATATGTTCAGTAATATTGCTTTAGATTTTATTATCCTATAATATATGTGTATATATATATATGTTTATGTATTTATTTTAGAAATAACGAAATGCCATGTTTTTTTACATCTTCATCTTCTTAAACAAAAAGCGGGAAAAAAAAAAACCCTAAAAACATAAGGTGGCTTAAGGTGAGGTGATTAGGCCGTGGATAGGGCCAAGTAGGAGGCCTTCGTGTGTCCAAAGAGGTGAACACTAAAAAATCACGTGGAGGGCAAGAGGCATATTGGAAGGTTCATTGGAAATGGAATTCATGGGGTGGTGGATCATCATGATGATCTGGACGTAATTTTATGCCAATTTGGGTTGATTTGTCGGGCTGATCCTTGGTGTTTTCAGGGGCAAATCGTTTCTTTTTATTATATTTGGTACTACTTGTGTAAAATGTAAAATTATCTACTGGAGTATTTTTTAGGATTATTATTCTTTTTATTTAAAATTAAAATAATATTAAAGTAATCTTCCTCGTGGTTGTCCAACGATTTAAGGTAGGTAATTATTTGAGTAACAGTAATTTCGTTGCAGTAATTCAACTTAGAGTACAGTTAACTTGAGGGTAATTCATTTATTTAGTTTTATTTTCCCAAAAAAATCAAAAATAAAAAATTAATAACACTGTGAATGCCTTTTCTTTCCCCTTTTGTTAATTATTTTTTTTTTTTGGGGAATTGGGGTAACTGGGAATGGTAAAAGCCGTACGGAACAACTGCCTGCCTTACGGGGTTAAGGTGGGTGGTGTGCATTTGTCGCCTGCCTGCCTCTTCGTATTGGCAAAGGGCTAGCCTCCTCTTAACGTATTTTTGGGCTCATAGCTTCTGTCTTGTCATTAAGTCCTTTCTAATTAACCGGTAGCTGAAGTTGAACTCTAAACAAGACAAACTTGTAGTTATATTTTCTCTTTATTTACAATATATTTCTGTTCAAATTTAACGTATATTTCATAACAAAATAACTATCGTTAATAAAATTCATTGTTAAAAATTTATTAGAAACCAAATCAAATACATTTTTTGTTCTGAAATGATTGTTCAGCTAGATTTTTTATCCCCAACAAAATTTATAAGGAACATAAAAAAATCAAACAAGACAACTATTTCGGGACAGATATAATCAGAGATTATTTGTAGTAATTTGTCGGTAGCTATTTATATATGTGGCAACCTATTACGGATTCTGGAAATGTATGTAGAACAGTAGAAGGGACACAATAGCGTGGGAAATGGACAAATGAGGATGTATTTTGGAGTTGCTTGGGTAACAAGAAAGTCTTCCACCATGTCTTGAGCCTCTCATTTTGGTTACGTTACCAATTAAAAAGTTGAGGATGCCCCCATTGATTTTTTGGGACGCATTATAATATTTCTTGTGCAAAAAAATTCTTCTATTATATATTTTATCTGGCCTTTATTTTTCTTTCCTTAATGATTTTCATTTCTGCTAAGGAAAAAATGCATTTAATTTTCGTCAAAATTCAAAGCGTTCATTTATTTTCGTTTGAAGATGTGATGTAATGGGACGCATATAGAACAAGCATTTTTAGCATGCTACATTTGTACACTTGTCAATCGTTATTGCTTGTCATGTTTCGACATATGAGTCCCAACTAGTTAAAATTTAAACCACAGAATGAGAGAGATATGGAGGGCTTAAAAGTTGGAACGTGTGCATTATCTCCCACATTCTTTTTCCCTAGATTATACATCGATCAATTGATCACACTTTATTTAATTTTATTGAAGGTGTCATCACTTAGGACCTCATATAATTAACATCTTTTTATATTGAAGAAAAAGAAGAAGAAGAAGAACCAGAGGATTCAGCCAATATTAATTTTGTAGTGATCAACTTTGAGTTGCATTATGTATGCCACTGTAATAACTGGTAGTAACACCGAGCGAGTAATTGATTCAATCGTTTAATGGTTGGTTTGTGACTGGATAATCATGGGTTCAAACCGAATAAATAAAACGTATACTCTTTACTAAAAACAAGATTTTACCACTTAAATTTGATCAAAATTTTTATCTAAAAAAATACTGACAATGGATTTTGATGGAAAGATCTCGTTACGTAGATTAATTTGATATATAACACATTTTCTAATTATTCATGTATTAAAAGATATAATTATTTGAAAAAATGGGAGAAAACTAAAAAAAATGAAAATTAGACATTATTTTCCTTACCCCTATTATTTTGGATATTTAAGTCATTTCAATTTAATTAATTTTGACTTTTATGAAACTGAACTATTTTTTTGGGACAAATTTTTTTATTAAACTGGACTATTTTTGTGGAACGGAGAGAGTATTGTACTGTACATAAGAGTTCCCCTATATTCTTGTGGAGCGGATAACTTTTTGAACATCTATAGCATATATTATACTAAGAGAGAAACCATAGAAAGAAACAAAAAAAGATTTTCTGTAAATAAAGTTTTATCAAATCGCATTTAAAATATTAGTTTAAAATGAGAAAATGAGAATTAATCAAATTAAATAGACATTAATGCACCGAAATTATTCTCCCCCAAAAGAATTTCTAAAATTTTTTTGGACTAATTTAATTCTTCCCGAAAAATTCTTCACCGAATCGTGTATATCCTTAAAAAAGAACTAGATGCTTGGCCTGGACAGATGCCCGGACGCTCCCTCTAAATTACTATTTTATTAAAATCTAATTGAATTATATTTTTTGAAGAATTAATTTGGCGTGTATATCATTTATGCTATGGTTTGGGGCTTAAAAAAATATATCTATAAATCTGAGGTTATAAGGGAATAATAAATAATTAGTTTATAAGGTATTATTTTTAATTGCTGGATTTAGGTATTTTTATTTTTTGTTTATATTAAGCATGCAAAACTATACGATTGGACATTTGAATTTGAATTAATATATCTATTTGTTTGAAATGTAACTGATCCTTATTTGTAGTAAAACATGTTTTTTTTTTAAAAAAAAAAAAATTATATAGCTTCTAATTAAAAGAGACTTACACGTGGCAAAAAGATTTCTGAAATCTGAAATATGGTGCATTGAAGCCAAAACAGATGCATACGTAGTTGCCACATAAGTTTCATGTCTTCTGCTTTAATAGGGTAAAAGGGATAAAAAAAGACTACAATCCCAATCCGAAATCATTGGGAGAAAATACCATTCAAATCAACTCATTAAATGGGAAAAATCACCATTCGATACAAACAAGGAAGTTACAATACCCCTACAAAATCCAAAAATCATTTACAAAACAATCCATCCAGTTACTCCCTATAAAACTACAAGACACTATCACCTCTATCTATTACCAATACAGTTATCTCACAAATATACTGCAATAGTTATGAATCCATTTTTCGATTTGCAAAGAAGTCATGGCCGCTCAATATGCTTTGATCCATGACCTTACGGTGAAGGTCAAATCCAATTGACAATTTAATGTAGGTGTGTCCAAAGTGTGGAAAAATGATGTAGCATCAGTTGAAGTTTTGCTAATTGATTATAAGGTTGTGTCTTTCATCTCTAATTTATCCTATATATACTGTGATTGTCTCAAGGTTAGTATTTGCCTTTTTTTATTTTATTTTATTTTATTTTTATATAAAAAAAAAACTGACTGGAATTATTGCCGATATAGTGAATAAATTCAAATGCATGTTAAGAGTCCTTAATCAAGTTTCAATTGTTATCTTTGGAATTTTATATCGATGTAATAATCAACCTAAAAATTTTTCAATTTTAAAAAATACGTGAGTCACACACCAACTAACTAATAATATGTACATGCTAAAAGAAAAGGCATGTATGGGGAAAAAAAAAAAAAGAAGCCATAGCAATTCTTGACTCTTAACATTTTTTTCTTAATAAGAAAAAAAAAAGGAGAGAATAATCCTGTATATTATATCATTTAAAAGGGCAAAAAACAATACACCTCGATAACATTGCCTTTTTCCTTTTCACGATTAACATTTCCGCATGCTAACATTTTCTTTCTTTTTGACATATTTAAGTTAACCATTACATAAATTGTAAATCAAAACATTGCCAACATCATGGCCTAAGATGATTTTCTTAACAAGATGTAGCCTTTTACAATAACAACTCACAACCATCAATCACACGAATTAAAAATAAAACTATACAACAATCCACTTTTTTTGTCCACCCAACATTGCTTGATGCAATAATATGTATAACAATTAATTTTTTCTTCTTCACATACTTGAGTTTAAAGGACTTTTGATTGATTTCAAAATTTAATATATTTTTTAATAAGTTTCATTTTCTTTTAAGCTATTAGTAAAGTTTTAAAAAAAAATTTATAAAATTATTTATTCTTACTCCACACATGGTGCGAATAACATCTAGTTAATGAAAAATGAAAATGATTGTGATATAATTAAAATTGGTCAAGAAAGAATGACAGGATGATAGCAATGATGAGTAAGTGGAAGGAAAGCATATTGAAAAAGATAAGGAATACAAAGTTTATTTTACACTATTATTGAAGCCAATCAAGGATATGTCTGGCCATTACTCTGTCCGTGACTCTAGATGTTAAGTTTCATATCTTTGCCACGTTCTTAGAAAAAAAGTTTAACATGAACTTGAAGGAGAAGATGATAACAGACTACAAATATTTGATCATGTATAAAAGTTAAATTATCCCTCAGTCTATCTCCCCGTATTTTCAATTACTTCCCTATAAATTAATAATTACTCTCTCCGTCCCAAAGTTATTGTCCACTTTGCCAAAAAAATTTTGTTCCAAAATTATTGTCCAATTTGACTTTTTATGGGATAAGTTACACTTTTGCCCTTTAATAAAAAATCCGGAGCTTTGAACTGTGAATCGGAACTCCCTATTACGCCACCGGAGCTTGCATCGGAGTCGGCAAGAGATCACCAATTGTCAGCGCCTTTGGAAGAGAATCAATTGGAACAAGATCTAAAGACGCCGCGCCTTGGGAAGGGAGTAAATAGAGACGAGATTCAGAGGCCTTTGGCCATTCAAGGTGGTGATTTTTTCGCCGGCGCCACCAAGATATAGCATGGGTGTAAGTCCCTCAGAACCAAATTCAAGAATGTTTTAGGCCATACACGGGATACCAGATTCATGAACATGGACTTATCCGTAGAGTGATGTTTCTGGCCATTCATGGTAACCAAATTCAAACTTGGCGACGGCTGTGTTATGCTAGATAGAGAAGTCCCGGCAATCATAGACTTGAGAGCACCGAAATTCATTAATCCGGACGAAGAAGAAGAATAAAGAGATTGCATAACTCTATATTTTCTTCGATTATTGTTCTTGAGTTTTGATTGATTATATGAATTGGGTTTTGAATTTCCGGTGCTAATGTGAGAAAGTAGTAAATGAGACCTTTGCCGGTTGAACAATTATTTATGCAGGGGTATATCCGGTTGTTTAAGCTAAAATATCATTAAATTTGACCAGAAATAAAATCTTCCATTTTAACTAAATTGGACAATAATTATGGGACGAAGGGAGTATATAATATCATGTTCTTTATCTTCATCGAGTGTAAAAAAAAAATGTCACGTAAATATTTTGGAAATATTCAACGAAGTCTGTACTAGTAATGCTCCTTATTGAGAAAAATTATTTCATACAGCAAGTATATCCTTTTTTTAGTGTAGCAACATACCAATAAGGAAAATTATTTCATACAGCAAGTATATCCTTTTTTTAGTGTAGCAACATACCCATTATACATGAAAATATCATGGCCCCCTTAATTTTGTGCTAACTTTCTCGATAAAATTATAATTTTACCCTATTTATGTGTCTGACTGTTCAATCTTACATGGTACAGCATAACAGCTGTGTGGAAGATTTTCTCTCTTGTTCAAGGAGGAATTCATATCTCTGACCTTTCATTAAGAATGAGTGGGCATTCTCATTCAATTGTGCGATTAGTCGGGCCGAAGCTCCGGAAACCGTAGCAGGCAACGAAAAAAAAAAATTAGAGATAAGGGCAACTTAAAAATGTATATATTGCTTAACCAAAAAAAAAATGTATATATTTTATCTAAAACTAACTGGAGACAAAGTAGATAATCAATGACATGAGTCAGCCATCATTCTTGGCCAAGGAGAGAATTGAGTTGCAGCTAGGAAAGGCAGAAAGTCTGATATTGAGAGAATTTGCCCCTTTCCCAACTCCCCTCAATGAATGAATATAGCAGATAAAGCTGACCTGACACTTGTACAACATTGTTGTACTCCATTGATCCCACAGAATCCTATCATTCAAACTCATGACACAACAAAATCCAAATAAAAAATTATAACACGAATGAATTACAGGTTGTAATTAAGCACATAAGTCGCTTTCTTTGACACATTCATCTCAGAAGAAGAATTAAACAATAAGCCAGGAAAATTTATACTTTAGACGAGGTAATGATGCTCAAGCTTATCCATTATCAACCACCACACTAGTGATGGTATTTGGTTGGAAGGAAAAGCCATGTTAAGCTCCAGAACAGAAATATGTATCCCTACCCTTTATTTCAACTACAGCAGGACTTAGCTTCTAGAAAAGAAAGGGAAGAAAAAGAAGTAGCAGTATTTATTCCTGAATAGAGTTGCTGATGAAATTCTATAACGGACAAATCTCGAGTAATATATTGATGTTGCATAGATCAATTGGGAATTCGCCTATCATTTTAAAGTATGACTGATTTAACTAAGTATAAGAGATAGTTAGTGTCCCGATGTGGAAAATGTCCGTTCCTCAAAAGCTCGAATCGTAGAGTTATGCAACTTCCTTCACACTGGATTTCAATACCGGAAACTGGCTGGAATCCATAACATCAGGGGGAGGCGGAGAGCGATGGGGAGTGGGGTGGGGAGGAGCTGGATTTTCCTTCCCTTTACTTCCATTCTCAGCCGGCACATCCCGTCTAGCCTCATTTTCCGTTGCAGGGATCGCACGTCCATTCTCGGCTGGCACACCGCGTCTTCTTCCCCTGTCTTCCCTGGCAGGGATTGCCCGTCCTGCACTTCCATTCTCAGCTCGCACACCACGTCTACCCCCGTCATGATAACCACGAAACATGTTCCTCTTGAATTCTTCAATGCTCACCGGAACCTTTAATTCAAAGACTATCTTTGTCAGTTTCATAAGGATTAATTGCCAAGAAAATGTAGTTCGTGTAACTTCCAGGAAGCACCATGAACATTTCCTTCTTACAGCCCCAGAGTATGAGATATGAAAACGGGAATGCGTAAAACCAAAAGGAAGAACAAGGCATCCAGAAAAAGTGGAAGCAAAACGAACAATTACCTTCCCCAACTTCTTGTCCTTGTTAAGTTTAACTTCTTTCTTGGGCTTTTCTTTCTCAGAATTCTAGACATGCAGCAAAAAAAAGAGGTAGGAGCTCAGATCATCGATCAACACTCAACAGAGAAGCAAATAACTAAAAAGGGCACGAAATAGAGAATTGCTCACTGAATTTTCAAGGCCAGTGACTTCTTTCTTCCTTCCAACAAGCTTCATTGACTCAAACTCCTTGTCCATTGTCACTTTTCTTTCCTCTGTCTTCAAAGCTTCCAGTGCCACCGTCTTTGCAAATAGCTGTTCCTCGTATTGCCGCAGAGTCATTAACTGTTGAGCGCCATTAAGAAGGGAAAAATAAAAATCTTCAGACTCAGCTAGAATTATAGTTGGCCAAAATAACAAGAATTGTACTCCCTCCGTCCCATAATTATTGTCCAGTTTGAGTTTTTATTTTTACTTCAAATTGTACTAAAATTGAAATCTCAAACTGGACAATAGTTTTGGGACAGAGGGAGTAAAACTTAGAAGCGGTATAATGACCTTTGACTCTTCCATCTGATCTTTAGCACCACTTTTAAGAGGAGAATCTACTTGATTTTCCTTCGGCTCTGCCTCTTTCATCTCCACAGCTCTCTTTTTCCTGAGCGAAAGTCCAGCAAAAAAGAAAACGATTAACCAGTTTATTGCCACAAGGAAACTCAACGAATTATTCAGCTCGAGGAGAAATGGAAAAAAGCAAACCACTAGAGTGAACAGCTAGTCAAACTTCTCACAAACAAATGAACTCCTTCCCTTTCTGACTGAAAGGGTAAACATTCATAGAACAGGATCATATATGTAGTCTAACTAAATAGGTTAGAAACTCTCAATAGTAGCAAAAGAAACATTTACAAACGATGTAACTGCATTGGTCAAGGCGAAAGAATGGAAAGATAAACAAGGTAACAAAAACAAATAGCTAGATGATTCTAACATATCTCATAAATTATATGAAGATGATTACCTTTCCATATTGGCACTTTGTCCCGTCTCAATATTTGGAGTGTTCACTTCACCATTTCCGCGTCTATCAAAGGACCTACTCTTATGACTCCAGTTCCCCCTGTTTCCACCTCGATTATTCCTCCTCTCCAAGCTGGAATCAAACCTCTGATTTCCAGTTTTATTGGAATCTTCTCCATAGAATCTATTCGGAGTAAACTTCTCCTGACTGCTCCCAGAATCTCCCTTCACCAAGTTGATTCCATTCTGGATGCCTTCACTAATGCTTTCATGTTGAATGCCCTCATTGATACTTTTTCTCCAGCCTCTTTTTACTTCTTGCCACTCTTCCTGGTCACTTTTATTCTCAGTAACCCTCTCCTGGCTGCTTCCAGAATCTCCGTCTACCAATTTGCTTTCATGTTGGTTGTCCTCATTGGAACCTGTTTTTCTGCCTCCTACTATTTGCCTCTCTCCCTGGACATGTCCATTGTGCTCAGTTCCAGATGAGTTTCTCCTAGGCTTCACGTTATCAGCATTATTCTGCTGGTCAATGCTATTCTTTCGGTAACCATTAGGTCCATTACTGCCAATGTTCTGCTGCTGATGACCATAAGCTCTTTGATCATATTGATTGTAACTCCTACTTCCTCTTTGTTCACTCCTGGATGGTTTCAAGCTATCAGCCCAATTCTGCTCATGAATGCTATTCTTTCTGTAACCATTACTGCCAATGTTCTGCTGCTGAGAACCATTATCCCTTCTATCATATTGATTGTAACCCTCACTTCGGCCATTAGAGTGACCTTGTCCATTGCTTGCTACCCGTGGTTGATAACCTTGCTCATTATGGCGTCTGTAACCATTCCTTTCATCCTGAGATTTTCCCCCTTCATGAATTTTCAGCAAACCATTTTGCTGGCCACCTGGAATTCCTCTTCCTCTTTGTCTCCCTGATTCAAACAAACAAGAGCAACTATAACAGCATAATCTTTGGCAGCATAACAAGAGATCTTTCAAGAGCATAATCTTAATTGCGGACATGTTTTCCAAAGTAGAAAAACTACACTATCATAAAGACCTTACAAACTTTTTGGAATGGAAAAGGAGCTTATACATACAAATTTGTTGAAAATAACAAGAGCAAGGGACAATGAAATAGTGCAACAAGCGACAACGCGTCCTCTGAAACACAAATTCTAATTACATCCACTCATCGAAAATTCATCAAACGATAGTTCTCAATAGCCATAAGTTGGCATAACGTCGAGTATAAAAAAAGTGGAATAGCATCAGAATCAAGAATCACCCCTTTTTTCCACCAAGAATCACGTTTTTTTTACCAAGAAAAGTTAAAAAGAAAGGAAAAAAAAAGGGGGTCTCAATCACCCATAGAATTTCGACTGCATGTAAATATTGGTGCAATCTTTCAACTAATCGAATTGACATCGATGCCATGATCAAGAAATATATATATATATTTTTTTTAAAAAAAAGGGCGAAATCTCAAACAGAACTGTAAGAAAAAAAAAATCTCTCGCATCAGATGTTGTAATCCTCGCATGAACAAATAAACACGTTTTTTTTTTTTTTTTTCGCGCAGAGAAGCGCATAAAAATCGAGGGAAGTTTGTAATCAATACCATCATGTTGGGGTTGAGACAGGGGAGTGCCCTGCGACGGGGAGGACTTGGCGGCTGGGGACCGCAACAATTTAGAAGAGTCGGCGGCGAGGAGGGTCAACTCCGAATCATCATCGCCAACGGCGTCAAGAAGAGCAAAAGGGTTCTTGACGTTGGACGCCATTGTATTATTAGTATAATTATATACTGTTCGGAAACAATGTCCCGAACAGGGGAAGAGGGAGAGAAAGGGAGGGTTTATGAGGGGTTTTCGAGGGTTTTAGTACCCCCTCGATATTGATTTTAATTCGTTCCAAGACGACATCTTTATATAGCACCAAAATAAATAAAGAAATCAATGCTCTAATAAAATTTTCCTTATTCAACTCAAATATACACTTCTTTTCCTTTTGTTTTGCCCTTTGGTCGCGGTGTAAAATTTCTAGAATTTTCATACTCTCTAAAAAATTACTGTTTACTAATACTCTAATGAATAATTTACTATGAGACTTTTTAAAAATTTCGTAGTCCACGACTGTAGAACTTTCTAGATATTTTTAATAATAATAAGAGGAAGAGAATTGAAAATATTTTATAAAAATTCAGTTTTTTTATGACTTTCGAATAACTTCCTCCCTCTGGTCCTTAATACAATGCATTTTGATTTTTAAGTTCCACCTGATACACATGTTTAATTAATAAAAAATATATATAAATTACCTAACAATTATGAAAACTGTAAAAATATATTTTAAAATATTTTTTTTCAATTAAAAATACATATTAGATGAAACTTAAGATAAACCAAAATCACTTATATTAAGGAACTAATCTACCACTACTTCCATCCCGTCCAATCGAGATCAGGCAAACTTCGTCTCAGTTAGGCTAATGGCAGTAAGTAGTGGCACTACGACCGGGATTGGATGTCAGTAGTAGTAATGAAGTATTATTTTTATCAAAATATTATCTTCATATAATATACTCCCTCTGTTCCAAAATAAGTGTCGTTCTAAATTTTGCACATAGTTTAAAAAAAACATTAAATATGATAGCTAAATTACTAGAATATCCTCAACCAACCCCATTAAAATAAATGTTCACCAATAATATTATTTATTTCGAGGGTATGTTTGGAAATTTTTGACCAAAAATGCATTGGAATCTGAAAACGACATTTATTTTAGAATTTCTCCATTTTACTAAAACGACACTTATTTTGGAATGGAGGGAGTACAATACTATAACTTTTACGGTTTTATCTGAAATATTTCTTAAATTTCATTTCAACTCTACAAACGAAAATAAAAGAAAACCTTTGTTTGTACAGTCCTGTAAATTTTATGAAGCCCATTCAGAGGGGATCAAGATCAATGGGCTCAAGAAACACTTCTGTGGACTGCGGTGTAGAAACTTGAGGAAGGAATGTTTTGGAATCTGGTTGTACTGAGTAGTGACAACTTCAATCAAACAGTTGAAGATCCAGCCTGCCACACATCTGCAACTTAAGAGTTCATATTTTGGGCTGAGTTATGTACCGGATCCAATTAAATTTGCAGACTAACATCGCTCTCTATTGGACTTGAAATGATGAATTATAGGCTGCTAAAACTTTCCATTCGTCTTAAAATTATTATTTAATTTGAATTCGTGCTGTTATTTTAATTTATGCTAAAAATAAAAATTTAAAATAGAATAATAATTTCAAGACTATATATTTTGTCAACCCTTTACGAGATCTCTCCAACAATTTGTAAAACATCTAGGGAAGTTTGCAGTTTGATCGTCAAGCCGCCACATTTATAGAGTCTAAAATCCTCTTTAATCTGTGCTAATTTTATTTATTTTTTTCTTGAGATGTGCCAATTTATGGAAAGATGTGAATCTGATAATGAAATGAAATATACAAACAATATAGAGAAAATAATTATTCCCTCCGTCCCAAAAAAAATAGTCCACTTTGAATTTTAGAATTTGTATTAAAACAATATAAAAATGAAAACTCAATGTGTATTATTTTCATGAGAACGGAAGTAGTAATAAATATCTACTAGTATACACGAGATGATTCGTTAACATAGCGAGAAACAACATATTTTGGATCTTAGTCAAGAATTTTGAACCTATACAAGAGATTAGTGGATGCTGGATTTTTCTCATAAAAGTGAGGTTGGCACCTACGCATATTTGTTCTTTTAAATCCACGATTTGAGAAGCTCAAAAGTATCAAATCGACTATTATTGGTATGACTGCATAATTAGTGACTTTTCTTTCCTCCAAGTTCCTATACTTCCAGGAACCTCTGGCTCGGATTAGAACAAAAAACAAACCCATGATTCATTCATTATTAAAGTATAAATTATAACCCTACTCTAACCAATAAATTTAAAGCTGCAGCGTGTGGAATAATGTAATAATCATAATAATAATGAGAGATAATGGCAAAACATGACAATCAAACCACTGTCACCACTCATCGCAACAGTCTGAATGTCTCTGATCGATAAAGCTTTTATTTTTTTTCATTTTGTTTTACCCTCTTCTGTTTTGGATGCTGGTTAAGGTTCAGTGGTTTTCCATTTATTTAATTTGTTTAAACACTTGCTGTTAAGGTTTCAATTACATATATTAATGAAGTTCTAATTGGATTTATGTTGTAATCCTACTACATGATTAGGTAGCTGACAATGCATCGACCAACAAAGCAGCTTCCAATCTGCTACAACTGTTTAGTTTAATCGGAAAGTTAACAATGTTAAACCCAAAAACTGTACCTAAAATTGCGACAAAAATCTCTTAAGTGTTTTTTTTTTTTTTTGGCTTACATTAGATCCAAAAGACAGAAAGTTTCAAGATTTAGGTAAGGTGAGGACACTAAACAGGAATCACTTGTCATTTTCATGGCTATTTTTTTTTTTTTTTTGTCAGTTTCCATTCAATTTTGGTCGCCAATTTTCATTTTGGTAGGAGGCCGTGATTGTATATATTTGTTGAATGAATGAAGATCAATGAATGCTCGCAGTTCTAATTCACAGCATTAGAGAGTGACAGATCACGGAAGAACTCATTTTGAAGTTTCGGGTCAGAAATGGAAAAGATTTTAGCAAGGCGGTGGTTGGATCTTGACCAAATTTGAAACGTTTTCTCAGCAAAGCAAACACTACACTTCCAATCCGGCTTAATTGATCAATCAAGCAAACCCAAAAAAATTTAAATCATCTTCCACGTGATGATCCAAAAGAGTACAAAAACGTAGTAGTTAATTTCCCTTTTGCATTATTAGTTGGATAGATTAATTAACTTCTTATTGTAGTCTAATTTGTTGCCGTTATGAACATATACTGCACACTTTTCGAGTTCAAATTTAAAATCTCAATAGTATTACAATTTCACATACTCATTAAGTCTCGAGTATGAACATTTTATCATCTGTTCTCATTTATTTTCGACATCTTTTCCGGCAGAATGTATGTATAGACTGGCATGACCATTAATTACACTTCAATTACCCCAATTGGGCAATGAAATTGTTTTTGTGAATTGATCAAGAGAGAGATCGGTGTTGCTAAAGTGAAAAGGTTGGCAAAATACAGTTGATGCATCTTAAATGTGAAAAGAGTCGATGAAAATGATTATTGATGGAAGAAGAATGCCGGGTCAGCCATGCATTCCTTGAGTCTTTAGAATTTAGTATTTATTATTATTATTATTTTTTTTTTATATTTTTTTTACCCATAATCTTTTCTTGAGCAGAAAACTGTTGACTAGCCATAATCATAACGCATATATACAGTCTGTTTTAGTCCAAGAAAGGTGCTCCGTAGCAGAGTTTGCAGAATTACCATAAATGCTTCAATGGGGATGTTTCGTTGGTTCAACTTGAAATATATACTAAGACAAAATGAATCATCATTACGTACTACATTTTTCATTTATGATTCTATCGTCGATTTTCCAGTCGACCAATTTTCATTTCTGACATTCACGTACGTACACCTAACAACAAACTCATCAGAGACTTGCAATGGTGAAAGAAAAAGGGGAAAAAAAAATGTTTCCCGATTTCGCCATTTCTTTGCATTGTACAACTTAAAATTACTCACGTAGTTCTGTCTAGCGTGATTGAATCATCAGCTGTGACCCTTTTGCCGTCAAACTTTACCTCTTGGTGATGATGAGCATTACAGTTCAAAACTACCATTGAGATAGATGTTAAGGGAATGAAGTTCTTTAAGAACATAAACCCGATGCCTAAGTTAATACTAGCTCATATATGATATATCTTTTCTTTGTACAAAATAGGAAGCATATGTCTGTTAAGTTAACACTTTGTAATGGTAAAATACATCAATTACGCCGTGTTTCAACCCCGCGGTTTAATACTAGCTCATATAGCAATGAAGTAAATGTTAAAACAAGAAAAAAGGAGCTTCATGTTCATATCTCTTGCCGAGAGGTGGCTACTACAATTTTCTTTTTTTCCGGAACAAACGTACGTGATTTGCTCTAGCTCAAAAGGCAAATAGTACATTAGTGATTTGCTAATGATTTGTTTTAGCCAATTTTTTTTTTTTTTTAAATTTTTAGAAGTAGGAAAAGGTATCATTCAGACAGATATATACACTATGAAGCTATCTAGAGTTTTGGTTGGCGTTATGAGAAAAATGTAGATGCAATTTGAAGGAATTCTGTGGGCGCTAACGAACCTAGCCTCACGTTTTTTTTTTTTTCCAAACCATGTTTCTTCTTGATATCTCTCTAATAATGGTGGTCGACTGTGTATCTGAAAGTGTCCTATTTTTTTTTGTCTTATGTTGGGCTTGACTCTTAGCGATCGAAACATGCAGTTATCATTTTCTCACCACACGAAGAATGCGCCAGTTGAAAGCAATTAGGGAAATGTTACACATACAATGGGAATTTGAGATGTTTGGTTAGCAAATAAATCCCCGTAACAATGTAATTGAATTCTGTAACTATATATAATACATTTCATTGAATGAAAAAATGGAAAGAATGAACCTGAGATGATTTCCATAACGATAAGCGATGATTTCTGTACCTTTTACAATTTCAGGCACCAAAAATTACATTTGGAGCTCTCTAACTAATGTGCAACCGTGCAAGAAATTAATTACTCCTTTCGTCAATTGAACTAAAAATGAAAACTTAAACAGGACAATAATTATGGGACGGAGGGAGTATTGAATTTGCATATCATTTCGGCGGGCCTATTACAAAGTTTTCGGCATTGCTATACATGTAGTAGGGATCAGTATTTTTCGTTTATCTAAGCTGTTCATCTCAGTAAATGTTACCACAAGATTCAGCAAAATACTGCCAAGGTTGTGTAAACAATGTTAAGCCGACATTTCATGTCGAAATTGCCTTGCTCCCACCCCAGCAAGAGTGTTCTTCATCCCTCTCAAGATCTCAGTCGATCTGAATCACTGTTTTGCCAATTAAGAAAGAAAGCGATTTTTTTTTTTTTGGTCTCTTTGGAGATTATATAAACTCACTGGGAATTGGAAGATAACAAAAGAATAAAATAAAAAGAATAAAAAATTAACCGCCATAGCAGTTGCTTTCCTTGGTGTCCAATGGCTGGGAAACATCACTGGAGATTTGTGGAATTTAATGGCAATTTCGTTGCCTCAAGAACAGAGCTGTGGAGTAATTACTGGGATAATTTTTCTTGTGCTTCAATGTCTGAACCCGACCAAATCCGGTTTAACCGGACAAGCCTGTAGAATTTTAATGCAATGATTGACCTGCTCAATTCACGTTAACCATTTTTATTTTAAGAATTTCACGCTACTATATCAGACTTGCAACCCTTTCTTTAAAGCATTTTCATGTTAGTATAAAAATAAAAATATTAGTGCGAGCACTACGAAATTAGTTTTACTTTTCCTTTTTTTTTTTTAAGTTTAGCTGTTTTTTGGTTATTTATTTAAAACAAACTTTGACTTTAACTTGGAACAGACAACTTCTGCTGACTCTAATCATTGATGAATAAAATAAAAATCATCAGTCTTTTTTTAAAAATACAGGGCAATGGAGCTCCGATGAGGAATTTTGAATTGAATGGTGAAGAACCCAAGAACGTCATTGCCTTAATTCTTCAACCCAACCAATAAAAATAAAACTTGAAAGGGGGAGCAGTTCAGAGTTGAAGACAAACAATCTCGAATATCAAAATTATTATAAAATAATTATTATGTGATTGAATTTTATTTTTTTTTTACCGCGGCTAGAAAATTAGTAATTGAAAGATTACGGAGTTGGTAAGTATGCTGCAGTTGTGAGATATCATGCTCACGAACAATGAACAAAGCCATGAAATTCACAAATTTATCCAACCTAGCCACCAGAATCGAGTAGGATCAACATGATGGATAATTAGTAGCACCGAAAAATGAAGAAATAACTTTTGATAAGTATTTATAGCACATACTACTAAGTACTTGGGAAAAAAAGGTTAAGAGGTGAAAATAGGTGACTTTCATAAACAAAATATTTATGATTGAATAATTGACAGTGATAACGTGATAAAATTAGTTATTTCCCTCCAAGATTATTTTTAATAGTGCTTTTGAAACACCAAAAAATTTCGATGCCTACTCCAGCTCCGTCTACTGATTAGTTACTACAAATATAAGATTAGTGTAAGAATATTGTCGATGAGAAAATGAGAATCGATCTCGCCGTTACTTGAAAACTGAAAAACCTTCTTGATTGTTCAACTGTCATTATTTTTCCCTCCAAGGGAATTGAGATGAAACCATTCGGGAAATGTCTCTCATTAATTTTTTCAAAATGTTGGAGAGAAAAAAGTTAAAAGCATATATGAGAACAAACAATCATGCTAAATGCCACCAATTTAATTAACAAACCAATTGGGAAGAAGGTCTCATGTTGTAAACTGATTAATGAACTCTCTCAAGTTGCTCCACTTCACCTAACTCACCCATCTAAGCTTTGGGACTCAATTAGCTATTGTTTAAAATCCCTACCTAGAACCTACATCCATTCTTCTTATTATAAAGAGTGGAAGTTTTGTTCGTCGTCGTCGTATACCATTTGCGTTTGGCCCCTTTTTTTTTTTTACTGTTTTTTCCTTCCTTTCCATTCCCTCCCCTCCTCCCCCTTTTTTCCCCCTCCCCTTCGTTATGTATAGCCACTGACAAGTAGCAGTATCGTAACCAAAAATGTAACAAGGGTTATGATAAGTTTTTCTTGTAGGGGGTGTTAGGCCCATACTATTTACTTGAAAGAATTTATTCTCAATTTTTCAATATTCATTTACTACTCCCTCCATTTTTTTTTATATATCTTTTTAAAAAAATCATCAAAACCAAGAAAATATTAATTAATATAGTTAATACAAAAATACTCTTATTTATTATCTACACAATTCATCACAAACTAATAGAAATTCATTACAAATATTGTTTCATTTCCAATGTAAGGGTAATATTGGTAAAAAATAGTCAAATATGCCTCGATTTGTAAAAACGACATATATTTAAAAAATTCACCAAATCCTAAAACGACAAATATTTCAAGATGGAAGGAGTAATATTTAATGTCTAAATTTAATTTAATCTGAAATTTTTACTTGAATTACTTACATTTAGCTTCAGCGAAAACAAACATGTTGTACAAAACCAAGTGAATAATTACTTCTTAAAAAAAAAAAACAAGCGAATAATTAAACAAAAATAGAAAATAGAAAATAAAAAGTTTCACGTAGCACGAAAATACAAATTGAGTACAATTTCTGTCAAAGTATATAAGTACCTTGAACTCCCATCTCAAAACTAATTGGATATGAGTGGGGTGGCCTTTGGAACTTATACACTGAGTCACTTCTCTTCACGATGACGATGTGGGACAAGATAATACACTTTAACACCCTCCCTCAACTCCAATGGGTCTTTGAATTTTTTACCTAATGCACTTGGATCAAGACAAAAACAGAATAGCCCACGAGTTAACGCTCAAGTGGGAGAAAGCCAATCATATCACTGGATTAGTCCACAACAAGCCTACGAGTCAACGCTCAAGTGAGAGAAAAGCCAGTTATACCGCTGGTTCGGTTCACAACAAGGCCATAATCAACAGCCAAGTGGGAGAACAAACCACCTCTGGACCAGAACATCACCACATGGCCAAACCGCTCTGATACCATGTCAAAATATATAAGTATCTTGGACTCCCATTTCAAAACCAATTGGCTATGAATGAAATGGTCTTTGGAACTTATATACTGAGTCACTTCTCTTCACGGTGGCAATGTGGGACAAGAAAATACACTTTAACAATTTCTAAACATTGAATATTGATTGATTCATCAAACTAAATATTTTTATTAACTTTTAAAGTTATTTAATCAATTTTAGATTTTAAACTTTTATGTAATTGTTTAATTTATTATTTTGTATTAGATGCATGAGACTACCATAAAATTTCGACTATATTGTTTATAACAATTTTTTTAAAAAAATTGATACAAAACTTGTGAATATAACAGTGGCAGTCCGCGCGAGGCGCGGACGAGAGTTACCTAGTACACAACTAGTTACAAGAATATGTTACTAGCTGCAAGAATAATAATACAGTATATCATATCATAAGTTCTGAATTTCACTCTATTTTCAGAATCAATCGGGCGAAGGAAAAAAGGGAATTTGTCGTCCAAAGTCCAAACTAACAAGTTGCGCTATCGCAGTTCCGCCTGGAAGAAAGTGTAAAATTCTGAAACCAAACGGTCCAGATATAACTGAAGGACCGAAAATAGACTTGAACCGTTGGAGGCTTCTACATTTTTGTAAACCAAATAAAAAATAAAAAAAATCAGCGGTGATTGCCAGAAAACAGTCTTTCTAGTTTGCGTACAGACATTTTTTTGATGCCTAGAACTAGACGTTCGAGGCCCGGCACTACTAACCAATGTTAAACTTTAGTACTAACACCCAAATTTTACACTATTTGGGTTTATGATTATTGGAAAATTTTTATACTTATATTTAAGGTTATTAGAAGAATGGCGTCCAATAAAGTTAATCCGAATATGAATTTTGACTTGTTAAAAATTAGTTCACGGACTTATAACTTTAATAAATGACGGTGTCTAGAATAACTTTTTTCGGTAAAGAAGAAAAAGAAGCAGTAATAATGTTGAGTCGTCCTACGTCCCAGTCGTCCAGTAAGTAGTCTCCTCTTCTTCCGCTTTTTACGCCTGCAGTGCTCAGAAGAAAAGAGAAAAAAATAAATAAATAAAAAATTTACTGCGACCAAAAAAACGAATAGAACTAAAAAGGTCAAACAAACAGTTCCCTTTTGGGCTATATAACTTCATCGCCACCCTCCCTTTTCCCTTCCCCTCCCCCCCTTCTTCTTTCTCTCTCTCTCTCTCTTTACCCTTTTCTTTCCTTCTTCATACTTTCTCCTCCCCAACATTTTAAGCTACTGAAATTATAATTTTGAAAGTCAATCGGAAAAAATTAAAGTTTATTAAAGTTTTTGATGGACAAAGAATATTTCGCGAATGCTGGAATTCCGCTGCCCCTACAATTCGACCCTACAATGCACGCCTGGAATTCTTTCACCTCCTCCGCTCCTCCAGAACTGAATTGCTCTACGGACCAGAATTCTTCTTCGTCTTGCTTCTTGAATCCCAGTTGGGAAAAACCGGGTGATCATTTTCCTCCTCATATGGACTCGGGTTTGAGCTCAATGTTGCCGCCGTCTTCTAACTCCGCCGCCGTGCCCGCTGACGCTCTTGTACTCCGGGAACTAATTAGGAAGCTGGGCCGCCCAGTTTGTCACTCCTCCGGCGAGGCATTTCCGGCGGGCCCTGCTTATGCGGTTGCACCTCATCATCACACTAGTAATACTTCGAGCAACCCTGCTTCTTATACTACCACGCCGATAAGCTCGCCGCCGAAGCAGCTTCAGGTACCAATTATGGATCAATTTATCAACGGACACTTGCCCAATTTGAGAAATTCGGTGCCGTTAAACCCAGCTCTGCCTTCCCTCGCGGCTGATCCCGGGTTCGCCGAGAGGGCCGCCAAGTTTTCGTCCTTTGGGAGCCGGAGTTTCAATGGCAGAACGAGTCCATTTGTGGGTTGTGAAAATAACCCTGAGCTGCCTCTTAGATCTAATTCCCCACTTATGGGGAATGGCAAGTTACCAAGAGTGCTGAGTAGTCCTTCTCTTAAGCAAGCAGGATCCCCAACTGGGAACAAGAATTTAAGTCAACCCCAGGTGGAATTGAAGCCTTCTCCGGTCAATGGTTCTGATAAGAGATTGAACAAATTGACTGCAAATGGTGCCAATTCTAACGAGGAGTCTTCTTTGTCTGAGCAAGTGCCAAGTGGGGAAACAGGGATGAAAACTCCAAATGAACCCAATTCCAGGAAAAGGAAAACACCAGCTAGAGGAAAAGCCAAGGAAGATGCATCACCAAGTCAACCTGTGAACTCTAATAAGGTAATGTGGATAGAGTAATTAATCGACTTTGCGTTCTTCGTTTCCTATTCAAAGCCTAATAAATACAGTAGTATTAAGTCTTGGTGAACTATATTTATTACAGGGTACGGAGGTTGATGCTGATAAAACTTCAAAGCGACAGAAGCCTAATGAAGCTAATGGGAGCGAAAATGCCAATGCAAAAACGAAGGCCGAGGAGGAAGCTAAGAACAATGACAGTAAAACTGGGGAGGATAAGGTGAATCAAAAGCCTCCTGAGCCACCCAAGGATTACATTCATGTGAGAGCCAGAAGGGGTCAAGCTACAGATAGCCATAGTCTAGCTGAAAGAGTAAGCATTTATTTGGTCCCAATTCTCTGGGATAACAACAGTAAATTGGACTAATGGCTTTGCTGTTCATGTCATTTTAGACTAATTTTTTCTTCGGAATTGGGATTAGGTAAGACGTGAGAAGATTAGTGAGAGGATGAAACTGTTGCAAGACCTCGTTCCCGGTTGCAATAAGGTACTTAGGCAATAGTAACATCATCTTTACTTAAAATTTCCTTTTCATGTTGTTAAGTTTTTACATTTTTGACAAGGTTAAAAAGTTGGTTGAATGAATCATTAACAATTTAACATCTTGGTCAAATGAATATATATCTAGGTGACTGGAAAGGCTCTTATGTTGGATGAGATCATAAACTATGTCCAATCATTACAACGTCAAGTTGAGGTAAATGAAAAAAAAAAAATCAGTCAGTCAGACAGACATGTGAATAACAGAAAACGTTCATATGTGTTCCATTCTGCTAATTTGATCTTTCTTGTACAACTTTTTGCAGTTCCTGTCGATGAAGTTAGCTTCTGTAAATCCAAGACTAGATAACATGGATACTCTTTTATCCAAGGAAGTAAGTCATATTTATGTTGTTCAATCATATGTTTTATGTCCCAACTTTACAATCTTTGATACTAAAGATCCTTTTTTTTTCCCAATCACGTTTCTCAATTTCAGATTCTTCAACCAAATGCCGCTTTGCCCCACACCCTCTTCCCTGTGGATGCTTCTGAACCGGGTTTGTATAAGAATCAGCACCACCAAAGTCCACCATTGCAAAACAATAGCCCCGTGGACCAAGTAAATAATCCTACCTTTTGTGGCCGGAACCTCGGACTGCAATTACCACCCTTGGATGGATTCATTGAAAATTTACCTCAGGTGATTATTTGCAGTCAATAGTTTCTCTCTTTCCAGAAAAAAAGGGACTGGGAAAACAGAGAACAAAAGTTTGAAATGATTACCATACACTAATTCAATGTTTTTTCTTGTCACAATTTCTCAGTTCCCCCCATTCAGTGAGGATGATCTGCATAGCATAGTTCAGATGGGATACGGGCAGGATGCATCATTTCAATCGCAAGGCTTTCCTGGTAAGGACAGGGGACTCTGTTTCATGTCTCAGTATCAGTAATTCAGTATTATTCCATAAATTTTCCTTTTTGGGTTATAATTGATGTGAAAATTCATTACTTGCAGCTTCAAATCAGATGTCCCACATGAAAGTTGAGCTATGATCATCAACCATCATCATTCACTTTCATCATTCTATTCAAGGCCCAGAAGAAGAAGAAGAAGAAGAAGAAAAGAGGAAGAGAGAGGCTGCTGTACATAATGAAGAGAATAGTAGTTGGGGATTTTTATTTTTATTTTTATTTTTTTTCCATGGAATTGGCTGTCATCCATGTAGGTCTGATCTGGGAGAGAGGGGAGGGGAATTTGATTCTCACCCCACCCCATTGCCTCTAATTTGTCTCTGTCTCTAAGTTAGTAGTAATTATTGATTTGCCTGGAAGATTAAGATTTTTTCCTCTTCCAGGAGATGGTAAGTAATTAATTAAGCGTATAATATCTCTTGTAAAATCCTAGCTTTAATGCGTGTTTATGGTGCAAATTACTGCACTCTAATCTGTAATATATCTATTCTTGTACAAGCAATGATACACCAAAGTTTCTCCATCTTTCACTTTCCATTAACCAAAATTTGACTGCATCAACATCAACCCTTTTCCTATATCTCCCCTGATTAGTGAATTTCTGGGACAAGATTAGATGAAAGATCTCCCCATTAGATTTTCTTCCTGGGTTGGTGTCAAATCGCGATTTCTGGTGGTTATGATCTTTTTTTTTTCTCACTAATATTTGTTGTAAACAGCTGGATGAGTGGGTACTTTCCACTCATTTCTCTTCAGGAAAAAGTCTTTAACACAAATGATTAAGACTTGAAGATGTTAACTTAGAGCTTTTAGTCAGCCATAATCAATGGCACATTTCTGGGCTCACTGTTGTAATGATTTTTCCATTAAGGATTTTTTTTTTCTTTTTGTTTTTTTAACCAGACAGACAGAACCTTCTCTTTCCTTATTTTAATATTTTTTTTTACAGTGCGGCTGAAGAAATAATTATTCAATCAAGCAGTTTTGGTCTTTTTGGAACTTTTTTACTTTACAAAATACTAGTAATTTTTAAGTTGAAAAAATGGTGTCAAAAAGAATCCCAGGTTGGCAAATGGTGACACTCTGACTAAGCACAATGAATCTGGTTCTGATTTAATTTCTTGCCCTCATTTTGATCCAGATAATATACATACCGACCGGTTTAATTAAGATTAAGGTTTAACATGCACGTCATCTATTATTAAAATATCTGTTAAAAAAAATTAAATCCAAAAAAATAGGCTATTTAACTCGAATCTAAAATAACTAGGACGATGACTTCGAACATTAGATGCAACACAAAAATAAAAGTAAAAAAAATAAAACCATGAACAGCAAAAGGTTAAGGGACTTCAGTGGAGTTCTGGTATGGAAAGATACCTTTGGAAGATAAACTAATAATTAGATGTGAGGCGGAAAATAAAAATTAAGGTTTTGGGGCTTAACAAAAGTGTATTTATGCGGTTGCAGCCTTTTACTTATTTTATTTATAGAGAGAAAAAAAAATTTGTATTATTACTGTTTGTGATGCAATTATCAAAAAGATTCTATGAAGATGATCTTTTAGACAATTGGAGTTGAATTTGTTTAAGTGACAGTTTGTCGCTTAGCAGATATTAATTAACAAATAAATCCTCTTAAATTAATTTAATCTTTTAATTATGTGAGTTGAATTCCTATTTGTTCTTTTCTTTTCTTTTTTAAGAAAAAGAAAAATCTGTCAATTATTTGTCTGCTCATCTCTCTGTCTCTTGAATATTTTTGTACATCTTTCTGAGTTGAGTTCAATCATCCTTCTGACAAATCGATTTTATTAAGAAGAAGAAAACAAAGCTAGTTGTGTTAATTGATGGCAACTAATTATTTACAATGGGGTTTACCGACAAAATCATTATCAAATAGAAAAATCATCAAATGGACCGTGTTATATTTTACTCCCTCTATCCCATAATTATTGTCCAGTTTGAGATTTCACTTTTAATACATTTTGAACTAAAAATGAAAACATAAACTAGACAATAATTTTGAGACGGAAGGAATACTAGGTAAAGAATTATTGGTTACTTAAGGAATTTTTATTGCCAACCAATAAAACGAGTTTTTTCCTCTATCCTCTCAATAGTAAAAGTAAATGCGGATAATTAATTAGTTACCATAGAATCTCTTGTGCACTACTCCTATTCGCTTACTTCAATAGATCGTTGAAAATGAATATCTTTTGTTTAAAAAGGTTTTTAAAATGAATTATAAGTCAAGAATTTTGTTTTTTTTGTTTTTTTTACTTTCTCCCTCCAACTATTGCTATTATTGAATATCGAAGTTCTATCTTAGTTACAATCTTTAACTCGTATTGATTTTTAATCATTATAATAATTCAGTGAAATGACTTGAGGGCTGAAATGAATACGAAAAGAGTACTTGTATCGTATCATATGCAAAATCGGACGTGAAATGAATGAGTTGGGATTTTCACCCTTTTTTTCCGATGGGCATACATTTTCACTGCGGCATCCATCGACATTTTTTTTTATCTCCTCCGGATCAGGTAGAGTAAGAGTGTAAGACTGTAAGAGGCTAGGAGCCACCACTTTCCTCCGACATTGTCAGGCTCAGACCGGTGGCGCAGCTGTTTCTACTGATCATTTGATCAAAAAAAGACTGACGAAGTTTGTTTATAAAATTATAGACCCGTCATGGGACGAAAACAAATACTCCCTCTGTCCCAAAATTATTGTTCAGTTTGAGATTTCACTTTTACTTTAATTTCTATTAAAAATAAAAATTCAAACTGAACAATAATTTTGAGACAGAAGAGTACTACTTTTGGGGGAGGAACACACACTTGTCTCCCTTTGGAAATACTCTTTAGATTTTCAATTAGCTTTAAGGTACGAATTTGATTGGCTGGCAAGAAAGCAAATTATCATGCACCCCTCTCTCTTGTCTCATTACTCATTTCTCTAACCTAATCAACATGGGCTCCAAATTAATTTAGCTTAAAGAGAACATATTCCTTCCTACTAGTAAAACTATTAATTTAAAGTGTTCCTGGGAATTTAATTTGCTGTCTTAATTAATGCGCAGGATGAGGTGCTGCTGGTTTCGGTTTTTAACATTTTTAGTCGTTCGTACATTATAGTCTGTTTATTGTTTAAATAAAATATAGCTGAGTTTCCTACGTTATTCCCTAATCTTATAATCACCAATTTGATCAAATAAAATGAAAAAAAAAAAGAGAGAAAGAAAAGAAAAGATAAATAAAAATGATTTTCTCTATTGGTAAACATAATAATCCTTTTATTTTATCGATGAGGTAAGATTGATACAGCAACGTAAGAACTGAAATGAACTTACTTTGAAGATACTGTGAGTGTTTTCAAGCCATTGAACCAAAAATACGGGGAACAAACAAATTTAATAAAGAGTTGAGAGAGTGAAAGATATGGTTAAAGCTTTTCTTGCACGCTATGATGTTTGACATGAATTTCATGTCACTCGATATTTACTTCCTCGCAACGCAATTGGTACAAGTACAAAGCTTTAACTGTTTTTGGGAACGGATCAAACGGACCATTGAGCTTAGTTGGAAACATTACTACGACTATTTAATTTGGTGAGTGTATATATTGATTAAATTAATATTTTTCCGTTGCATAACAAGAGAGTCATATTTGTGACAGAAAAAATATCATTATATAGACTTAAACAAAGGGACACTAGTTGTATTGAACAAATGAGAGCAAATTACAATAGATTATAATTTCTTTGTCTTAAAATTATTATCCAGTTTGAAATTTCAGTTTTAGTACGATTTGAACTATAAATGAAAATTCGAACTAGACAATAATTATGGGACGGAGGGAGTATGTAATAAAATTGAATTGCAACTTTGCAAGTTCTACCATAAGAAACAAAAACGTCCAAATTATATAATTCAACGGAGAGGGAAATAGATACGTTGTGTATCCAGCTCGAAAACAAGTAGTAGATTCTACTATTCTTTGTCACCATCAAATAGAGAAACTTTGTGTCCTATTAATGGAAGATAGATCATAAAAATGCTCAAGACAATTAAATGCATAAAAACTCGTTAAGTGGGCACAAACAGAAAGCGTGAGAAACACATTGAAATGCTTGTCATTTTCAAACTGTATGTATAGAAATCGCTCTTTAATTAAACCTCTCCCAAAAAATAGAAAGAAAGAAAAAGAGAGAGAGAAAGAGAGATAGAAACCCTTTTTTTGGCTTTGCAGTTTGCACATTGTTGGGTAGTATCATATTTATTTGCTTTGTTTGGGAGAAACAGCAGACAGTGAATTACATTTGGTATAATGGTGTGTATTGCCATTTTACCAAACTCTGCATATTTTGATACTTGCTTTTTTACAACCTCTTTTGTAAGGGTGCTCTTCCCTCTATTGGGGATGGGGAGAAAAATCACATAAAATCAGGATCTTCTTTTGGGTCTTTTTAGCTTGAAAATTAAAATAAAAAATCAGGATCTTTTAATTTAAATGTTGCTGCTTTTGGGTTCTTCTCTAGTTTAAATGTATCCGTCCATGTGTCTTCTATATATGCTTTCATTCTTGTCTTCCTATTCTCAACTAAACATTGCCACTGCTCATTCTGTCGTATTGCTTTCCAAAAGATCGTAACTTGTTTGTACAAATTACACATTTAGTACGATTCGAGTTGGAAAGCTCTTTGAGTTTCAGGTCATTATTACGATTATAGTTGACGGTTCAATTCTTATTACTGTTATGACTTTTCAATATTTGTTTCTGTATCTCTTCGTTTGTACTTTAAATTTTTACATTTACAAAAGTTGTGTACATAAAGTTTTGATCTACTCTCTCCGTCGTATAATTATTATCCAGTTTGGATTTTTATTTCTAAATCAAATTGTACTAAAAGTAAAATTTCAAACTGGATAATAATTTTGGGACAGATAAGAGTATTATAACTCATTTGATGGCCAGCTTACTTTTACACTAGCTAACGAACCAAGTCGTCTCTTGGTTTACTAGATTTCTTGCATACGGTCTTCTATAAATAAAATTTGATCGATTATAGTACGGAGACAAGTTACCCTCTTATATCATGATCAAGCCAAGGTTAGTTTCAGCCTTTGCTTCCTATGTTTTGCACCGAAAAAAATAATTTGATCGATTATGTTTATCTTCATTTGTTATTTATATATATTTCATCCGTGTTACAAACTTGCTATCATAATTCTATCATGCCCTCATATTGTGTCAAATTAATCACAACGTACCTTGAATATGCTCTACCGGCAGTCTCAAGTGCGTTTGCATTGAACACTGATACACTTAAATGGAAAGAAGAAAAAAGAGAGAGAGAGAGAGAGAGAGAGAGAGAGAGAGAGAGAGAGAGAGAGAGAGAGAGAGAGAGAGAGAGAGAGGCAAAAAGTAGCTCTACGTGACAAAATGCCATCAGCCTTCGGCACCCTACATTTTGTGCAAGGAGAAGACAATCAGCAATTTCAGAGTCGGCTGTTGGCCCAAATTCAATTGATTCAAAAAGTATAACGAAATGGGTAGAGAATACAGAATGAGAATGGATCTGAAATCTGAATTGACTCATTTTGTGCAACAGCCCACTCCAAAATATAAGCATAATTTGCAACAAAACCCCCTTTCCTCGGTAGCCCATTCGTTAAATGTAAAACTCCCAATTATTGCATTTTTGTTGTACTAGGTCAAACTTCAACTTTCTTATTTGAGGATTAAGCACTCAAAATTATTATTATTTTTTTAAAAAAAGATACCTGTATATTATCTAAGACATACCTAAATTATTACATCGCATCCTACTATAAGCTAAATTATGTAATTCTAAAACATCTTATCTAGTAACTTTAATCAGTTAACAAAAATGAAAAGAAACAATAAGAGGAATTAAGAGAGAGATTATTTCCTGTGCTTCAGTCGGAGTTGCATCGATTCTTAAATCACCGTTTAAAGTTTCACAATATGTGTGTACTTGTATCATAGTGATACCCAAGTTTGCACTCAAAATTATTGAGTAAATGGAGTGTGGTCTTAAATTGGTTAATGTTTATCCATCTTATTTGCAAAAACAGTGTATACTTTTTTCTTGTAAATAAAGGTGTATAATTGTTTATTATATCGTGTGTGAATATTGTAAGTTGTATCGATCACTCTCAACAACTCATGTTGCATTGGCGAACACCAAACCTCTCAATCGCAGTCCTCTCAACGATGCAAACTTAACAACGGTGCATTGAAACAGATTAATTGAAAAAAGAAAAGGTTAAATCCTTGGGGGCTTTTTAGATATTATTAATAGTATAACTTAAACGAAAAAATTGGCGTTTATACCCAAAGGTTTGGGTTTATCGTCAGTTCTACCTTATTGATTTCCGGTTAGCCAATTTGTCCTTACTGTTTGAAAATTTTGTCAATTCTACCCAATTGGCCCAATTTCCTTTAAATTCAATGGATTTCCGCTAGTTTTTAACCAAAAACACCCTGATAGTTTCAATAAATTATAAAAATAACTCTAAAAGTATAAAAATGACAAAATAGTCCCTTTTATTCATTTTTTTCTATTTTCTTTTATTTCTCTTTATTAATTTTCATAACCATCAAAATATACTATATGATCTTTAAAAAAATAATTATTTATTTTCAAAATCTATTTTTCATGTACAACACATATGATTTGGGTTGAGGGGTAATTTTGTTATTTTAAATTTTTTAAATTTTAATTTCTTTTTTTATTCGTCTTTTTTTTGAGATTCTTCTTTTTATATTTCCTTACTTGTATATATTGATACTAGAATAATTATTGAATTTTAACAATTGATTTATCATTTCATTTCATAGATTATAAAAACTTTAACATAAAGAAAATGAGGAAGAAAAACTTAAGTTGAAATAAACATGAAAATAATAGTTTATCATTCTTTAAAAAAAAAGCAAAAAAAACTTAAAAAAACCTGCAAAGAAAAGTCTTTTCACCATAACTGTCTCTATTTCATAGGTAAGTCACGAAACATAAATTTTACTTGATCTAACATAAAATGATTATTTTTTTCTTTGTAATAAATATAATACAAGTCATGTAGTATAATTTAGTAATTATTTTGCTAAAAAATACACGTATTTATCTTTTTCATGAAATTCAATAAGTACTTATGTAGTTTAGCAACCGCCAATCGGCCAAAAAAAATTATTAAAAAAGAATAAAAATAGTGTTAACCAAATTTATAGAAATGTATCGTTGTGGACTAATTAAATTAGCACCTTTTTATGTTTCAAATGATTGTCTAATTTTTATATTATTTTTATCAAAACAAACTAAATAATTATTTTAGGCTAGATCAAGTAAAATTTATCTTTCGTAACTCACTAATGAATTAGAGGAAGTCAAGGAGGAAAGACTTCTCTTTGCAATTTTTTTCAAAGATTTTTTTTGATTTTTGTTTAGAATGATAAACTACTAATTTAAATTTTTATTTTAACTTGATTTTTTCTTCCTCATTTTCTTTATGTTATTTTTTTTTTATAATCTATGAAATAAAAAGGTAAATAAATTATTAAAATTCAATAATTATACTAGTATCAATATATACAAGTCAGAAAATATAAGAAAAATAATCTAAAACCATAACGAATAAAAAAAATTAAATTAAAAATTTTTAAAAATTTAAAATGATAAAATTACCCCTCAATCCAAATGTACATGAAAAGTAGATTTTGAAAATAAATAATTATTGTTTTAAGATCATATAGTATATTTTGATGGTTATGAAAAGTAATAGAGAGAAATAAAATAAAATAGAAAAAAAATGAATAAAATGGACTATTTTTTTATTTTAGTGTTATATTTATAATTTATTGAAACTATCAGGGTGTTTTTGGTAAAAAACTAACGGAAATTCGTTAAGTTTAACGGAAATTGCGCCAACTAGGTAGAATTGACAAAAATTTCAAACAGTAAGAATAAAGTTAGCTAACCGGAAATCATTAGGATAAAATTGACGATGAACCTAAAGTTTTGGATATAAACGCTAATTTTTTCTAAATTAAACCGGTGCTGACTCTGCACCACCGCGATTGGTGGTGGCCGTACTGAGTGAGACAGAAACCAACAAGGCAACCACCTTGTCTTTCGTCCGCATCCGGAGGCTTACTGGCCCAAAATACTCAGTCCACACCTCCTCAGTAGGCCATCTCGCTTCCCGATTTACATCTGAAAACACCCAACAATCTTTTTTTCCCTACATTTAAAATCTTCAACAATAGAAGCTTCGCATTATTATATTATGATTCGCACGTAGAACAATAATTCTTTCACTCAAATCAACTTCTTAAACATACAAAAATCCTTAAAATTTTTTAGGCAGGGGGCAAAAGAAAAGAACCCTCTGCATTATGTGACTTTTTAGTTTTGTATTTTGACTAGTATTCAACTGCATTGATCCTTCAAATTCACTAATCATGTGTCTGAAAACTAAATACTCCATCCTAAATGATTTATACTCCCTCCATCCCATAATTATATTCCAATTTTACTAAAATGAAAGATTTTATTTTTGGTCAAACTTAACTATATTTTACCTTAAACAACCGGATATACCCCTACATATAAGTAATTGTTTAACCACTAAGATTTTATGGATAATGTTTTTTACTAAGGACAAATGTGTAACTTGATCCATAAAAAGTTAAATTGAACAATAATTATAGGACGGAGGAAGTACTAAAAATAAAATCCTAAACTAGACAATCATTTAAAGAGAAAAAAGTACTAATTAATCAAAAAATAACAATCGTTGTATCAAAAGAGTCACCAAAATTCTAAATAACGAGTTGTCACTCATCAAATTTACGGGCATACCAGCCATAGACGCATAGAATTTAAAAAATTGCAGCACATCACATGGCGTGCTTCTTTTAGTAAACAGTTTTTAACATTAGCATTATATAGTCTAGTTTAATATGAAAAAAAAAAAAATCCCGGATTGGACACTTAACAATAATTATTAGCAAGCTAATAATAGCACAGCTTCACATTCACGGAACCCGGTTTAACTTTTTTCCTCCTCAGCTCTTTTCCCAAACTTCCCTCCACCCGCCTCATTCTCCGGATCCAACGGCCGCGCGCACACACACACACACACCAGCACGCACCGCCTCCGCCAACGCTCCGCCCAATGGAGATCTGACATAATCGCCGATTCTCCATTGCACGAACGCGAATATTTTTCTATATATTTATTATATATTTTTTAAAATATAATATATGTCTCGGCCACCAAACCATGAATTTCAGGAGTGGTGGAACAAGCAGCGAGCCAATGGCGATGACAAAGATAACGAACTTTTGAACGGTCCGTCGTCGTCTCCCGAAACCCGTAGCTTCTTAACCGTCGAGATCAACAGCCCTAACGCCGGCCGTCCACTCGAGAAGGAGCGTTACCGGAACGCCCGGCAGCTCTCCTGGATTTGGCTTCTTAAGTTCCAACAGCTTGCTAGCTCCGTCGCGTTCCTCGCCAATGGATTCTTCACGCTGCTCCGCACGGCCAATCGTCGCGTCGCGTCGGCGTCCTCCGCCGCGACGGCGCACCGCTCGGAATCGAAGCTGTATAGGATAATTAAGGCTTTTCTGGTTGTCGTTGTTACGATGTTAGTGTTTGAGCTCGTTGCCTACTTTAGGGGATGGCATTTCAGTCCGCCGACATTGGACGCCGAGGAGGTGTTGGATTTGGTGGAGTATCTGTATGCTAAGTGGTTGGACATTCGGGTCAATTATTTGGCTCCGCCGTTGCAAGCCTTGACGAATGTGTGCATTGTCTTGTTCTTGGTTCAGTCCGTGGATCGAGTGGTTTTAGTGCTCGGTTGTGCCTGGATTAAGTTCAGGGGAATGAAACCGGTGGCTCAAATTGAGTATTCATCATCGGACCTCGAGAATTCTGCGGTCGATTATCCCATGGTGCTCGTGCAAATACCAATGTGCAACGAGAAGGAGGTAAGATGATGTATGTTTTCAATCCGGATTAAAAATACTTATATTTCTGGTTCTCTTACTCTTTCTAATTCAATTCTATTTGCTTCCACAACAACTATGCCTTTTTTTTCTCAATGTTTATGTAGAATATCATTTGAGTCTCTGCATTATGTTTTACAGTTTATATGCCTACAAAAGTGTAGTTATAGCTGTTTATGTTCGTTTACAAACTTACAATCAATATGTTCGTGGTTTATTTGGAGTTGAGCGCATTAAGTTTCATGGAGAGCTCTAGCTTTTGTACATTGTAGTCGATGTAGTAGTACCGCTGCTAAGGTTTTGCTATATGTGCTCTACTTCAAATACAGTGTGCTGTTCACCAAAATGTAATGGAAACGAAAGTTTCCATTCCTGAACAACCAGAATGTGTTCATCTAAAAAGTGAGAGTTTCTTGACTAAGAATCGAGCTCTTTTCATTGATTTTATGTTCGTCATGTCAATTCAGGTATACCAGCAGTCTATTGGAGCTGTATGTATCCAAGATTGGCCAAAGGATAAAATGCTCGTGCAAGTTTTAGATGATTCTGATGATATGGATGTTCAAAACCTTATTAAGGCAGAAGTTCAAAAATGGCAACAAAGAGGTGTCCACATCATATACAGACATCGACTAGTACGCACTGGTTATAAAGCTGGGAACCTCAAATCAGCAATGAGCTGTGAATATGTCAAAGATTATGAGTTTGTCGCAATCTTTGATGCAGATTTTCAACCAGCACCTGACTTTCTCAAGAAAACTATTCCTTATTTCAAAGTAATACCTTTACTCCGATCTGAATATGCATTTAATATTTCTATAATAAACCTTGAGGTTTAGGCTGGAAAAGTATTGATTTATATTCATATATCTAGATTGACATGCGATTCTGCTTAAACATTGTATGAATGCTGCCCTATTTCGTCGAACGACCCCATAGTAAAATTATACAGAGCTTGAACTTAAATGTATGATTATGCTATTGTGCCTTAATACTTTCCCTTGGCTGACGAGTAGAGTACTGGAGTCTGTTATCTAAATTCACAAATGTTCTTCACCTACTCATTGGAATCTTTTCTATTCTTTCAGGGTAATGATGATCTTGCACTGGTCCAAACAAGGTGGTCATTCGTAAATAAGGATGAGAATCTGCTTACGAAGTTGCAAAATATAAACTTAGCCTTTCACTTTGAGGTTGAGCAACAAGTAAATGGTTGGTTTATCAATTTTTTCGGTTTTAATGGAACTGCCGGTGTCTGGAGAATCAAGGCACTCGAGGATTGTGGTGGCTGGTTGGATCGAACTACTGTTGAAGACATGGATGTTGCTGTGCGTGCTCACCTTTGTGGATGGAGATTCATTTATTTGAATGATGTTAGGGTATGTGTGCTGCTAGATTTTCTTCTCTGCTTTTAAGATCAGTTATGCCACTGGAATTATATTTTGCTTCATGTATTGCAGTGCCTGTGTGAGCTCCCAGAGTCATATGAGGCGTACAAGAAGCAGCAACACCGTTGGCATTCTGGCCCAATGCAGTTATTTCGCTTATGCTTTGTTGACATACTTCGTTCAAAGGTAGTCATAAAAACTCCATAAACAATCCGGCTATCTTCCCCTTTCAGATTTGAATCTCTTGCTTGTGCTCGAAGGTGTTAGATCTAAACAAAAATCGAAGACAAATATCACAACAGTGTAGAATACCTTTCATTTCATGTTATTTATTGGTTTTCCTTAACAAATTCCGTATTCCATCTATGTGTTGTAATGATCTCCTGGCCTTGCATGTGCAATCAGCTTTAATGATTTGGATTTAGAAAACAATATTTCATACACTACTTTGAACAAAATTTCTACTGCAAAATATGGAGGGGGAATCTTGTAAAGATAAAAGGTTGAGAAAGAGAAAGCTGACATTTGCTGCTTGCCATGAGTTCTGTTTTAGGGATGTATATGATAGTATTATTCTGGAAACTTCATCCTGTGTTCTTCTCTTTTTCAGGTCAGTGTGGTGAAGAAAGCTAATATGATATTCCTCTTCTTCCTCCTCCGAAAGCTCGTACTTCCTTTTTATTCATTCACCCTTTTCTGCATCATTCTTCCTCTGACAATGTTCCTTCCTGAAGCTCAGCTACCAGCTTGGGTGGTTTGTTATATTCCTGGGCTTATGTCTATCCTGAACATCATTCCAGCTCCACAGTCATTCCCATTCATCGTACCATACCTTCTATTTGAAAACACTATGTCCGTAACCAAATTTAATGCTATGATATCTGGGCTGTTTCAGTTAGGAAGTTCTTATGAGTGGATAGTTACCAAGAAATTGGGCAGATCATCTGAAGCTGATTTGGTTTCAATAATTGAACATGAATCTGAGTCTTTGGTTGGAAGTGGTGGTCTCCCAAAGTCGTCCTCGGATTCAGGACTTGCTGAGCTTAATAGATTGGAGATGAACAAAAAAAGTGGGAAGGCCAAGAAAAATAGACTGTACAGAAAAGAATTAGGTCTTGCATTTATTTTGTTAACTGCCTCAGTTAGGAGCTTGTTATCTGCTCAGGGAATACACTTCTACTTCCTGTTATTTCAAGGAGTAACTTTTCTGGCAGTTGGTCTTGATTTGATCGGCGAGCAGGTCAGTTGAATACTTGGTACTTCGCTGCAGTATGTTCCATAGCCCTGTGTTGGGGTTCCGCGTGGAACGAGTAATTGTGCCTAGTGGAAGCACTACCTCTCTTTTGAAGTGCAATACATAGGCTTAGCAATTGTACTTTGAGTGCGAGGCCCTCTCTCCAACGAGTAGAGCTTATCAGAGATGAAAAGGTATATTTTACACGGATTCTTTATTTGTTCAGCACTAAGCTTATTGTTTGCAGTGCTGTTTAGAGTTTGTTGAAAGCTCCAAAGGTGGCACAAACGGGGGGATTTGCAACTTATAGATGGCTAGTATGCTGTATTAGTATGAAACATTGACCTGTGATTATGTGCAGGCTTCATGTTAGATTAGATTTTGAGGTTAGTCATTCTTTGTTTGTGTTATTGATAGATATTGTACAATCACACAGTTTATACACACTTTCTGGAAAAAGACCATGCTCTGGTCTATAGTATTGAGTAGAAAGCTGATGGTCAGCTGATGATGTTGTCATTGAGATTTTCTGCCTTGAATGCAGTTAGGTATGTGGATATTCAGAATATTCGCCTGTCCGGTGAATATTTGTGGTGATACTGTGGTCGGAAAAGTGGTGCTCGTGAAACATTCATTTGATCAACTTTTTTACTTAAAAAGATCGGTCTCTGATTTCCAAATACAATAGGTGCTATGCTTGTAGTCTTCGAAGAAATTGCTGAAGAAATAAGTTAAGTTGATACAAATGCCTCATGGATGAATTAAACTCGGATCTCTACGGAAAAGAAGCACCGAAATCAAGCATTTCGTTCGTTTAAAAAATCTACGCCAGAAGTAATTTTAAGAAAGATTAGCATGTCAAACAATAGGAACCAGAGCAATTTTAAGGATTAGCATGTTAAACATTATGAAAAGCAGGATTTCAACCTTAGAAGCAGACATGCCAAAGATCAAATTTTATCTATGACCACCAGTATCAAGCTATCAACACTCTAGTAGATTTAAAATATTTTATAAATCAGTTTTGCCATTTCTGCAATACCCCAACAACTGATGGCTCTTCTACACGACGGATGAATTATAGGAGGAAAAAAATTGAGAACAACCGCACAAGAGTATATATGTCAACCATAATTAAGATAAGATGGCAAATTAAAAACTCAAAATTTTACAATCCTGAAGACACCGATGTTCAGGCATCATTCGCATCATTCTTTCTGGCGGTAGAGTACAAAAAGGAACCACCTCAAATAATGAGGGGATACATAAATAAACCTTGAGATCAGAAACCTAGAAACATTTAAACTCATAAAAAAGAATCACGAGACTCGATTAAGCAGCAGCGCCCTTGCCTTTCTTCCTCTGGATCTTCTTCATGTAGAATTCAAGTTCCTTGCCCTCCAGAATGTAACTACAAGCAAATTCCAACAATGGTAAAAGTTAAAGACGGTAATGCACTTCAGACTAGTGAGATGATACAAAAAAACAACTTGGAACCAATGTACTGCCAAAAAAAGAAATGAAAGAATGGTGTAAGGATTGAGCTTACCCATCTGCTCGGCCACATTGACCTGGACGGGAAGAAATGCAAGCCAGCAATCGACCACCCCCGAATTGCTCCTCGATGTGAGGATCAAGAGTTCGACCTTGCTGCCGCTTTTCAATTTTCCTGGTGACGTGGTTGCTCTTTTTAGCTTCCTCAGCAGCAGCAGCAGGAGCCTCACCCTCCTGTCACACCATTTCAAATCATATGAGTTAATCATATCTTTTGACGGTCAATGAAAATCAGATTCAACTTTTTTTTGTGCTAATAACAATAGAGGTATAGAACAGACGTAGTAATCATGATAGATTGTTCAAGGAGAATTTTGATAACGAATTTAAGTAGCAGATTATAGAGGTAAGAATACCTCAGTGGATTCCTTCTTAACAGCAGCCTTCTTCTTCCTACCAATGTCAACACCATAATGCTGAAGATACCACTGCTTAAAAGGAGCTGCGTCAACCTGAACAATAGCACTCTTCACAAGAGTCTGAGTCCTAACAAGTTCATTGTTTGAGGCATTATACACGACATCCAGGATACGGGTCTTCCGAGTGACAGCCTCACTACCCCATGAGTAGTTTCCTGTGTCCAACCTCAAAGCCCTCCATTTCACATTGCCTCCACGAACACGGATTCTACGGACTGTCTTGTTGCTCGATAGCTTAGTGTTAGCTGGTTGGCGACCAAGCTCGTACCTTTGATGAAAGAAGTCAGGAAAAGCAGGAGCAGTGGAAAATAAGTGAACCTCTTTCATGAAACTATGGTCTCAATGATTCACCACTCGATGTTTAATCACAAGTATTATAAAACACATTGGGACCAAAGTAGTTTTTCTAATCAGTACAAGTTACTCAGAATACCTACCAGTGGAGCTTCCGCCATGACTACTGATACCCAGACACATAACGGTGATGCACTATCTTTTTGCAACAAATAAGAATCAACCAGGAGTCCTCTATCATGACTAGCATGGATCGTTAACCTCTAGTACAACTTCACTTTTGCTAATTATACTAAAGACTTTGTCAGGGATACCCTAAAAATGCCATTTCCGAGAGGGGGGGGGGGGGTGGGGGAAGGTTTCAACTTTCGCTCTTTAAATCATAAACCCAAAACACAACTGAAAACATATCATAACCGGCACTTCTGAATCTTAATTAGGATACCAATGAATTCAAATGAAAATCAAAATCACACCAATCAATAGCAATGTGGATGATAAAAACAGATAGCTTCCCGCATGATAAAAACAAGATTAGGCGGCGGAATCAAACAAGCAAAACACTGATCTAAGACAAGTTTTTAAAACCAGACAAATTGATTAAAAACAAAAGAGAAAGACATACTTTCGCTTCTTCCTCCAAGCCTTCTTCTTCCCTCCAGTAGCACGCCTCTTGTGCATGGAATCCCGGGAGATACCTATCCACACAATCACAGATAACTGGCATGTTAAAGGCCATTTCCTTCCGAGATGAACAGTTAGAGAAAACCCAGAAAACAAATTACTGGATGTTTGAACATACCCATCTTGAATCAAATCTTAGTTTGAGTTTCTCTCGCTGCTGTCTGCCTCTTCTCGCTGCTCTCCGCGGAAACGATGTGTAGTTTTTTTATGTTAAATTGATAAAAACTGGCGGAGGGGGGACTGCACTAAAAACCCTAATCGTATTTGTTGGGCTAACGGGCTACTTTTACCTATCAACTACTTATGGGCCAACACTGAGTTACCCTTTTTACCTTTAGGCCCATGAATGTCTTTCTGCTTTCTTTCAATTAAGTAATTACCCAAAACTTTACTATTCTTGATAAAATAATGAACGAAGTAACATGCATATAATTACACAAGTATTTTTTTTCTAGTGGATTGTTTTTAAAAATGAAAGTTGGTAATTTTTTCTTTTTATTAGTCACTATTTTTTTTCATTATAATTTTTCATTGGTTAATTTTTCACTATTTTTTTCATTATAATTTTTTCATTATGAATGTTGAATATTGAATTTTTGTTTAAAAAAATAATATTGAATTGATTAAAGTGTTTAGCTTCAAATGCTTGATGTTTAAATTTTAATTTCTCAAACAAAATGGTTAATTACGATTCTTGTTTGATAAAAAAATTAGAGTGAACCTCAAAACAAGTCATCAACCTTTAATATATTTTCACTCTCGGTCATCAATTAAATTTATTTGTAACACTGGTTACCTTACTAGAGTTTTAATCCATTTCAGATTATTGTGTTAATTTTGGCCATGAAATAGTGACGGAAATCTATTTTTCACATGTTTTTGGGTTCAGGGGTATTTTTATCATTTTATTATTTTTTAATTTTTTAATCTTTTAAATTTTATTTTTTTTTACAATTGTTCTTCTTATACTTCCTAACTTGTATATACTGGTAGTATAATTCTAAATTTTAAAAATTTATTTTCTTTTTGTATTTTAACTTCTAGATTATAAATTTTTTTAAAAAAAATTTTAGAAATGAAGAAGAAAAATTCGAGTTAAAGTAAACATGAAAATTAATAATTTAACATTTTAAATAAAAATAAAATTAAAATAATTAGCTAAGACAAGTTGTTTCTTCTAGGTTATTTAATTTTTTTCAACTCGGTTGAATTATTTAATTATTAATTTTCATGTTTTTATTCTTTTTTTTTTAATAATCTACAAGTTAATATACAAATGACAAATTAATTTTAAAAAATGAATTTGTTTGTCATGTGTATGTTAATTTATAGATTATAAAAAAAGGAATAAGAAACGTGAAAATTAATAATTAAATAATTCAATAGAGTTGAAAAAAATTAAATAACCTAGAAGAAACAACTTGTCTTAGCTAATTTTTTTAGTTTTTCTTTTTGTTTAAAATGGTAAATTATTAATTTTCATGTTTACTTTAGCTCGAATTTTTCTTCTTCATTTCTTAAATTTTTTTTAAAAAAATTTTATAATCTAAAAGTTAAAATGCAAAAGGAAAATAAATTTTTAAAATTTAGAATTATACTACCAATGTATACAAGTTAGGAAGTATAAGAAGAATTCTAAAAAAAAAAAATTTAAAAGATCAAAAAATAAAAAAATAATAAAATGATAAAAATACTCTTGAACTCAAAAGTATGTGAAAAATGGATGTTCGTCACTATTTAACGACCAAAATCAACAGAACAATCTGAAATTGATTAAAACTTTAGTAAGGTAATCTGTGTTACAAATAAATTTAATTGATGACCTAGAATAGAAATATATTAAAGGTTAATGACTTGTTTTGAGGTTCACTCAAAAAATTATTAAAAACTTGCTGAATTGCCAAAATTGTACGAGATGAATCTTTTATAGATTTATTTTATAATCGTACTACTCTTTCTCAATTGTTATACAATATATAAGCATGTTCATTATGCGTGTAAAATACAGATTATCAAACGACTCCATGTTGTCAAGTAGTTAACTAAAATCTACATGGCATTTCTTAGATGATACTAGGCAAATCCTAAAGTATTAAACTATTATATCTTTGCAAATAAATAAAGTCAATAATAAGAATGTACTTTTATGAAATTAATTAAGAATTTTACAGGTAATACCAACAAGCCTTTTTTTCTCATTAAGATGAGTATTTTAAATAATAATTGAAGAGTCATCAATTAGTGTATTGAATAAAAAGATGTCCATTAGTGATTTTGGAATCCAATAACAAATAAGTTGTTTAAAAAAAGATAGATGAGGGTACTTGTAATTAACAATAAGTATTAAATAGATTTATTGCTTAAATTTGTACTTCAGCATGCTTAATCAAGTGAGTAGACTACTTTTCATTTATCAAACATGTTTATAACAAACAAGCCCTTACGCAATTACATACCAACGTAATAATGTACTCTTTGTTTTCTGAAAATATTGCAATATCATAATCATAAACTGTATGAAATATACTACAATGCACAGCTTATAATATAAATTAATTTTTTATACAGTGAGTAAAATAGAGTAAATCCCGATTTTTTCCCTTTTCTATAACTTACAAATATCCTTACCGGTCTTAACTATAAAGTACAAAAAATAAACACTAAAGTTAAAACTTGTACTATCTTTTAACTAAGACGGAATAGAGTCCATTACAATAGGGGTGTATCTCGTTGATCCTCTTTATATCTATGCTGAGAAACTAATACTTGGCAAAATGATAGCTAACCAGATTCCGCTACCGCTATTATTAACTCTTGTATGTGAGAACACTATTCTTATCCTGTCACAAATAATTGCGCATCTAAGTTTAGTGTTAGTAGGTTGAACACTTGGTTCTGTAATATTATATCGACGGTGTTATGTTGTTTTCTGGTTGAAAAAACTCGTCTTCCTTTTCCCCAACAGCAACTGTGGATATAAAATGTTTCCCACTGGTGGGTAAACTAGATGCACAACCGAGAAGCAGTTGTGCAGGCTTACATGGAACGAACTGATAGACGACAAGCAGTTCGTGTTTGGATAGCCAAAATTGCTCACAAGCAGAATACAAGTATCAAACGAATTCATATACACTGAAACAGACAATCTTCTCGACATAAAGTTTAACCTCATCGACTGTCTGTCAAAGCATACAAGTTTTAACCTCGTTCAATTATAAAGTACTCTCATGTCAGCTCCTAATATTGCCATCACAATTTTGTAACTTTTCTCAAATGTGAAAGTACAGAATCAAATAGCCCAAAAGAGGGAATGAGGAAAAAAAAAAAAAAAAAAAAAGAACAAGGTATCTAGGATGCATAAGCTTTGTTTCGAGATGCACATCCACTTTGCTCAGGCCTTGCTGTCAATACTCATGGGTTCCGCTTCCTTAGGAGCAGTTTTCTGCACCGTGAAACCAAATGTTTTACCTTAGTTCCATACTGTTCTTAAGTATAAGACCTACAAAGAAAAAACAAGGAGAATGGGAGAATGTTTCAAGTACTTACGTTAACGTCGACCTTGTTCAACCGGGCAAACATGTTTCCATAAAACTTAGCATCTTTCTTGTTGAACTCCTTCACCTTTTCCTTCAAGGTTTTGTATTCCAGCTTGACATCCCTGCAGTCCAAGAAATTGTTCAGGATTGTTTTTCGTTCCAGACAATTACAGAATATGGAAGATCTCCACCAACTGGTTCACTAGGCATTACCTGTTATCAGGGTCGATTTCAAGTGCTTTCTTGATATCAAACTCAGCTAAATCCAGGTCAGCCAAATTCATGTAAGCCTGGGCTCTTCTGTAAAGGGCTTTCACATTTGTTGTCTCCAGTTCCAATACCTAAACAAATACACAGAGTATATCGAAATGAACAAACTTCAGTAACGAGAGTAGAACATGGGAATGGGTTCGCATCAGGTAATCAGAAAAGGGTTCTCATTCTAGATCCTTCATACCTTAGTGCAGAGTTTTACTGCTTCCTTATACTCCTTCAACTTCAACTTGCAAGCAGCATTGTTTAGATTGCAAGAGATCTTCAAGGCTTTGGACTGCCTTTTTTCTTCCTCACTGAAAGAGGTATCATACTCAATGAACTTTGCAGCCTGCACACAAAGCATGTTAGCAAACAAAATAAATCCGACAATATATCGAAGAGCCACAAACCTCAAATGGACACAAACCTTCTCATATCTCTTAGAAGCCCTAGCATATTTCCCAGCCTTGAAAAGTGCATTTCCTTCTTCCTTCTTTCTGCCAGCAGCTTCAATCTTCTCTTGGGTGTTCATATCCCAAGATTCCTTCTCCTGGAGGAATTTCTTGAAAATGTAAGAAATTGAAGAGGTGGATGCTAATCACAGTACCAGAATGTTTAACATTCCATTTCACTCACTTTGTCAAAAGACACCAGCTCTACTTCATAATAAACGGTGGAATTAGGAGGAACAACAGCCAACTCCTGCTTGGACTCAGTTGAACCAAAAGCATACTCAGGCGCAATGGTCAACAATGCTATCTCACCCTTCTTCATTGCCATCACAGCTTTATCCAGTCCATCAATGACTTGTTCTGTTCCATTAAGAAAGTCAGTAACCAAAAACAGGTACACAAACAGTAAGCAGACAACGTAACAAAGGAGCTTAAACACAAAAGCTACCCTCATCCGTCTTGAACTGAAAGAGGTCCTCTTCACTTTCACCCTTCTTAAAGAAAACAGTACCATCCTGCAGTTTCCCAGTAATTTTCACTGCAAAATGCAAGTCAGAAAGTTTAACTATAGCTGATTTGAAATGGAAGCGTGACTTTACAAAATCAGAGTAGAAGTAAAATACAACACTTACATTTGACAACAGCCCCTTCATTAGGCTTCTCATATCCCTCTCCTTCTTTCAGAATCTTTTTAACCACCTTCTTATCATCTGTTACATTAGTAACAGTCTTCCAAGACACAAGCTCGAGAGTTATATTCAAATTAGCATTAGGAGGGATGGCACTTTGGTCGCCAGAGGCTGGTTTGCCCTTCTCACCAAATCCATCTGCAACATGTTTGTTATAAGTATTAGCATCATACTTCCTAGCAAAGGAAAGAATGGATACAGATCATCACTCTCAACAATGCTTACATTGTGGTTTGACGGTCAAAAGGACCTTTTCACCCCTCTTCATCGTCTTAACAGCCTTGGCAATTGCAGGACAGAAATGACCTATTCAACGAGAATAAGACCCCATAAGAAGAACTGAATAAAATTGCTGACTGACATCAGAGAATATTACGGGAACAAACCTTCCCCGACAGTGAATTCCACTCCATCTGATTTGGCCACCACTGTTCCATCTTCCAGGCGAGCTTCATACTTCACTGTACCACAAAATGGAAAACCAGATGAACTCTGAGATACACAACATATTATCAAACATCAACCTATCACTAAAATGATCACCCACTCTTTCATATACCTGTAACTTCATCAAGATCTTTAGGATTTTCCCATTTCTCTCCATCAACAAGAATCTTCTTGAATACTCCACCATCTTTGCAGATGTCCTTTACACTTGCCCATGAAAGCAACTCAACATCGAATTGAAGAGTCGCATTCGGAGGGATAGTAGGAGGAGATCCAGAAGCACCATAGGCAAGTTCAGGAGGTATGGTAAAAATTGCATTTTCTCCTTTCTTCATAGTCTTAATACCTTGATCCCATCCCTTTATCACTTGACCTGTTATATGTGAACACTGACATTTAGACACTGAAACTTATAGTACACTACAAATTTCAGGCAAGTTAGTAACGGGATAACTTGTATGGGTTAGAAACCAAAAAAGCTGATCCGGCTTGCACAACGTGGTACTGGAATTCCTAAAAACTTATTTCGCAGCCAAATAATGTTTAAAGCATGAAAACCATTCATTAACCGAAAAATTAACTGATCCTCAACCCATTCTCTTAAAGACATACACTGCATAAACACTTGTTCTAATCAAAAGGCCTAAAACAGAGATGGGAGCAAAACGAAAAAGGAAATATAAAACAAACTATATTCCTTTAATTCTGACAACTGTAACTATGTTGACCAACTGACGTTTCAAAGACGATAAAGAAGTTCTCATCATTTTAAATTGAAAAATTACATCAACAGGAAAAGAATGCAAATGGAAAGGTAAACCTAAACAAACTAGCATAAGAAACTAGCATCAGAAGCTCACCTTGGCCAAGAGTGAACTTGAATGGAGTACCCCTGTCGCGGCTAGAATCAAACTTAGTCCCATCGAGCAAAGTCCCCGTGTAATGCACTGATAGACAGACAAACAAACAAAAGCATAAGAACCAAGACGTTTTCACGTTTCAAAATTATTATTCAAACCTAAATTCGTAAGATAAACCTTACCTTCAACTTCATCGCCAGCTTCAGGAGTATCCCAACCTGCACCTTCCTTGACAAGCTTCTTCTTCAATCCATCCTTCCCGATCTCTTTCTCTTCTCCAACTTTCAGCACGGTGTCTTCCGGCAGATCCATATCATCCATTCCCATTCCCATTCCCTCGTCCATGGGAGGCATATCGAAATCCTCATCCATTTCTTCTCTACACGCAGATTAATAGAACACAACCAAAAAAATTCAAAAGCCTTAATCGAACGATTAATAGGAGAAACAATGCTGGGGAGTAAAAACGAATTGTGTGATTGGGGAAGAATAAGGAGCAAGGTTTAAATTGGGTGTGTGGGTTCTAGAGGCTTCTAAAGAGGGTTTAGGAAGCGAGTAGAGTGACGAAGGGTCAGGATTCTTCTGGAGATAATCTTTTTTTTTATGTCCTTTGGATTACTGCTTACGGTAGTGTGATTATATGATTCTTCGGTATTCGGTCCACGTGGACTTTACCGCGAGTCTGACGTTTTAGTACTTATCTACAGCCGTTGATTAAGATCCAACGGTGATTATGCGTCTTTGGCCCTTGAAGGTGCACGGAGTGTGCAGGTTTAGGTAATGCGGAGAATAATTGTTTGACCTCTCCGCATGAACCTGTTTGGATTATTTTTTTTCTTTATACGTATATATTTTTACATTTACGATTTAAGCTAAATCATGTCAACATGTAACATAGAATTTACGCTTGAGAAGGTGATTCCATTACGGTCTAATCTTGCAAACCCAACCACTTCAGAAGATTATAGGCTGATATTGTATATTTAATTACGCGATTTACTGTTAAAGTTACACTTTTGAACATTGAATTTGAGGTCGAAATGTAGTCAATATCCTCCTAAATGTTTCAGTGGTCCGGAACCATGCAGAGGTCCGTTTCTTTTAGCCGTTGTGACCATAAATTTTATCGCACTAAATAATTGATGAGGAAGTACTTTTCATTGCTTGTTTAGACACTGTGCTTAAAAGGTTGTTAACTGTTTGTTTTTCTGATTAGTAACAGCAGCAGTACAAGCGCAGAAATGAAACTACTTTCCCACCAATTCGAACGTGAAGAAGTTCTCAAACAGAAGTACAACACTCTGATGGTAACAACTGGAAGAAGTCGAGTGCCACCGGCTATTGGTTACGGGTTCTGAACTTAGGGACTACCTGATGACTGGGAAGGGAGAGACTTGCTCCTTTATGCAAAAGAAGAAAAAGAAAGACAAGAAAAACCTAAAACTAATCGCCAAAGCCAGAGACACTGACAAAACTAGCAAAAGTGAACATTGACCAAAGTGCAAACTGGATTGTGAAGAACTGTTAGTTCAGCACAACCTCAGAACAGAGCAACTTAAACCAATCCTAGCAGCTTTTGGTGGACCTATAGTTCGCTATCGTCTGACCCACTTGATGGTTTTCCATTTACCGAAACTAACTCTGTGTCAAAGATCAAAGTGGCTCCCCCTACAAATAACCAAAACAGAAGCAAAGATTCATCAGTAGAATTCCTGTGATGCATCAGTAAGCCCGGCATAAATAACACAAAAAAACTTATTCAAACATATAGGACAATCCAATACCCAATAACATGATGACGGAGGCCATGCCCGAACATATACTGAATGACTACCAGAAGAACTACAGAACTAAAGTGAATGCAGCCTAAAAGATTGTTGGTCTGCTACTGAAATTAATGTTAGGGAAGAAACACTAAATTTTATTTTGTTTCAACCTGATGAACCAGATTTTTAAGACCTAAAATGTGCATTTACTAAGAATTTCAACTCCAGTTACAAGATGACTGCATAATCTAATCAGAAGGTTTACTCCAGAGATATGTACTGATAAACATACCAGGGATTGTTGGTGGGGAACCTTGATCTCCGTACCCAAGTTTTGAAGGTATTTTCAACTTCCTCTTCTCGCCAACACACATTCCCAGGAGTCCTTGGTCCCATCCTGCTCACGAGATAAAATTTCATTAAGTCTAGATAGAAATTTGGTACACAAATCATGCATATAGAAATTTTCCCCATATAGAAAAGTTGCAATGTTATTGATGAGGCTAGTCATGCAGCAAGAGAAGCACGTCTCAAAAACTAGTGACTCAAAGAAACAAACCAACATTTTAGCATAAAATTACGTACAACACACTATAAGAAGTAAAGCACCATGAATTAGATAGTATGTTACAAGTTCCATAATGTTATAAAAATCACTCCACAGAATGTGCAACTATCCATATGTAAAAATGGGTTAACATTCATAAGATTTGTATCCCCCAGTCTTGATTATGTCGTAAGCATCACAAACTAGACATGGTTACTTCGGCTTGTTACTTAGCAAACAACTTTTTAAAGCTCAAATTAAGAGGCCAGCAGAATAGCTAATAAAGAGAGTTCCGCCCATATCTATATGTCAAACTGCATAATAACCATAGCATGGAAAGTGGTCAGTTCTATTGTGGGCAACTATTAACCATTTTTTCAATCACTTATTCATACAGAACTTTAAGAACCAAATCCAACTACATAAAGATCTAGCAGTCAAATTTCAAGCCAGAGAGGAAACAGCTAATATCAAGGACATCACTACCTTTAATCACTTGACCACTTCCAAGCTCAAACTCAATCGGGTCACCCCTTTCAAAGCTAGAATCAAATACAGTTCCATCTGTAAGTTTTCCCTGCAACAAGATTAAAAAATGTCGGTAGGAACAGAAACAAATGAAGTGGCCAAACTCTAAAGGCGCATATCAATTCTCCTACTAGGGAAAAAAAAAGGTCCAGATGATCAAACAATCAATGGTCAGCTAATAAGGTTTTATATAGAGCATCCAAAAGCACAAAAATGGTGCAGGAACACGAGTTGAGTTGCCATGCACAAAAAAGGTACTGGCACAGGGCCAAACCATTAAGTCCCAACGTATACGCTTTTCCTTACATTTCTATAAGAGGCTATTTCAGCAACTCAGAAAATACCCAAAAAAAAATCTAGAAAAATCGTCAATTTCTATGAAGAAACAATATTAGCAGCTTTTTTTTTGGCGTGACCCTCATTTACTGCAGAAAGTCCTCGGCATCTCAATGGATGAGTATCAGGAAGCTATCAAAATTACAAATGCGAAAACTAAAAGATATTGTAGCATTCAAATGATACAAAAGCACTCTCCCAACTACTTCCAACCCCATAATTATGCATCATCTAAAGTTGCATACACAGCAGCAGATTCTGCAGACTACTGGCTAATTCATAATATTTCAGTTCTATTGGTTTGTACTAGCTGATCAAAGTAATGTAATAAATTTGTGATCATAACGTGCTTATCCCACCAATCAAAAGAATACATGAGGAAAACCAGTACAGAGAAGAAGATGATATTTTCCACTTACCCGGTAGTGTACTCTGACTCTGTCACCTTTGTGGGCTTGGTATTCACAAGACGCGGGCTTGTGCTGAGGCAGGGAGAAAATTTATGAATTTAGAATAAAGAATGAACTATAATACAAGTTCTGAAGAACGTGATAACTAGTATATTCATATTAGAGGGCCACGGGAAACTGTCAAGCAACAAACACAGACCAAGATAATAGAAGCCACATTTATCAATGGGTGATGTTTGCTGGATCACTCCAATTGAGAAGAGAGTTTCAAATAAGTCAATTTATCTCCTAAATATCATAACAACAGCAGCAGCTTGAATATTAACCAATGATGCGAGCTAAAAATCTTTAAGCACAGGAATGAATGAATATTAAAATCAACCGGACGCAACATAAATGGAGCACCCTAAACGGAAGTACAATTTCCATCAGACAAATTAAAACACACCAGTTAGCTAGCTTTCTCCAAAGCAATGGAATATGGGATACATTAATAATTACTCAGAGATCGTCCCGATAAGTTTAAGACTGTGAAATTAATTGTTCTTATAAATACATTCCAAACTTTCCCCCGCGTAGAATAACAAAGTACAGTAATATCATCAAGTCAACATCATCCAAAAATCCATAAAACTCCACATAAGAAACAGTTTACCATTTGTACCAATCAAAGGTAAAGGAAAAAAAAAAGTTCAAAACGAATCAGAAAGAAGACAAATACTGTATTTTACCTTCACGCCAATTTGCAGCTCCGTGACATCCCCTGATTTCTTAGCCAATGCTGGAAGAACAAAAACACAAGTTAAATTCGGATGAGGCAACAAAAATATGAGCTTCAGATTAGTGCGTGCCTGAACAACAGAGTTAATCTGTAATACCGGATCTACCCACAAATTCACAAAAACCAGATCACAGTAATAGCATTAAGGAGAAGAATGATTTACCTATGGTAACAAAAATGAGAAGCAGAAATATTGAAGCGTAAGCGTTAGTGGATTTCATTTTCAGTATCAGAACCTCCTTCCCTACGGTATTTGGGATAGCAGAATTAATTTCCGGTAAAAATTTGGGAAGCTGCCGGCAGCGGTGGTGAAGATTTATATAGCTTTCATTGCTTTGGTACACATGGGAGCTCCAACGTAATGGTAACATCAAGTGACCAGTCAGGATTTCCCACGTAGGCACTTCGGGGGCCCTGTCACAATTGCTACGCTGGCATGGGTAAAAATAGTTATCCCCTTAATATAAAATATATATTTTGATTTGTTCTGAATTTCAAATTTTATACATTTTTAATCAATTTAAAAAACCTTAAAAATATATACACACACTTATTGTGTTCTCTTGATTGTTAGGAGAAAAAATTTAAAGTTTTTTTATCAATAAAAAATATGTATTAAATAAAACTTAGAACAACCTTATATTAAGGATGGGGAGTAGTATCAGACATAATTTTCTTTTAAATTAAAAAAAACTTAAAAACTTAATCCTCCAACAAAATTGCAACTAAATATGTAATTTTTCGAAAGAACAAAAAATTCTCGCAGCACTTTATTGCTGTTTGCTTCATGATATTAGTATACTTCATGACTTTGATCAATCTTTTTATACCTTTTGTGTTGATAAAATAAATGAAATAAGAAGCTCAAAAATGCATATTTTTTTGAAAAATCAGTACGTGGTGAGAAGACAAATGCAACAACTCTTGTGAAATTCGAAAATGGTACTCCCTCTGATCTTTATTATAAGGCATTTTGATTTCGTTCTTAATTATCCTAAGATGTCTTTTTAATTAAAAAAAAACTTTAAAAATATATTTTTAAATTCATTGTGTTCTCCTAATTATTATAAAATATTTTTAAGATTTTTTTATTTCGATTGAAAAAACATTTTAGGTGAAATCTAAGAGAAATCAAAGTGTCTTATAAAAAAAACCAGAGGGAGTATCACTATTCACAATCAACTTTTTGACTAACCACAGTAACAACTTAATTGGACTTCGTACATTATTAATACATTTGAACTAACAGAACACTGTCAGTAGTACGCAGTTCAATAACATATGGCTTCCAAAAATTCGATTAAGATAGTGATATAGACATAATTAAATGCTTGTTCTAGGCCAATGTCTGAGGGCGTTTGTGTCTTAAAATTGTTAAATTAAAAAATTATAAGTGAAAAAAGTATATTTTAGAGTAATAATATGTATAATATAATATTATAAAATAGATCACGATAACAAATTACCCGCGAGTCATGCCCGTTGGCTAATAACAAATTACAATACTATTGAGATAATATCTCTTGAACTAACAAATAAACATTCGGTGATAGAATCCTTGGATACAATATCTTGACTGCGATAATGGAGAGATCATTTTTCGCTCTCCCGGTATTGATCGCTATGATAGCATGATGGAATTTTTCTAGTTTTCCCGTTACTAGATTTTAAGTTAAATTTTAAGGATTGATGTCTCCTTGATTGAGCCAATTGTCTGCTAAAACAAAAATATTAAAGTGATCACCTTCATTTTCATCGAGTCAATTGTATTACGTTGAGCAAAAATACTTGATTGAGGAATTATATATTTAATTGAGCCAATTGTATGTTAGAGCCAATTTTTATTTAACTATTTTGTATTTACGGAGATTGGGGAGGCGCTACTCGCAGTAATATTTCACGTGATTTAAGGTTTTTTTACATTTGATTTTATCAACTCAAGTTTATTGTTTTAAGGGATTAGTATATAGTTATAATTAAGGGATTAGTATGTAGCTATAAATAAGGGATTTATTTATTTATTTATTCCATTTTTTTCTGAATAGTTAGTGCCACATGTCAAAAATAATTTTGTACTGAAAATGACTTTTAGCGGAAAAATTTTCATTGTAGTGTTTACACATCAGTAGCTTGTATGTTCCTTTAATTAAGTACTATAGATAACTCAAAAGGTATCTAGGGTTCATAGTACGGAAGACATTGAATCAAGAAATCAAGTTGGGAATTTTCTGTATATTGAAGAAAACAGTTATGTTGACTTGCTTACAGAATAAACTAATCACGTATTTATACACAGCTAAACTAACTTAATCGACTCTAATCATGACTAACTGAAAGTTATACAATTGAGTCCCTACATTTACGATATTTACAACTTAGTCCCTGTATTCACAAAACTATCTAACATATATACAATCCGCCTAGATCAATTGGTGCAATGTCTTCAAACTGAGGCACCTTCATCTCAGTCTTCAACTCTGATATCCTCCTTCAAGCTTAGAATTGGAATGATGCAAGTTACCAAGACTGAGCTTGGACAGTAGAAACTGAAACTGTGGTGAGTGTAAAGCTTTTGTAAACAAATCTGCCGGCTGAAGATGTGAGGAGATGTGAAGGGGAAGAAGAAAACCAAATTTGTAGAGATTGCGCACAATGTGAAAATCTATATCCAAATACTTGGTTCTCTCATAAAACACAGGATTAAGAGTAATATGCAAGGCTGACTTGTTATCACAAACAAAAGGAACAGGTAAAGAGACCAGCAACCTTAAATCTGTGAGAATGTAACTAATCCACTGTAATTCACATGATGTACTAGCCATGCTTCTATATTCTGCTTCACAAGATGATATAGAAACAGTGATTTGTTTCTTTGTCTCCCAAGATATCAAAGAACTCCCCAAGAAAATGCAATAACCAGTTAAGGAGAACCTGGTGGTAGTGCACTTTCCCCAATCAGCATCACATAAAGCTGAAAGGTTTAGATCACACTTACTGGAGTGAAACAGGGCAAGGGAGGCTGTTCCCTTAAGATATCTCAAGATGTGAACTGCTGCTATCCAATGTATCTCCTTAGATGACTGTAGGAATTGACTCAGTTACTGTGTAGCATGTGCCAAGTCAGGCCTGGTGAATCTTAAGTACAACAATCTTCCAATCAATCTTCTGTATTTACTAGGATCTGAGTAATCAGGACTCTTGTCATTCTGTAAATCTAAATCCTTGGGTAAAGGTGTGAGAACTGGTTTGCAACCAAGCATTCCTTTGGTTTCTAGAATGTCTAAAACATACTTTCTCTGGTTGAGCATTATTCCTTCAGAATATCTTGCTACTTCTACACCAAGAAAATACTTAGCTGGTCTAAGATCTTTTATGGTGAAAGCTGCATCCAAAGATTGTTTAGTCTGCAAGATCAGAGACTCTGAACTGCCTGTGATTAACAAATCATCTACATACACCACCAAAAACAGGCAATAATCTGTCCCAAACTTCATGAAAAGACAGTGATCATGAGGAGATTGGTGAAAAACAAGTTGCTCCAGATGCCTTGTAAATTCAAGGTTCCACTGCCTAGATGCCTGTTTGAGGCCATATAAAGATCTTTTGAGTCTACACACCTGATTTGGTCTAATGTTGTCATATGCAGGGGGAGATTCCATATACACCTCTTATTCCAGAAAACCATGGAGGAAGGCATTATTGATAGCAAGCTGGTGCAAAAGCCATCCTTTAGCAACAGACAACAATGGCAAACAAAATCCGTACTGTGACAAGTTTAGCCATAGGAGAAAAAGAGTTAAAGAGGTCTTCTCCCTGAGTATATCCCTTGGCTACTAATCTAGCCTTGTACTTATCTACAGTTCCATCTGGATTATATTTCACCTTGTAGATCCATCTACAACCTATAGGCTTCTTTTCAGAAGGTAATGTGGTGATCTCCTAGGTTTGATTATCCTCCAAGGCAGATAACTCCCTGTTCATAGCATCTACCCATTCTGGAACATACTGTGCCTGTGCATAAGAGTATGGCTCTGGTATTTTTGACGCATTTGCTAGGAAGCTTAAGTAAGAGGGATGGATAATAGGTTGACTCCGAAAGGGAAAAGTTGGAGGTGGTATGAACTTAGGTTGTTCTACAGTAGCATTATTTGTCACATAATCATTCAACCAGAAGGAAGGCTCATGAACTCTAGATGATCTTCTGAGGATTGGAACTTGTGGAGATGATGAGGGAGTATCGGCAGTGTGTACTGGACTAGAATGTAAGGTATGAGTATCTGAATAATCAGGAGAATGTATTATGTGATCATGATCACCAAGAGGAGTATCATTATCAGAATCAGTATTAGGAGGTATGTATGTCAAATCTGGGTTATGTATTGGTATGTGGGAACTAGAAGCAAGTGATAAAGAAGTATTAGTATGAGGGAAAAGATGTTCATGAAACATAACATCTCTTGAAATGTAAACTTTATGATCTATAAGACAGTACACTTTATAAGCTTTCTGTCCTGTGGGATAACCAAGAAAGATGCATTTAAGTGCTCTTGCAGCAAATTTATTTTTATGAGGCAAGGTATTAGTAATGTAGCAAAGACAACCAAAAATTTTGTAATGTGACAAATCAGGAGGTTTATGGTTCAACATTTCATAAGGTGTTTTCCAGTTCAAAACAATAAAAGGCAATCTATTTATGATGTAAGTAGCAGTAACTATGGCATCTCCCTAGAATTTCTTTAGAAGAGAGCCTTAAAACAACAAAGATCTAGCTACTTGCAAAAGATGTTTGTGCTTTCTCTCCACAACTCCATTCTGTTGTGGAGTATAAGCACATGATTTTTGATGTATTATGCCAAATTTAGAGAAAGGAAGGCTGCATTACAGGTTGACAAACTCAGTTCCATTATCAGTTCTGATGGCCTTTACTTGTTTCTGAAATTGAGTTTGAACCATGGAAAAGAAATTTTCTAGAATTTGTGGAGTATAGGTTTTATGTCTAATGAGAAATGTTCAAGTACATTTGCTATAATCATCCACAATTGTAACAAAAAAGGAACTATAAGAAAGATTACTATGTGAATAAGGACCCCACAAATCCACATGTATTATTTCAAAAGCATCAGTTGTATTTGTATGGCTTACAGAGAAAGATAACCTTTGTTGTTTGGCTAATGGACAAATATCACATGAAAACTAGGATCAACAGAGACATTCAAAGTAGAAGAAATCTTTTGAAGTACATTTGTAGATGGATGGCCTAATCTATGATGCCACTGAGCAACAGTTACATCATTACATCCAGTAGAAAAATAATGATGACTAAAGAAAGAACTATCTTCAGTGGATTTAATGACTCAATGAAGTAATGGATTTGGATTTGTCTTCTGATCTCTGTAGGGTTGAATGAATCACTTGTAAGTACATATAGTCCTTGCATCACTTTGCCAATACCCAGGATCTCATCAGTCATGAGGTCCTATAATATGCAAAGGTCAGCTGAAAATCTGAAAAAAAAAATTGGAAGTCCTAGCCATTTGTCTAACAGAAATCACGTGTATTTAAAAGAGAGTACATATAACACACTGACAAATGTAATTCTGGAATTTAACTGCACATCACCAATTTGGGACACATCTGGAATACTTCCATCAGGTAATCTTATAGGAGTTGTGGCACTAACAGGTCTAGGTTTATGGAAAAGGATAGATTAGGACTCATACTTCTTGTAGCACCTGTGTCAAATAACCAGATATAACTCTTAATTTCAGGACAACTTTGAAATTTAGAGTATACAGAACTACCTGCAAAGTCATTTATATGAGCAAAATTGACCATGTGCGATTCTGCATTTGCTTTCCCCTTTTCTTTGTTCAGCTTGCTAAACTCCATCTACAGTTGTCTAATTTGCTTTGCCAAAACATCCATTTGATTTCAATTCTGACCTGTCTTAGGAACTACATCCAGAGGAGTTTCCAGTTCAGCTACTTGTGCATAGTTAGTACCTCCTAACTTCTTGTTCTGCAAATTCAGAAAGCCCTTCTTCTTGAGTTCCTTCCACCAATCTGGTATGCCAATCACCTTGAAGCAGGTTTTCTTCTCATGTCATGTCCTGTAACATACAGTGCAATGCATGTCTTCCTTATTCTTCCTAAAAACTAAACTTCCAGAACTCACATTGCTTCCTTGATGAGACTGTGTTTGACCTCCATCATTCCTTCCATAGGTAGCAAATGATCTGACAACCAAAGCTGTATCAGAATGAATTAAAGTAGTATCATTCATTTGCAAACCATTTCCTTTTGCAATAAAGGCCTGTTATCAGCAGCATTATTCATTGAACTTCTTCCTGGCAATTTCTTTTCTGCTTTCTATACCAGATTATTTGCCTTGTTAATGGTTGGAGGAGGCTCCATTAGTAGTATCTGATCTTTGATTGCCTCATACGACTTGTTAAGTCCCATCAAGAAGTCAATCAGTTTATCCTCATCCTCCCTTGCAGCCAAGATTCTTGCTACTTCAGGTGTACAAGCATGCATTGGTCTACAGTGTGAATACTCGTTCCAAGCTCGTTTGAGGCATCCATAGTACGTTACCAACGTTGAATCTCCTTGTGTGACAACAATTCGATCTTGTCTCATTCTGTATAACATCTGGCTGTTGGAGGTTCCAAATCTCTCAGCTAGATTCTCCCAGCGTTCTTGTGAAGACAGTGTATACATGTAACTGTCAGCCACATCCTCACTGAGTCCTGATATGATCCATGATTTGTCCATAGAATATATTTGATTCCACCTATCAAACTCCATAGACAGAGTGGACATCTACAAGCTCCATTAATAAATCCAATCTTCATTTTCGATCTCAAGAAAGTGAGCATAGCACGACCCCACGCCAGATAGTTATGTTCCGTCAATTTAGCCGGAATATTCAGCACTCCGACGTTTTTTGATCCACTCAAACTCATAGTAGATTCATACAATCTCTAATCTGGTGTTTACCAGCGATCCCCTGCACGCCGATCCTCAGCGTTTCTTCGATCCGCCATGATTCTCATCTCAAAACACAAAATTAATCCAGTAGGGTGTCAGCGGACAACAAGAATTATTGATGTACGGTGGGAATCAATGAATACCAAGAGCGCTATGGCTCTAAAACCATCAAAAGGTATCTAGGGTTCGTAGTACGGAAGATATTGAATCAAGAAATCAATTTGGGAATTTTCTGTATATTGAAAAAAACAGTTCTGTTGACTTGCTTACAGAATAAACTAATCACGTATTTATATACAACTAAACTAACTTAACCGACTCTAATTGTGACTAACTGATAGATGTACAATTGAGTCCCTACATTTATGATATTTACAACTTAGTCCCTATATTCACAAAACTAATCCAACAAATAGACAATCAGCCTGGATCAATTGGTGCAATGTCTTCAAACTGAGAAACCTTTCTTCAACTCTGATAACATTTAATTAATATAGTTTCGTAATTAAAATTGAAAATTTAGATAAATAATTAATTATTTAAAAATGTTTGGGTATTTCACTGTAAATAATAACCAAGCAAACTAAGTTTATCATTGAGGAACAAATGATCCGATCGACAGACTTATTAGAAAAAGAACTTTTTAAAAACATTTTTCTACAAGCACTTACCGGAATCTTAGAAAAAAAAAAATTACTTGTAGAAAGTAGAATGAAAAATCAGTCATTGTTTTTATTTTTTGCTACATGAATGAGTCAATCAAACAAAAAAAATTTCCATTCTGGATACACTTTTAATATGGGTACATACGATTAAAATTCTCTATAAATGCTAAGAATTTATGGAGATTTGAAGAATATGCTTAAGGGGATTCCAGGAGACGAAATGTTTTTGATATTACGATAAAGTAGAAATAATCGTTTAATTTGTGTATTTTCTTTCCTAAAATGGACATTAACTTAACCTCGTCATAGGCCTGTCATCAAGGTAAAAGGTTTCGTTTACTTTCGCTGTTTCCAAGTAGACTTTTTTCCAATAGCAATAAATTAGCTCGTCATTTTAGGGGTCTTAGGGTTGGTGCAAATTTAGAAACAAAATAAAATAAATATGGACATTTGAATTTAACCAACAAAAGCTCTTAGTAGAGTTTTTTAATTGCAGAGTACCCTCTAAACTAATAACCAATTGCAACATGTCCTGTAATTTAACATTTAGTAATAACAGCTCCGTCATTAGTTTGAAATATCAATGTGACGCAAAACAGAAAGATTAGGATCTAATACGGTTTTTAGTTTTTATATGAAAAAAAAAGATAGAAAGAAAAGGAAGTGAAGAAAAAGCCATACTTTCAATAAAAGTGACGAATATATAATCTTCGATTCAAGTATTCAGTGAAAAGTTAGACCTAGAGATTCTGTATTATGGGTTAAGACGCCGAAAGTTTTAATTCAACAACAGATAACCCCGAAAGACAAATAAACTCAATCATACTACTGTGGAGTATAAAGTTGTCTTTATCTGTGCACAATTAGAAAAAGAGAAAAACTCCTATTGTGCATTCTCATTTTGTTCAGAAGTTTTGGATATTAAACACAAAATAGTGAAATAGTATTTTTCTAATAGTTTCGTTCGTTCTACCACACCACCATCTGAGTCAGTAGAATCTAAACTAGTTTCGGGTTGAAGAAGGGCATAAAAAGCAAAGACATGGGACTATACCTGCATGATGTAAAATCATAATCTTCACTGATTTATGTTGTTAAGATCAAGTTTGGTGAATAACACGTTTAAACACGTTGTACGAAAAAAAATAAGTTGTTTGATGAAACAATAAATTTTAAATGTTTCGGTTATCTTGCTAATTCTTGAATGGAAGAATCGAATTTTATTAGATTGCTAAAATCAAGCAATTAGACAATACTAGTTTGTAAGTTGATGGGTTTACTTTGCAATTTACTACTTTGGAATAATTTTATTATGGTGATGATTCTCACAAATTTATTACGGGAGGAAGATTTTATAGCTACTTTATCAAAAAATAATTTTTTTTAAAAAAAGCCATTAAGCAAAGAAACCAATAAAGGACTGGTTTGATTTCCCTCCTCAATTTATGCAACCAAAAAAAGGACTGGCAAACCAGCAATTCTTTCCTTTTTCGTCTGTCTCTTCCTCTGGTCTCCCTGTCTCCCTCTTTCTCTCTCACGTGCCCTGTTGAGAGAGATTAGAGGATGAGAACCATCTCCACCGCCGCCGCCTTCCGACACCACCACACCACCACCAAAAACCTACCCTTATTTTGAACGCGAAAGAAAACCCCCCTCACCAGAATGGGCGGAGAAAAACACAGGTTTCTCATGCACATCTGGTACTATCTTTTTTTATTTTCCACCCTTTTCTTCATCATCAATATCCACCATGTAAGCGCAGACGATTTCGCTGTTATGAGATCATTGGCTCAGGGATTAAACGGGACGAATTGGTCTGGAAGTAACCCATGTGAATGGAAAGGGATTCAATGTGATTCAAGCGGCAGAGTTACGGAGATTGATCTTAGCGGCAGGTTTATAACAGGGCAATTAACCCCCGATTTGAACCAACTTTCCAGCCTTCAAACCTTGAATTTACGGAACAATCAAATTACCGGCCTTTTACCTTCCTTATCAAACCTAGCAAACCTCCAAGATGTTTTCCTGGATTCCAACAGCTTCACTTCTGTCCCAAAGGATTTTTTATCTGGCTTGACAAGTTTACAGACGTTTAGCATTAGTTCCAATCCGAGACTCGCTCAATGGAGAATCCCTGATACCCTTAAGGATTCTACCCAGCTTGTATCTTTTATGGCATCCACGGCTTCTATATCAGGTCCAATCCCGGACATATTTGAATCTTTTCCCAGTTTACAGAATCTCAGGCTGTCGTATAATAATATTTCAGGGCCTCTGCCACCATCTTTGGCTAAATCAGGGATACAGAATTTGTGGATTAACAATCAGATTCCGAGATTAATCGGAAACCTTGATGTTATTGGATCAATGTCGCAATTGATTCAGGTATGGGTGCATGTCAATTACTTTACTGGGCCAATTCCTGATCTTTCTGGATGCAAATACTTGATTGACTTACAGCTTCGGGATAATAACCTTACTGGTCTAATTCCGGCTTCTTTAGTTTCCCTTCCGGCGCTGAAGAATGTGACTTTGAACAATAACAGGCTTCAGGGTCCTATGCCTAGTTTTCGGAATGATGTTAATGCTACTATTGGAACAGATAACAATAGATTTTGTAATCCAAGTCCAGGAACTTGTGATCCTCAGGTAACAATATTACTTCAGGTTGCTAGTGATTTGGGCTATCCGTTTGTATTAGCTGAATCTTGGAAGGGGAATGATGCTTGTCAAAATTGGGAATCTATAACTTGCATTTCAGGAAGAGTTACTGTGATCAATTTTGCTGCTCGAAATTTTACTGGGACAATCTCTCCTGCTATTGCTAATCTCACCTCATTGAGGTCTTTGATTTTGAACAATAACAGTTTAACTGGTCCTATACCATCTAGCCTCACCAGTTTGCAAGGCTTGACCCTCCTTGATGTTTCCAACAACAATGTCTCAGGAAAAATACCACCATTTGGCCCAACCGTGACGGTAAAAACTTCCGGCAACCCGTTTATTGGAGTTGATTTACCCAGCTCTTCTCCTGGATCTAAGGCAGGAACTACAAGAAAAGCTTCTGTGTCACCGTGGATTGTTGTTGTGGTTTTAGTTGTCGTCATCACAATGGTTGTTTTGGGCTTGGTACTTTACAGGAGATGTTTGAAGAAAAGGAATAAATTTAAGTGGGAAAAAGGCACTGAGAAAAGGGAAAATTCACAAAAGATTGACAGTGGATCAACCAGTGAAACTGGTTCTCAAACCAGTGATGGCCGTAGTGGTCCTATCGCAATTGATAAACTACGAGAAGTGACAGGAAATTTCAATGAGAAAAACATATTAGGGCGAGGGGGATTCGGCATTGTATATAAAGGACAACTTCATGACGGGACACAGATAGCTGTGAAGAGGATGGAATCACTTGCTACCACCCAAAAAGGTCTAGATGAGTTTAAGGCAGAAACTGATGTGCTCTCAAAGGTGAAGCATCGGAACTTGGTGGCCCTCGTTGGCTTTTGTGTCAATGGAAATGAGAGGCTTCTAGTTTATGAATATATGCCTCAAGGAACACTGGCACAACATCTCTTTGGTTGGCAGGAAAGAGGCGTCCCACCGCTCTCTTGGAAGCAAAGACTAGCCATAGCATTGGATGTTGCCAGAGGAGTTGAATACCTTCACGGCTTGGCGCATCAAAGTTTCATCCACAGGGATCTCAAACCTTCTAACATCCTCCTAGGAGACGACATGAGAGCAAAAGTTTCCGATTTTGGTTTGGTCAAAAGTGCACCTGATGGGAAGTACTCAATCGAGACAAGACTTGCTGGGACTTTTGGGTATCTTGCACCTGAATATGCATGTAAGTGCCGCAGAATCCTTGACTTTTATTTCATAGTGTCAATGCATTTTCTTTTCAAACATGCAACATGTTAGCACTTGGAAGCTTAATTACTGTAGGGGTTTTAGCATTTATTAACTTTCAGTTAAGTTTACTCCTGAGTTGAAATCCAATGAGGGGTTTATTCAGGTTGACTCTCTGTCAATCAAGTCACATTTATTTGCAAACTTAAGGACTAAATTGTTGGATCAATATGTCTTACTTACAGAGCAAAAAGATTGGTGTATCTGTTTAATAAGAGGAAGAAAATGATAGCATAATCTATAATCATTCTGGTGTATCTGTTTAATAAGAGGAAGAAAATGATAGCATAATCTATAATCATTCTCATTATGAATGCAATGTTGAATTTTGATACTTGAATCACTCATTCTCTGATTAGATCAGAGAATATTGCTCAATATTGGCTAGCTGCCAGTCAAGTTGAATTTAAGAGATTGAATTGGATCCATATTCATCTGTTTCATATTATTGTGGAAGGAAATTTTTGAATAGTAATGTTTTTATTTTAAACGAGATGGTTTTGAATCCTAATTTTCTTTCTGAAGAACCGCTGTTTTAACATCGAACAACATTCTTTTTCTTCCACAGCCACCGGCAGAGTGACAGCAAAAGTTGATGTATTTGCATACGGGGTGATCTTAATGGAGATAATTACTGGCCGAAAGTCTCTGGACGACACTCTACCAGAAGAGAAATCTCATCTAGTGGCATGGTTCCGTAAAGTCATTGTTAACAAGGAAGATATCAGAGCATACTTAGATCCGACACTAGAACCAGATGAAGAAACTTTCAAATGCATTTGCGAAGTGGCAGAATTAGCGGCCCATTGCACAGCTCGTGAGCCGAATCAGAGGCCAGCCATGGGGCATGTAGTCAGTGTCTTGTCTCCTCTCGTCAACCAATGGAAACCTTTTTCCCATGAGGAGGAAGAGGGTTTCGGCATTGATCTAAGTATGAGCCTCCCTGAAGCCTTGGCAAAGTGGAAAGATAGTGAGTTCAACGAGGATTTGACCGACACAAGTAGTCACCTGTTTGGAAAGAACAGTACTGGATTCACTCACACAGCCAGAACCTCTTCACAGACCACAAGATCTTACGAGTGAATAAGTCTGGGCTTCATTTTGATAGGACATCTTGCTCTTGAAACATGTACAGACTTATTATTAGAGGAATGACTTACTTTATCTTCATTTTTAATAGCCATACAAAAGCCATTTGATTTTTCAGATCACTTTTGATTCTCAGAGGTAGTTTCACAAATCTAGGTTCATTATCTGTAAATGCAGCAAACAGATTGAATTGCTAGATAAACTTAGGTGATGTTAAATTTTGGACTAGTTAATCTAGGTTCACTATCTGTGAATGCAGCAGACAGATTAAATGGCTAGATAAACTTAGATTGAATCCCTGCAATGAATTAGTATTCACCTTCAAACTGCTAAGACATGCATTAGTATCAAACCAATGGTTGCTCCACCAATACAAATTGTATGTTGGAGCATATAGAAATTTCTTTTTTCTTCACTCAATTGAAGAAGACATTGCATTATACTTTCTTATTAAGGGGTAAACGCCCAACTGTAAAATAATTACATCGTCTATAACACTCCAGCATCATCCTCATGAGCAAATGCTTCAGACAAGAGGGAATGTCCTATGTCTACCTAATCAGAGACAATAGTAATCCAAGGGAAACCAATGAAAACTCTAGTGCTGTATGTGGTCAGCATATAAAAACTCCCATTTCTCCATTCTCAATCTGCTGCTAGTTGCATTTTAACTCTCAATTTCCTGCAAAATAACAATCTGATCTGTTGCAATATGGGACCCAAGTTCACAACTATGGGGTTCTTTTGCCACATCGAAGCTTTAAACAAATTTGTAGTCCAAATCCAAGATTATGCTTTTGTAGACCAGCTTCTAGATTGGGTGGAAATTGGAAACCATAAGACACACTCCACAAGGCTAGTTTGACAACAGAACCACCTCTATACAGTCCAGCATCATCACAGATTAATCGGCCAGCTGCCACAGCAAGCAACATCCTTCTGGATTATACAGTTCCCAAGTTATCCATTTCCGTTAACATTAGTAGGCAAAAACGACACCTGGTTTCAGAAAGACTTCAAAAGAGCAAATAGCCATAATCTTCGGCATCTCTCGATGTCATACAAATCAAACAGCGGAAAGATCTACTCTTAATTTAGATCATGCAACACATTCAACAGTGCACAGTAGATTTTCTCATTCATCCTGTGATCCTTCTTCCTCAGTCGTTCAAGAAGCTCAGAAGCATCATCACCTCTTCCATCCCTACACAACTCCTCCAGGAGACATTTATAAGTCAAAAAATCAGGAAACATAGTATTACCCAACATGTCAAACACAATCTGGATGGCATCATCAAATCTCCTCTCCATGGCAAGGCTGCAGATTAGAATCACATAAGTACCCGCTTTTGGCACCAGATTCTTCCTCCTCATTTCCTTAAAGAATTCCAATCCCTGATTCACCCTCACTTTCTCACACAATCCCTTTACTAGATAACTGTATGTATATGCATTGGGCTCACAACCATAAAGCCCCATTTCCCTAAATATCCGAATGGCTTCATCCACCTCTAGACACTTTGAATAGGCTTTCAAAATCAAGTTCAATACAAGCGTATCGGGTATCACCCCGGAAGCCTTCATTTGCTTCGCCAGCGATCTAACGGAATGCATATACACATAGCACACAGGCGCTTTATCGAACTTACGAAGTAACGAAATCAACAGCATCGTATAAGTTTCCAACGAGGGCCTTAAACTAACATCATCAAATTTCAACATTTTCTTATAAATATCGAATGCCCGCTTAAATAAATACTTACGGTCACAGCAGAACTTGATCATGGAATTGTACAGAGCAAGGCTAGGCGGGCAGGCGCCGGCGAGGACTTCCTCGATCAAAGTTTCGGCAACTCGGTAACGCTTCCGGGTGACGGAGATTTCAATCATGCATAGGTAATTAAGGTGGTCGTGCTTGTAGCCACGTTGCTGAGCAGTCCAACGGAAAATGTCAAGAGCAAGGTCCGGGTCGGACTGGGCAGTGAGGGCCTCCCGAACGTCGGGTGGGGTAAACCCGGGCTTGAGTTTGTGAATCCATGTTTCGAATTCTCTTTCTAGGGGGGTTTTAGTTCGGATTCGAGGGTATGGATCGGGTTTAGCATACGGGTTGGCTTGAGGAATCGGGGGCGAAGGGTTTAAGGGTTTGGATGGTTCCGGGGCGGCGGTGGAAATGGGGCGAATAGAGGCGGAGGAGAAAGTAGATCTGAGAATGGAGAAGAAAGGATTGCGTGGGGTGAGTCTCATGGCAGATGATTAAAGGCAGAGTCTGATTGGTGTGGAGTCCGAAGACGGCGGAAATGGACCGTCGGAGGAAGATGAATGAAACTATTAGGAGGGAGGAGGGAAAAAGGAAAAGGCAGAGGAAACGAGAAAGGGTAGAAAGGTATTTAGATCATATCCGAACAATTTTCAACGATAATTTTTTTTTATATATTTATTTTTGAAGAAACATCCTCCCTCTGTCTCAAAATTATTGTCCAGTTTGAAATTTCACTTTTAGTACAATTTGAACTAGAAATGAAAACTCAAACTGAACAATAATTATGAGACGGAAGGAGTATTATATATTCATACGCAAGATACAAGGTACAAGAACTTCCAAGCTCTATAAAACTAGAGAAATGCTTTGGCTAGTCTATGAGCATTCTCTACTATCTCTCTATCAAATTTTACCAATTCAATACATAAAACTATGAACTAATTCTCTAATATCCTCGGCCAAATACCGTAACTCAAAAGGAAGCATGATGCATCTGTCATTTTCTAAATTTGCTAAGAGCTGGTTATCAGTCAGTTTGTGAAACACATCTATCTAGTCCTATAATTCTAGCTACCTGCAAACCCAACAATGCAGCTAACCAATTCTGATTGCAATGCCCCGTAGAGGCTGCAAACACTTGCACACTTGATGCCAAGTATTTTCCTTAATAATTTAGGATCTGTTTGTTTTGGTTTTTTGGATGATTTTTTCAGATTATTTAATAATAACTGCCTCATCTCAACATATTTTTTTACGTTTTCAATACACCTTTTTACATTCTTAATACAAAAAATACCTAAAAATACACACACTAAAAAAACGAAACAAACATAATTTCCCACGCCCCAGCTCCTCTTGATTTTGAGTCTCTGAAAGCTCCATCAATTCTAATATAGAACTCGGGCTGATTGTCACTGGCCAATAGGTTTGTATGCTGCACCTGTATGTGCTCTTATGGCACTTCATATTTCCATTCGCCATGTTTAAAGGTTTGAAACTCATGCATGGCCTCTCTTTGTGTTTGTAGTTGGAGGCTGAATCTTATCTTCCCAGATTCTTCTGTTTCTGTCAATCCAAATTGCCCAAATAAAAAAGCATGATAATTGAATAAAATCCGTACATGGTGCAGTGTGTTAATCCAATGATCAAACCATTGAGCAAAATACAACTTGCTCCCCCTGTCAAAATCAAAACCTAGGGGAGATAGCCTCCAAACCCTTTTAGATGCTTCACACTCCAGAAACAGATGCTCAATTGTTTCATCCTCTAAGTTGCACCTGGGGCTGGGGCACACTTGTGCAGACTATTCCCCTTCTGTGTAAACCGGACAATGAAGGAAGAGCCTTAACAATAGCTCTCCATATCAACCACTGTATTTTCAACGCCCAGAATTTCTTCCAAACCTCTTGCGACAGTTGAGCTACATTGGAGGTTGAGGGGACACTTCGTGAATAGTCGCTAGCATTAAGAGCTTCATAGTACCCTGATTTGACAGTATATGTTCCCGTAGCTTCTCGGGACCACACTTTCTCATCTTTTCTGTAGCGAGCATTCCTTGGAATATAAATGGCAAGAATTAGCTTAGCGACATGTTGTGGGAACAGAGCATTTGATCATGGGAATCCTCCATTGGAAATTATCATCCAACAGATCTCTCACCGTGAAACTTAGAGGCTCATGGAACTGGGGTTTATCTCTGAGTGGATTATCTAATCCCGGGATCCAATCATCCACCACACTTATTCTGGAGCCATTGACAACTTGCCATAAATCATTATTATATGGATTTAATTTTTTTAAGAATACAATTATAATAATTATGTTTATAGGTTTCTATTAAGATTTATTTTGTTATTTGGACTTAAATTGTGTTTCCTATTTCATTTTCTCTAAATTTGGGTTGGGCCTTGAGCATAGAAAAAATAATTCAAAGTCATAATTCTAGTTAAGTTTGGTCGTAAATAATTTTATTCTTAATTTTATAAGAAAATTAATGCTAGTAATGATGTAAAAAAATTAATTTATTTTATAAAAAATATATATAGGATCTAAAACTTTAACCATCAAAGTTTTTCTCATATCATAACTTTTTTTTATACCCATAAAAAAAGTATTGTGCTCTCATTCTGGGCGTTGTTTTAGTTATAGTGGAAATGAGATTTCCATTGATGAGCTAAGTACGACACTCTTAAAGATAATTAAAAATCTCAAAATATAAAAACACTTTTTAAGCAATAGTTAAAATAAAAATTCATTCTTCAATGATATACTTATATATAGTCGGCCCCCACTACATTTTCCCCCTACATCCGCTACAGGCCACTATAGACCCTTAGCCAACAATTCCTTTCCCCATAAGATGCTTCTCCATCCCCATGTTGACCTTTTTGATGGTGTGCAATTAAGGAAATCGCCAGTGCCGATGTATTTGGATTTGAGAACTTTTGCAATCAGTGAGTCTGGGTTCGACTCTATTCGCCAAGCCAGTTTAGCCAACAACGATTGAGTTCCTTGTGTCACGGGCTGCTCCTTTCAATAGCAATCCGTGTGGCACTAGCTCACTCAAATATAAAAAGTGATGCTAGTTCAGCCTATCTAAACAAAAATTGAAAGTATTGATAGGAAAAATTTAGGGAAAAAAAAAAGATTCTTGACCTAACTCAAAGGAAACCTCTCCACTTGTTTATAACCCTTTCAATTCTACACTTATACAAATGAGGGATCTTGTCATATTTATAGGCAAACCCTTAAGGTTCTAAAAGTTTCTTCCACCTCCTCTACAAGAATTACCTCCAAACTTCTAGACTATTCTTGAATATTAACCTAGAATTACCTAGAATCTTCTAGTTAATTCCACATTGTCCTATATTATACAAGATTCTAGAAGGTTCTAAAGAGTTCTACAGCATTCTAAAATGTTCTATATATTTTCACGATGTTCTACACATGTCTAGAATAATCTATAATATTCTAGGACTTTCTAAATATTTCTAGAAATGTCACGATCGTGACACTCTCTCCTACCTGAATGGGGCATCGTCCCTGATGCCCTATGTGTCAACTCATCGTCTTCACGAAAACTTTGAGCTATGGCAACAAATTTACTACGAGGTGGGCAGTCACGAACTAAGTGAGACCCTTCACATAGAAAGTAACCTTCGAATTTTTTTATTTTCTCTACTTTTGACTTCTCTTTGGAGGCGATCTTTACTCTTTCAAATGATTCGGATAAGACGTCGTGTTGTTTTCTCCACCTGTGTCATTGAAACATTTCTCACCCATGGCTTCATTGTAATTTTTATTTTCAAACTCTACTAGAGATTCTGCTATGTGCATAGCATGTTTAACGTCTCGGACATCACTCCGTTACAACTCTAGTTTAGTCCAACGATTAAGGCCGTCCATAAACGAAAAGAAAGCTTCTTTAGGTGAGAGATCAATAATTTCAAGCATAAGATCAGAGAATTATTGTACATATTCCCTTATGTGTCCCTCCTTATGGTGTAAGCGACGAAGTTTGGCCCGAGTTTCGACTTCAGCATCAGCTGGGAGAAATTGCTTCTTAAATTCCCCCTTAAATCTTTCCCAAGTTGTAAAAACTGGCGCTTCTTGATTTCTACTGTGATGGTAAGTAGATCACTGGGTCGATACACTTCTCTATCGGTCTCTAGTTTCAACTGCGGTGGAGTTTCGGTCTTGCCATGACCTCCACCAGCACCGACTCTTCCGGCACCGGCGGTAAGGCCGAAGAAGGAGAATCCCCGATAAGGCTTCTTCGGCGGTGGCATTGAGATTTATATTTTTTTTACCTTTTTTTTCTGGAAATTAATTGGGAAACATTTTAGAATGGTTTTTCAGTTCTGACTTTTGCAACATAAGTGACACTCGGTGTAAATTGTAAAATTGCGGGCTCTTTTTATCAGTTCTAATTTTTGCACCTTGTGGTTAATAATTATCCCCACAATATCACAATCTAACTAATACTATATCTTAGTATCTGATAGATCGAAAGAATAACATGATTTTGTCCAATATACAATCACTGATTTGCAACTTATCATGCATTTTTCTTTGACTAGCTCTGTTTTTGTCGCGCTACGTGCGACAAGAAAACGAATAACATTGTGGACTAATTATAACCATTAGTTAGTAACTAAATGACTAAATTGACTATAAAGAAAATAATCTGATTGACTAAAAACCAAAATATAATAGTATTCCACCAAATCAACATACTAAACTAAAAACACCACAACTCTTTGAAGCTTTACTCCTTCTGTTGAAAATATAGTATTTTAGTGTCGTGTTCATAAGAAGTGCCAAGTTTTATTTACATTAATTATATATTACGTATAAGAGGCCATCTCAAGATTCAAATTTAGAAATCTTTATAGGAGTTAATTTATTACAGACACGGTAAAGCAATAACCTATCATCGTCGAGTAAAAAGATTCGGTTATTCAGTGATTTGCTCAACAAAAGTTGAGGCCTCAAAATAGATAAGCAAATACTTTCTGCAAGAGTTAGTTAACTTATAAGACGAGAGCTTTGGTTAGGCAACTTGAACAACCGTAAAAAGTATTGATTTTCTTATAAATTTAGCCTCTCTTATCAAAAGGTTCTTCAAAGCGACGTAAAACAATCTTTATCAATGTAAAACACATCAAGTTCAATTGCAAAAACCAAATAATCTCTTTGCAAAAGAATAACCGAATTGTCTCTCATCATTGTATTGCATCAATTGTTAGTTAGAATTTGTCTCTCATCATGGTATTGCATCACCGATCAATTTGAACGTAGTCTGACATCACCGCTCAACTTCTTTCATATCCGCAAAACCCTTATTCTATTTAAACGCAAAACAAATAAAATTAACTTCAACCAAAATAAAGTCTTTGAAATTCTATGTGAATATTTATAGTAAAAAAAATTTGGGACTGAAAACTTTGACAGGATCAATGGGGACACAAGTACAAAATGTTGTCGTTTTGAGTGCTAGGGTAGCAATAAAATGAAAATTCAGAAAAATGTAATATTTTGAACAGAAAACAAAAAATAAAGGTTTGAATTGATATCTTTGACCCCGATTAAAATAGCTGATGTCATTGTTTTCAATTGGCCAATTAAATTAGTCTATTTAAATTTTATGATGTCACGTGAATTCATTGACCAATCAAATTATTCAATTTAAATTCTGACTAATCACATTTGAGATTCTAAACTCACCAAGAGACATTTACTTATGTACAGAAAACGAGATAATCTGGATTGTTGTATGTTCAATCAAATAGACTCCATAATGTTTCAGTGTTTTACCTATTTTGCTTAATCATTGAACAATAATAACAAGTGGTTTACTGCAAATTGTCAATGCAAACCTATAGTTGCCATTTTAGCTTGCCGGTAAAAGTGCCAATAGTTAAAAACTCATTTTATAGTTATAAAAATATCATATGAGTTAATTAACAAAATTGTTCACAAAGATAAAGACCGGATAAATTTTTTCATTTACAAATAAAATAATAAAATCATATCTCTCATTATTATGATGTAAACTTATTTTCAACTCTTTATTAGTTCTTCTATAACTTTTATGCTAGTAACTTGCACGTGATTTATACAAATTTAACGAAAGATGACTTTTGTATGCTAGTAACTTGCACGTGATTTATACAAATTTAACGAAAGATGACTTTAGATTAACTTTTGTCTATCACAAAATCGATGAAATTATGACTTTAACTTTTTATAGTATACAATTTTTCAATTCTCCATTTATCCTTTTCACGTTCAAAAATTTGTAAAATTCACTTACAATATAATTAGAATAAAAGTAAAAATTAACTAATAATTAGGCAATTAACAAGTAATGCAGGTTAGCCATCAGTACTATTTATAATGCACAAGTTTGAGTCTTGTTTGAAATGCGAAAGAATAATGCACATCATACATCTATTTTGCTTTTGTGTGTACTCCCCCCGTCCCATAATTATTGTCCAGTTTGAATTTTCATTTTTAGTTCAAATTGTACTAAAAGTGAAATTTCAAACTGAACAATAATTTTGGGACAGAGTGAGTATTATATAACTCTATTGAAAATTAGGATTGAGAAGATGCAAAAATTAATTGAAATGGATATGTCACTATATGGTCATATAACAATCGATGAACTTCAAGAAGTGACCAACAAATTTAACGAATAAAACAGTGGCGAAAGAAAGATTCAACTTCATGTATAAAGGAGAACTTGAAGATGGGATACAGATATCTGCGAAGAGGATGGAATTATCTGCAGCCGCTAAAAAGGGCCTGGATGAGTTCAATGCTGAAATGAATGTCTACTCGAAGGTGAAGCATAGGAATTTGGTGCAACTTCTTGCCGTTTGCGCCAATAAAACAAGAGAATTATAGTGTACGAATATGTGCTACAAGGAAATTTACAACATCATTTATTTGGTTGGCAGCAAAGAAATGTGTCACCACTATATGGATCAAATATACAAGTATTAGTAAAGATGTATCTCATGTAATTAATATAGTATTACATAATTTATAAAATAAAAATTAGTAAGTTCATCTAACTGAAAAATTCATCTTTTAATTTCAAGAAGATTCTAGAGTCCTGTTGAAAATTTTGAAATGGTCCCGTATGATTTAACCAATAACAAATTGACACATCAACATAATATTAAGTTCATTAAATTTTTAAAAACCTTTGTAACCTGCGTAAATTGACCATAACATCAGGTAAACTTACCAAACTTTTAAAAAATGAATAATTCAAGAAAGTTTTAAAATTAAAAATAACAAAAATACCATCAATTAATAATTAAGTTTCTTTATTTATATTTTTTATATTGTACAAATACTTAAATGTGGTGTACATTAGCTTATATAATATTGCACCTATATTTATATATCATAATTGCAATACCTTTTGCACGTGCATTTATGTTTCTTTAAAATAATAAAAAATGTACAAGCATTGTACTTTAAGAATATTATTACACATTCAAGAAAAATACATTTTACATTTTACTGCAAACAATTGCAATTTACTACCGTAAGTATATTAATATTCACTTTCTTTATTTTATCTTCAAATTGGACAAAAAACTCACGTGTGAGTACAAATATTTATATCTGATTGCATATTAATCTATAAAACATTGCACATGTATTGATACATAATTGCATCATAATACATATATATATTAGAATAATATAATACTAAATATACGAAATATCTTACCACAAAAAATTATGAATTGCACATTAAAATATACGAAAAATCTTACCACAATACTAAATATAGGAAAAATCTTCACCTTTGAGGATGAATTGCACATTAAAAAAAGTATATTGCATGTTCACTCGCAACATTTGTACAGTACAAAATCTTACCACAATACTTAATTAAATTTCTTTTTTTATTATTATTTTTTTTTTATTTTTATCTTACCATGAAAATTGCACCTATATTGATACATAGTTGCACACCGTCTTATAAAATACTGCAACATCTCTTATGACATGGCTCCTCCAGAATAAGATTGACGAAATAAATTTTGAAAAAAGGAAAAAAAATTAAAATTTAATCTTCAGTTTTCTTTGAACTTTTAATACTTCCAATAGACATAAAGAAAAAAATTAGAAGTGATAAAAAGAAAACTTCACATAGTTAATAAATTATATCAAATTCATTTAATCATGCTTGTGAATTAATGATAAGAGAAAAAAAAGAGAGATTTGTTATTTTTCATAATAAAAAATTAATTATAGTTTCACTAATCACATTCAACTAAATTTGTTTACAACATATTACATACATCATAACAAAACACAGCATACTAGAAAAATAAAAGTTGTACGTTGTCAAAAAAAACCATTACACAATAAATGAAAATATGTATAGCATGAAATCAATGGCGGAGCGAGGATTTTAGATTATGGGGTGCGAAATAAATTTATGAGGACAAGTGCACTAATTTTTTTTTTTAAAAAAGTATACATTATTTTTTTTTTGTAAAAAAAAAAAAACTAAAATACGTTTTTTCTTATTCAGCAACTTACAACAAAATATTTAGAACCATTTCATTAATATTTAATACATTTTGTTACTAAAAGTTATAATGGTATGTGATTCAAATTTGTTTTTTAAGATAGACATAATTTTTTTATTGAAAATTTTAGAACAAAAGGTTCTACATTTGGCAATTTTTTTGATATAAGGAAAAAAAAATTCTTTCTATAAATCAAAACCAATGCAATAAAAATAATTAGCATAATTAACTTGATTTGACATCAAGATTTGTTCACCCGGCAAGAAAATTTATCCGTTTTATAATTTTAATTTTTCTATTAACTGTTTAGCATATTGAAACTCTTATTATGGGCTTTTACTTTAAAAAAAAAATTGGCTCTTGATTTTGATCTTAAACACATAATATTATATTCAATTGGGCCTTAACTTATAAAAATATGAAACTAGAACTTTTTTTTTTTTTTTGTAAAACTTTGTTATTTCATATATTTATACCTAAAGTTCAACCTACTAAGATTGAACTAAAAACAATTGAGTACTCAAATCAGTATAATCAAGCATTTCAACATGATAATAATCCTATAACAACTAATCCTGTAACCATACTCATGCAATTTTTGTTCACTATTCACCGAATTTTGATATCACCATTATTTTGAATTAAAACTCCCAGTACCAAAGAAAAAAAAAACTATTGAAACATGATATTTGAAACTTTTCGTAGAAAAAAAAATATCAACTTAAAATATCACATGTCAATTTTTTATTTGCTTAGAACCGAATTTTGTATTTTATATTGATGATTTTTTTCTTCTTCACAAAAATTCTCAAATATCATGTTCTAATATTTTTTTTTTTTAACTATGTGATGTAAGTTTAATTTAACATCACAGGAAACAAGAAGAATAAAAAGTTATGCAAGTTTCTTTTTTTTTTTATAATTTAGAGATGAAAAAAGTAAGGCAAGTTTTTTTTTTTGGAATAAAAGATTGGTTTTTACCTGATTCATAAAAAAGGAAGAAAATAAATAAAATTAATTACAGTAAATGTGCTAAAATTTTATATGAAGGTATAATTGGTAATTGAAATTTTTTTGCTCCTTATATAACAAAAGAGTTTTGTATTTATCAATTACCTTAGAAAATTGATGGCACGTAAAATAGTTGTTAACTCACAATATAATCCGGATAACATACCCAGGTAGTGTAATAATGTGATTACTAGACTTGTGCTTAAATCTCTTTGAATGAATGATTAGTAAGCCAAGGACAAAACATCCAACTTAATCCATGCTTAATCCACGTTTGTATTTCTGTTAGTTGTACCATTACTCAAACACAATCTTCCCATATCATATCACATTCTTGGCTCTCCGTCATCTTTAGACCTATCTCAATCCTCCCCGCCTAATTTATTAATCATTCCCCACATTATGGGCTAATTTATGGGATTCAATCCCAAAAATTACTACTACTACTATTCAGCACACTTGAATAATCACGCGCAAACAGTAATCAAACTTAAGATATGACAACTTAAATGGTTCATTAAATCTTACAAATAGGACATTTTCAAATTAAAATTTTTAAGTTCCTAGATAAAAGATCTAGGTAAAATACTAACATCAATAACACACAGCTGGTTGGTCTTCTTCCCCGACCGTGAGGGCACCATACTCGACGAAAATATTAGTATTAAAAAAAAAAATGCTCTTACAAAAAAGTTGGGGTCTACAAAAAGTTTGGAATTTATTTTTTTTCATAGAATAAAGGGAAAAAGTTGATGCAAAGTTCAAAACGGTCCTTTATTTTTTAGGCTTTTTTATTAGCTCTCCGCAGCTTTCTCTTCACTCTTCCTGGCTCTGAGTCCTGCCTGGCCTCAGTTCTGTTTTCTACTGAGAGGACTCGAGAATATAAATTAACTTTTGCCCACCCACCATCAACCTGTATCCCACCGACTTCCATTGATAAAAATAAAATCATAAAACCCCTCATTTCTCTTTGTTTTTTAAGATACAAAAGTGCAATCCCCTTATTGGAAAGAGGGAAAAAAGAAGAAAAAATCATGGGTCTTTACATGACTCTGTTTCTGCTATCTACTCTTCTTGTTTGTGCTTCGGTTTCGATTTCCGGTGAGTCCGATGAACAAATTAATACCAATGCCGTGATTCTGCCGGTTGTTTTGGTTGTTCTTTGACCTTTTCTCCGATTGATTTCACTTTTTTTTTTCTTTTTGCAGGTGAAGGGCTATCACCAAAGGTGGGAGTGTGCTATGGCCAACTAGGGAACAATCTGCCTAATCCATCAAAATCCGTCCAGCTAATCCAAGGCCTCAGAGCCAAAAGAGTCAAAATCTACGATGCAACACCAAAGATTCTCAAGGCCCTCAAGGGAACCGAACTGCAAGTGTCGATAATGGTGCCGGACGAAATCATACCGGACATTGCCGGTAGCCAGTCCGCCGCCGACCAATGGGTCAAGAAAAATGCCGTCCCTTACTACCCAGACACCAAGATTCGTTACCTCCTCGTCGGAAACGAAATGCTTAGCTTCGGAAACACGACGACTTGGTCCCAAGTGGTGCCGGCCATGCGTAAAATCAGAGCGGCTTGCAAGAAATTCGGCCTACAAAAAATCAAGGTGGGGACCCCACTGGCTATGGACGTCCTGGAATCTTCCTTCCCGCCGTCAAACGGGACGTTCCGGTCAGACGTATCGGAATCAGTGATGAAGCCAATGTTGCGATTTCTGGATCGTACCAAATCGTTCTTCTTCGTCGACGTGTACCCGTATTTTGCGTGGTCATCCCAACCTTCCGGCATCAATCTTGACTATGCTCTGTCAGATTCCAAAAATCTCACCTACACCGACCCGGTTTCCGGTTTGACTTACACAAACTTGTTGGACCAGATGTTGGACGCCATTGTATTCGCCATGAAGAAACTCGGGTACCCAAATATCCGTTTGTTCGTGGCGGAAACGGGTTGGCCCAGCGGCGGTGACGTCACCCAAATCGGATGCAATACTTACAACGCCGCCACTTACAACCGTAATGCAGTTAAGAAGTTCTCGGCGAATCCACCGTTGGGAACTCCGGCACGGCCTGGAGTGGTGATTCCTGCTTTCCTTTTTGCCCTGTACAATGAGAACCAGAAGCCGGGTCCGGGAACGGAGCGGCATTTCGGGCTGCTGTACCCGAACGGGTCGGATGTGTACGGGATAGATTTATCCGGAAAGACACCCGATTCGGCGTATAAGCCATTGCCGGAACCAACAAACAATGAGCTTTACAAAGGGAAAGTATGGTGCGTGGTGTCGGAATTAGCCAAGGATAAAGATGTGGCTGCTGCCCTGAGTTATGCTTGTGGGCAGGGGAATGGGACTTGCGACCCGATTCAACCCGGTGGAAAATGCTACAAACCGAATTCACTGGCCGCCCATGCGGGCTATGCTTTCAGCTCTTACTGGGCTCAGTTCAAGAACGTCGGTGGCACCTGCTCTTTCAACGGCGCCGCTGTTCCGACGGCCAAAGATCCAAGTAAGTCGGCATTTTGGTTTTTTTTTTTTTTAATAATTCATAAACTATAGATAAATGCGTTTAGAAAATAATAAAATCTTTTGATACGTTTGGATATTTTATTCCCTTGGACAATGATATCAAGTTGGATATTTTCTTTTTTCTTTTTTTTTTAAATAACTTTCAGAAGATATAGAGTTTCGTGTCAATGAAAGAAATCATTGAAAGTTGGACTGCTGACTATTTCATCTCATAATTTGTGTTGTACCAATAGCATAATAGTATGGGGACTTGGGTAACATTTTTTTATAATGTGCACAATAAATGAATGAATTATATAAGTTTGCTGTTAATTTTTGACTTTTTTAAGTTCATTTTTTCTCTTGATGTACTAATATTAATTCAAAGGTTACTGATTTTCTGAATTCCTTTATTGTGCAGGTCATGGGGATTGCAAGTATCCCAGCGTTTTTCTTTGAAGGATGAAGCGGATTTGAACGTGGAAAATAACATTTCTGGGCAAATAAATTCAACTTAAATTCCTATTGTTAGGTTTTGAGATTATTGATAGGTGTCTATCTACGTTAGGCAATTAGGATTATTTAAAAAAAAAAGAAAGAAAAATTGAAAGACTGGTTGATTAAATTTGGTGCCCATTTTTAACATTTTTTTGTTCGTCAATTTGTGGGCAACATTTTGGTTACTAATGTAGTATCAGTATTTTCCAGCATTTTATCCCTTATTATTAAAAACCTTTATCCACAGCAGTTTGGCGCAAAAAAAAAAAAAAAAGGGGTCTCCCCTTTCCCCACCCAAGATTATGGTGGAGGGTCCTCTTACTCTCTGCTTCGAGTACAACTTTTCGATAAGAATCTCAACGGCTATATGATTTCCGATTGGACAACGAAGAACGGCTTTGTCGGTTAACTCATCTCTTTATTCCTTAATCCAACGTTCATTGATTCAATGGCCCAAGAATTTGAGTCCAACTTTTAAGCTTTGATTATGACAATAACCATTAGTCCAGTGAAAATGTATAGGAATTAGGAGCAAGAAAGAAAAATCCAAAATTAGCTGGGATCTCGATGTTAATTGTCAAACATGAAAATGCCATCATCAGAATTTACCTTTGGTAAATCCCAATGTTCGACATTTTTTTTTTTTGGGGGGGTTAACCAATGTTCAACATCTTCCTTAAGATGGAAATGGAAATGCACATCTGTGAAGGGGGTGAATTTGAAGCGGCTTCTCCTGAATAAGTCCTGATTGCCTGATTCCTTCTAAATGCTTGAGATTGTCAAATGCAAAAAACTGCGGGAGAATACTTGCTCCCCAATCTTAAGCTATAGACAGACAGAAAGACAGAAATATGTGAGACAACATCATTATCTACTCAAGTTGGGAGCAATTAAACAACATCCAAGAAGATTACTCATTTGTTGTGAATTTCCGAAGAAGGAAAAACAGATTTTTAGTACTAGTTTTAAGTAATCTGACGAGTTTCAATCAGAATAGAAATCCCATATCCCAAAAGGTCCAATCAAATCGTGGACAACAATATGTTTTCGTTTCTTCAATGTTAAACCAAATGCCCATTTTCAACCCAAAACAAAAGTGCTTAGAAAGATCAAGGAAGAGGTAATACATAGAATTGAATACTCCTCACAAGAAAAGAAAAATCCATAATTAGCTGGGATCTGGATGTTAATTGTCTTTTTTTTAAAAAAATAAAAATAAAAAATAAAATAAAATATCTAATATTAATTTAAAGTACTTATGTTATTACATCGACACGAGTTGTAGGCCATATTATGTAGATCACTAACATTAGATTTGCTAATTTTAATCAGTTCGCAAGAGCCAAAAGATGGTATGAAAGCGAATAATAATAACAAAGAAATAACTTCTTGTGTTTCTGTCGGCACAAGTATGTTACACAGTTGTTAATAACAAAGAAACAACTTCTTGTGCTTGAAATGGTGACAATAATTGTAATGGCATTGCCTTAATCTGCATTGTGACTTCCAACGGTGAGGTAATTATCCATGCCCCGGCTACCATTATGTGAGGATGAAAGGAGCCATCTCCGAAACATGAATTTGGTCGTCTGGTGGAATCATAATCTTTGATTAGAGGCTGATTAATAGATTGACCAGGATGTTAATTGTCAAACATGTTTCTATGGAGCAAATGTGGACACATTTACGGAGTAAGATAGTGCTCTTCCTTAAAACTGCATCACATATACATATATATATATATATATATATATATATATATATATTGGAAAACAAATTGCATCATATTTACCTTTAGCAAATCCCAATGTTTCAATCATTTTTTTTAGGTTAACCAATGTTCAACGTCTTCCTTAAGAAAATGGTTCGGTTTTATTAACCAAATCATGGTCGGATCATTCAACACAATTAACAAAATTTTTTAATACAATATAACTAGATGTTATGTAACATCCCGTCCAAAACACCAAATTCTCGCGTGGTGCCTTGCACGTGACATTTGCCTAGCTCGCGCTAGAACTCAATAACTCTCAATTATAAAATATGAAAGTGTTAACTCTTACAATAAGATAATATCGTGCTATGAAATATTATTAAAACTATAATTATTAAGTCAAATCTAATGTTTCACAAGACTCCACTCTTAACCATACTTGATCTTCTTGATTTCAACACTCGCACATGTCCCCAAGATCTATGCTCGATCCACCAGCTAATGCAAAGCTAATCTGTAATGTGAGGTAAGGGGGGTGAGCTTGGAAAGCCGCGTGAAGTAGTCAAGAGGGTTTGACACTCACAAGCATGCAAATATGTAGCAAATATATATAATTTAATTCAAAAAATATAATCATTATTTAAAATAAATAAAGATATTAATTTCAAGGATATAGACAGATAGCCATGTATTTCATTAACTAGCTAGTAAATAAAGCAAACAATTCAATCACGGGATATCGCCAGTAGAACCCAAACAACTACGGACAAAATTGCTCACGGCTTCATTGTCCGTCTGGCGGCCAGAAAGTCTTTTTTTTTTTTTTTCTTCAATTCACAAAGTTTTTTTTGAAAAAAAACATACCCGTAATGAGATCGGCTCTTTCCCGCTTTGATTCTTCCGTGTTGCTATCAATTTTTCATCAAATTAGACTTCAAAATGGGGTTTAGAAGGGTGGTGGCTTCAAGTTTTCTCTCTTTTTTCCTTAAGTGGAAGTTTGAAATGTGAGGGGCAAAATGGTCCAAAAAAATTTATGGTAACTTTAAGTAGTAAAGATGGTGACTTCAAAAACTAACACCCTTCTTTTACATATTGTCCGTATTATGTGTTAGGGATGGACTCTCAAAATGGAAAACATCATATAATGGTTGTTTTTATTCTTTGAGAGGGCTGATTGATTTTGTGCTAGTTGTTTTTTATTTTATTTTTTGGCCCAAAATGCGGGAATAGTAATAGAAGATAATGCATTAGCAGCTATTTTATTTGTGCTCTGGCAATATCATTAGAAAAATCATAAAGATCTCATAACAAATTTTAACCCTTGTCTGATCTGATTTTGGAAAACCATATTGCAACTTCCCTTGCAGACATATGCATCAACAGAAAGGCAATGATAAAGTCCAGAACCTACACTCATTAACATTCTGAAGCAAATTTGCAACGAGGTTTCTTGTTTCTCTGGCTGTCAATCAAAGAACAAGAACTGATGATGATCTATATATACTTCTCCCGGAAATGCAACAATATTTTCAAGGACTACTCCGTGTTTTTTCAAAAGGCTTACCAATCAAAGAACAAGAACCTGTACTTGCTCATCTTAACTACCCTGAGTCTGGGCATCTGGAAAACAATCGACCTAACCTTATCACAGTTTTTGCAGGCCTCCCTGAAAGATATTACCAGTGTCAGCATCCAATGCTAGCCAGAAAGAACTAACAAGTAATATATTCCCACAAAGAACAAAGGCAAAACTAGATACTCACATCACAATGTGACGGATAAGAGTTCACAAGGACCATCGTCTCAAGCTGTGGACAATTCTGAAGTAAAATTTCCAGGCCAAGAAGATCATCTTTTGAGTACCCAAATAGCAGCTCTAAATGTTTGAGATTGCCAAATCCAAACCTTCTCGAGAAAACCTCCTCTCCAATCTTAAACCAAAGACAGAATGAAACTTGTGAGACAAAAAAAACCCCTCCTGAAGCTGGGAACAAGGAAAACCAGAAAAAAAAAAAAAAAAATTTTAACAAGTTATTAATTGGGGTGTTGGGGTTTGGGGTAGATGAATACTTACTTTTAATTAATATTGTGAGTTTCAATAAGAGTATATATTCCTTTTTTTCTATATTCCAAAATTATATTCCTTTTTTATGGACAATCTATATTCCTATTTCCTTCTATGCAAACCCAAAATGGAACAAACTATCATTTTCTTGGCCAAATACCAGTCAGTTTTCAGAAGACCAGAATAGCAAAAAAAAAGGAAGAAAAGTTTCAGCCAAATGGTTGCATGGCAAGCTACCAAAATCCATAAAGAGGTAGTTAGTACATTGTAATCAAATACTCTTCAGAAATCAGCACAAGCTTCACATGACCTACAATATCCCTCCCACCTATCATTCTAGGCTAAATGCCAATAACGAAAAAATCAAGGATGAAATTACGATAACTTTAGCAATTCCAAAACAGAAACACTATTACGGTTAAGGATACCAACTGCATAGTGACGTGTTTGCGAACGCGAACCAATAATACAGGAAACAAATTGAAAAATGGTCCAGTGAATTGAATTAATCACAAATGTAAAGATGATGAGAATAAAATTGCTCTTTTTTCTTTAAAAAGATTGGGATCTCTTGCTACATTATCCTGAACAAGCCAGTCCAGTCATATAAACACATGAGCAAACCAAAAAGTTGAGTTTACCTTTCCATGACGCCCTTCTTCACTGGTCATTGGTTGCTCGAAGCTACAATCTTCAGGTTGCCTTTTGATATCTACATAATCCTAAAGGCGATTGTGACATCAGACAAATTCGTCAAACAAACAGTAAAAGCTCTAGCAAAAGTTGCGCACATAAGAAAATTTCATACTGTAAATATCTTTTTGAGGGGCCTCAAACCCGCACTGCAATATACATGGATCGATTTATAATCTATGTACGGTTGTAGACATACATCATATACAATATCCGAATCTTCAAAAACAAAATGCCTTGCTTTGGTAAATGACGTTTCAAAAGATAAGGACATACGGTATCTCTCTTTTTCATAAAATCATTCATCCGTCCAGTAAAGAAGGTCTCAATTCTCAACCAAGCGGATGAAATAAAAGGTTATACCTATACGACAAATCGTGGCAACAATAATGAACAAATTAAGAATAGCAAAGAAAAATGAATGATAAATTCACCACGTTGAACCATGAGTGGTTCATGCTAATTACGAAAAGGTATATTTCCAAACCTGGAAGAGAAATAGAACTTACTGGAAACCAATTCCACATATTTTGGATGCATAAACGCTTGACACTACTTAGAAATCTTACTAGATAAGTCCAGCACACAAACTCCTCCCAACCTCTGGAACCGAAATCCAAATGAGCTTCAACCAAACACGAACTATCTTTCAAAGCATACTTCCTCCCGAAAACATTATCAAACGTCACTGATTCCAAACTTGGAGCACATAGTTGAAGTGAATCTCCTTCGACGAACCCGAAGTAAGATAACTTGAAGTGCTTGAGTTTGTTTGACACTATACGCAAATTGTGCAAGCCCCGAATATCCAGAATAGACAATATTTCAAGATTAACACAAAATGCCATCATATTTTTAATTTGTTCATCCAGCGCAAAAGAGTCCACAAGATGTAATTCCCTGAGAGAATGAATCTTCATAGAAAATGTCTCTTCAGCGAAACTGATTTCGATGCAATGCAGTCTTAAAACCTCGACTGAGCTATTTATAAGCTTAGAAAAATGAAAGGCATAACCCGACATGTTCTTCATTTTCACCTTGATCCCAATCAAATTCGAGTTTAAGCTCAGTTGCTTCGCAAAGGATGGCATACATAAGCCAGCCATCCACGCACAACCTAATTGCCTCATCATTCCTGTAATTGGAGAATAACTTCAATTTGCCAATAGGAACGTGGTGGGGCCGGTGTATGAGCGTCTGGCCGATAAATACAGCAAACAGATGGCGAGCATCCCGGGTAGATATCTCTGGAATACGGGCATGAAACTCTGAAACGTCGAAATTGAGGATGGGGACCAAATGCCAGAGGTTTTGCCACCTTCGTGCGACAGCGGTGGTTCTGACGGCGGCGATGGTTGGGAGGAAGGAAAGAATGTGAATAAGGATATCCTCAGGAAGATCGTCAATGGATGTTTCGGAAGACGCCACTGTAAGATCGACAGTGGATGCTCCTTCAGACGCCATTAAAATGGATTCCTTCTTTCGGGTTCTTTTCATTTAGGTGTCTCCAGTTGCCGCCGGAACTTAATCGCCTGATCGGAAAGACTGGACAGTGGAGAGTAGACTAATGGGAGGAGACTGAAAGAGAATAACCCCAATTTGGCGCGTGAAAAGGATTTTTGTGATTATAAAAGAGGCCGCCATTTATTGTCCATATTTTTGGACTCAAAAGCAGGTCTGGTCAACTCGGGCTTTAAAGGCCCAAATATAAATTGGACAATGAATGTACATCGACCTGTGTACTCCAGAAATAGGCCTTATTAGTAATAAGATAGTGAACCGGAATCCAACATTAGTACGGTTGTCGGGTTGTCAGTTCAATCAGTCGTAATCAATTATACAAAGACTTGACAAAAACTTTAAATTAGAATACAAAGTTGACACATCACCTTAACAAATCCTAAAAAACCTACTGTCCTTTTTGTAACTCAAAATGTAGATAATTTATTTTAGACTAACTCCATCATCTTTGTTTTCCACACAATAAAGGAGGTAATACGCAATTCCATCAACTTTTAAAAGGTTGTATTATTACACATTTACACTAACACATCCAATCCAATGATATAGTATGCCACAAATGACAAACCAAAAGACAGAGATATTTTGCGTACGTTTGAAAGATTGAAATACGAAGATGAACCAAAAATGAAAAATGTCCAGAAAAAACTCGTTCTTTCTCAAAAGTGAATAAACATTTATGATCCGGACGATATTAATGAACAAATAAATATCTTGCTGATAAGAGCTCATCGATATTGGAAGAATAAGAGGCCGAGTGTCCAACTTGCAGCAAAAATCAATCATGTATTTCAGTGTCCTTATCCTCATTTGTCACCGCTTCTGTCACTTTGTTCGCAAAAGGTGATTATAATAGTAGTACTAGTACTTTTCAATAACCATTATCCACTTCTTTATCTTCTTCACAACAATTTTCACCAAGTTCATAAAACCCCATAACCCAAAAGAGCTTCATTGAACCACTGAACAGTTTCAAAGCTCTATAATTTCATTGAGAAAGACTGGAATTAGTTTTTAGTTTTTACAAAAACAGCCTAATCTTAAAAAGGGTCTTAAAAACAGTGTTGAATGGACCATTGCCTTTCTCACAAAACACCTTTTTTCAACTCACTTCGCCCAGTGGAATCTTTACCTTCCAGAGTAAAGGCCTCCACTTTTTCATCAAGATCGTCAATTCGGGAAAATCCCTTAAAGTCTCCGGGTAATTACTGCGGCGGGATCAGTTTGATCGGTGGGAGGGCTTATCAGGGGAGGAGGGCCGGTTTGGCGGTGGTAGCCGCTACTAATTACAGTGATTGTGGTGGCGGGCTGAACACTCCGGTCCAGCCGAAATCGGTGGCCGGGAAGTTATTGGGTAGTGTTCTCCAGAACGATCCGGAATATTTTCCTCAAGTGGTCAAGAAACAGTTGGAGCAGTTAGTGGTTGATCGTCATGAAGCATTGGCTAGAATAAATTTGAGCTCTGCCTCTGACGAAGCTTGCCTTCATAGGTATTAATTATTTTCTATCTATTTAGTGTTTTAGGTTATTTTGTAGTATAATTTATGGTCACCTGAAAGGGTGAAAGCATCCCTATTTTTTCTTGGTCCTCCCTTTTTTTCTTTATATCTTTCTGCAACAGATATTCAATGCTCTCCATAATTTTAGACTTGCAAGTTGCAATTGCTATGGATTTTAGGTCTCTGATGGAAAAGGCTTTTGCATTGATCTTAACTAGGGGATTGAGTTAAGTGTTTCTTCCTGTTTGCACCTTTACAATCCACAAGCTGGCCAAATAAAATAAATAATAGTTAGTCTCCGAGTAATATATTAACTCTCAATAATGTCCTAATTAGAAAAGAATCTGGTTCTTGTGGATTGTTGTTGCTCTGACTCTCAAAGGCAAGTGGTATTTGTTTGATAATATCTGACCTGGGATGCTTTTTTACCAAACTGATCATTGAACCAACACGCCCTAGGGTTATAGAGAATATTGGATGGAAATTTAACTTTGAGGACTCGTCTGTGAAATGTCAACGACGCGTGTCAGATATTCCTGATGTTTATCTAACTGACTATGCTTTTTGGCAATTTTTGTCCCATGCCCATTGTGTAGCGGCTGTGCCGCTATCTATTTTCCATTTAAAATCTGTTGTGAGGAATGTATGAGAACTTATTACGTACAATGCCTTGGGGAGTTTTCTTATCCCATTCGGTTCAGCTCAGCGAAATGCTGAACGCTGGCAGCCGAGGGACCAAGACATATCTCTCCTTCTTGCCTTCCCCCCCTTGTCAACCTTTAGGCTCGTAATGTTGTGTTTGGGTCCGTAAAGTGGTTGTAGTCACGGACCGATTCTCTTATCCCATTCGGTTCAGCTCAGCAAAATGCTCAACACTGGCCCTGAGGGACCTAGACATATCTCTCCTTCTTGCCACCCCCCCTTGTCGACTTTTAGGCTCGTAATATTGTGTTTGGGTCTGTAATTGGTTGTAGTCACGGACAAATTCTTAAAGTTGAGCATTAAGTCTCCATTTTTGGAAATTTCAGATGATCGTGGTTTATCCTTTTTTTCTTTCTTTATTTTTCTTTTTTTGGTCACAAGTCTTTGCCTCCTAAAGAATGCATAAGAAGCATGCAAATAATTATTCTGATGGTTCATTTCCTTGTGGGAACTGGGGACTGATGGCTTGGCTTGTCTTCTTGAAAAGTTGCTTATAGTTTCTTATGTATCTTGAACTGTTAAATTAGAAAACTTAGATATTTGTTTTCTTTTCTTCGATTGCATAGTATATTTGTCGGATAGCCCAATCTCCTCGGAATGGCATGGATGGGGTGAGGTTACCAGTGCATTCTTTATCAACAGCATGGCCCGGCAAAAGATGCAACTTTATTGCCTCAAAACTGCATTGGCCTTCTTCAAAACTTTCTGGCTCTCATAAGGCAATGCAAAGGCTTGGAGTGGGCATTGGAGTAACTTGCCGTCCATGCATTGTTTGAACAACATCCTACTCTGAGCTCTTATAAGTGGCCAGGTTTAAGCTTGCTTGTATTTTGTGTTTGGATTTACCTGAATGTACATTAATGTTTAAGCTCTGCTTTTTGTGACTAAACCACTATTTGTCGTGGCATTTGCTAACATAACTGTATCAGTTTGAGGAATCTTATTTTGGTGATTGATATGGCATCATATGATTCAATACTTCTCTGTGAAACTGTATTTTAAATGTTTGTTTACCGCATCCCTGGGCTGATGTTGACATTGTTAAATTCTAGGAGGATCGCCGAGCTGAAAGAGCGTGAATGTCAAGCTGCTGCCGAGGATATCATTTATATGTTGATATGTGCCAAATTTTATGAAATCAGAGTGCATTTGGTTCCCCGGCTCTCCAAATGCATGTGTTATGGCAGACTTGAGATAGTTCCTTCTAAGGACTGGGAACTTGAATCTATTCACAGTTTTGAGGCATTGGAGATGATTAGGGAACATCTAAATACTTTCGTGGGCTGGAGAACAAACTCGAATGTCACTAACAAATGGGCACTGACTCAGATCTCTCGGTTTCAGCTCTGCCAAGTCTACACTGCTTCAGTCTTGTATGGATACTTTCTGAAGTCTGCTTCATTGAGACACACACTTGAAAAGAAGTGGTTCCGGAACAACTTTGATCTCGGCCTGAATGTAGGTAGTTGTCTTCCAGTATTGAACAATTTTCCTTTAGGGTCAAAACAGGCTGAAGTTGGCCGTGTCATGAGCGTACGATCTACGTCAGTTGGTGAAGTCCCATGCAATCAGGGTAGGAAACAGGAAACTCTGAAGGGTTACATTATGGGTTTTGACCCCGAAACTTTCCAAATGTGTGCAAAACCAAGGTCCAAGGAGGCTGCCAATGTGATCGAGCAACAGATATCTGAGCTGTTTCATGATGGGAAAACTGGTCTGCTACAGAACAAAGAGCTTATATCCACATCATACGCGAGCCTGAAGAGATTTGTTTTGGAGGGAATAGCATTTGGTTCGTTCCTTTGGGATGCAGAAGAGTTTGTGAACACTGTATATGAGCTGAAGGACAACAAAACTGACTAGACCTGGAACTCTGGATACCTATGAAGCAATGCCATCATTTTCTGCTCTTTTGTGATATATAACTTTTCTGAGTACTGATTGTACAGCGTCTTCTCCTTTGTTATAAATGGAGATAGTGTAAATGGTTATGTATCAGGGGAGGTGTATGGTATTCTGGATGTTTTATGTGTATATATCAAAGTATGAACTGCTAGGCAGGATTTCAACTGAGTTCATGTTCAAATTTCTTCTGGTAACCTTTAGTTGTGATCTATTGCAGTGAACGGTGACATAATGATCATAATAAAGTTCAGTTGCCCGAAGATTCTCTGCTAAGTAAGGATTTGCAGAGCGACGTTTTTACAATGACATGAAAAATTTTGGTTCAGAATGCCATGTATGACGAAGCTCTGAAGTCATCATCAACATTAATAGTAGACTAAAATACTTATAGGAAAAAAAGAAGAAGAAATTTTACTGGAGGTTAAGGATGTGATGAGTGATAGTAGTAAAGTCTACTAGTGCTAGTAATTAGTAAACTCTTTAATAATGATTAATCATTATGTAATCCTTATCTGATTTCTCAATCAACAAGCAATTTCCAAAGTCGCCAGTACTTGCTGGTCAGGTCTGGCAACTTTGTCTAGTTTATATTACTTCAGTTCAAAAAAAAATAGTCCACATTAAATTTCTAAATTTGTACTAAAAATATTATAAAATTTAAAACTTAACGTGGATCATATTTGTGGGACGGAAGGAGTGTTATACTATTTGTTAGTTTTACACAAAACAATGAAACATTGCCAATTTTGATGTCTTTTCAGTTTGATTTCTGACATTTTCAAAGAAAAAAGAAAAAACTCACGAAGGAGATTATATGATTTCCCGATTTCTCACCGAAAATAAAATTCAACTGTCAAAACTCTTCTCAAAGATATTGATTTTTTCTAGATTTAATTAGGTCTTGATGGTGTTATGAATTTCATCTTAATTAGGCCTTAATTGTTCTAGCGTGTGGTTTGACTGTGCCTTAAAATAAACATTTATCTCTATGTATATAGGTTTTATGGAAAACCTTTTTATTCTTCTCTACATATAATCACACATTTTGAATGTGTTAAATTCATAGAATCAGTTAATTACATGACAAATATTCTCAAATTTGGACATAAAATTTTCCATTTCCGGTTGTCTCAAACGATTGTGGTTGGATGCTTGTTAAGAGCAAATTTCAAGCATGAACACTTTACACTTCTATATATACGCTTTGGTATGGGCTGTTAAATATGTAAGGGATCTTACCTTTATCTTCTGAACGAACAAGATTTACTCAAAAAATATTTACTGTCTTAAAAAAATTTAGTACAAATTTTAAAATTTAATGTAATTTTTTTTTTGGAACAAAATGATAGTAAAACGTAAAATTGCTACAAAAAAACACTGCACTCCTTTATTCCATTGATGTGCATGATTGAATAGAGAGTAACGTTATTAAATGCTAATGTTCAAAGATTAGGGTGAGGAATTAGGCTGTTAACATCATTTGATGGAGTCATTGACAATTTATTCACACACACACGGAAAAAGAAAACAGAGGATAATTTCGGCGAATGACAAGTGGGACAGGGTGGGGATTCAGGAAAGCGTTCTAGATGGTCAACGAATTTCACAAGCGTTCTTTTTAAATTTCTTTTAATCTTGACTATCCGCTCTGTTAATTTCCTTTGACTTTTGACTTTTGACTTTTATGATCCAAATTTTCTTCATTCTCCTGGTTTTTTAATAGGGAGGAGAAGGTTACTTTATAGGAAATTCCGAATTTACGGCAACAAACACTGGAAGCTTCTGTGGTTAATGTGTGCAGTGCCATCAAAAATCCCCATAACATTTTAATTTCCAGAAATTTACTCATTTAAGTGCTAATAAATTTGCATAGTAAAAAAGGTGATCAAATTTTTCAAAAATCATCTAACTAATGTGATTATACTAGAAGCCGTTCTATTTCAATATAATAATAATAATAATAGAGTCCTGAGTAAGTGTTTAACTATAAATCATTGGCATAATACGGTCAGGAATGACGTCTAGCGCGGGAGCTACAGTAAATGTGGATTCAGGAGTAATAACAACGTTTACTCTGTTCACACTTTAGAGCGTGTCGTCTTGGCCGCCATTGCGCCACTATAAATAACTAACTCCAATTTCTCAAACTCATAAACAGAGTTTCATTCTCGTACAATCTCCAATTAATTAATACAGACCCAAAACTAGTTCTTCTTTGGTTCTCATCATCTCATTTCTGCCTCAACGCATTCTTCAACAGTCAGTCATTAGAAAAATGGAAGCTCTTCAATTCAGTTCTTATGGTGGTGGTGTTGCCGGTTTAAAGGTAATTAATCAATTGATCGTTTCAAAGTAGTGATTTTTCTTTCCGCCATCATCATGGTTGCTAAACTTTCGGCAATTTTCTGATCTTCATTCTGTTTTCAAAAAAAAAAAACAGCATGTCAGAGTTCCAATTCCAGAGCCCAAAAAAGATGAAGTGCAGATCAAAGTGGAAGCAACAAGTTTGAATCCATTCGATTGGAAGATCCAAGCCGGCACGCTTCGTCCCTTCCTTCCCAGCAAGTTCCCTTATACCCCTTGTAAGTTACTCTTCCCCATCTCTCTGCAATTCATTAAGATTTCTAAAAATTCCTATCAATGGGATACTGATCGTCGAAAATGTGCAGGCACTGATGTTGCAGGGGAGGTAACAAAAGTTGGTTCTTCTAATTCTAAAGGCTTCAAGCCCGGCGACAAAGTTGTAGCCATGATCAGTCCCGCTGTAAGATAATTGTGATTTTTTTCTTACATTTTCTTTTGGTGGGCTAAAATCAACCGGATTCTCTGATGTTTTTGTTTGTTGATGGAATTAATGAAACAGAATGGAGGTGGGCTGGCAGAGTACGCCGCCGTGAAGGCCAACTTGACAGTAATCCGGCCAGATACTGTATCGGCAGCCGACGGAGCATCATTGGCAACCACCGCAATGACGGCTTATCAGGCCCTCAAGACGGTCGGCGGGCTAACCACTCGCCCAATCCAAAACATTCTGATCACCGCCGCCTCCGGCGGGGTGGGAATCATGGCAGTTCAACTTGCAAAACTACTGGCTCCCAGCTCACACGTGACCGTAACTTGTGGTGCCCGGAACTTCGAATTCATGAGGAGTTTAGGAGCTGATGAAGTTCTTGACTACAAATCTCCAGAAGGGGCTTCTTTAAAGAGCCCGTCTGGGAAGAAATACGACTTGGTGGTGGATGCTGCTTCAGGGATTTCGTGGTCTACTTTTGCGAGTAATATGAGTGCCAAGTCCAAAGTTGTGTACTTGACTCCTAATGGGAGCTCCTTCTTGACTGTGGTTCTGAGGAAAATCACCTTTTCCAGCAAGCAGGCAGCGATATTGTTTACAGCTCAGAACGATAAGGATTTGGAGTTTCTGGTTCGTTTGGTTGAGGAAGGGAAACTCAAGGTGAAGATTGACTCCAAATACCCTTTAACCAAGGCAGAAGATGCTTGGGCTAAGTGTATGGATGGTCATGCTACCGGAAAGATCATTGTTGAGCCTTGAAAAATCACTGTTTGTTTTTTTTGCTGAGGATTTGGTTGAATTACATATGTGAATTGGTGATATACTTGAATACAGTAAAAAGTCTATTGTTTGTGACTTGTGAGAGTTGAGAGCAATTGATGCTGCGGTAGAATTATTATTCTTTTAGTCAAAGTTGGCGACTCCAAATAGTGTGGCCTTGGGCTAACTATGCCGGATCTCTCAACTCTGTTTTGTTTTGAATTTTGATTCGTTTTAAGTAAACATTTTCACTTTTGATTATCAAGTTGTAATTTTAGTCCTCCCCACTAATGTACACAATTTGTCAAAGTAAACAGTATCCCGTACGTTACAGTTAATTTTAACCCCGTGTTCAAACTAAATGTTCTACTATTAGTGTGTTCAAAAGGAGAGCTTTACTCCAGTAACCAAAGGGACTCAAAAGGAGTTACGGAGTATCTACAAATATTGCAGGATTTTGGAGAGCATCTAATTTGGCGAGGTGAATAACCTGTGTGTTCTGAGTCTATTTGGGAGGCTTGATTAGTTATATCATATGTGTTTATACGAGGCAAATTTGTGATAGGTTAATTGACATTTTTAGTGACGATTTGTCTTAAATCTTCACATGGTCTCCATATATTCGATCTTCCCTATATGTTAAAACCCCGTTGGTCGGAACATAATGTTATTGATATATTCGGACTCCGGTCCTCAGCTGCACAAGCAGTTGGTCCCAACTGCAGAACTTAAAAGCTCGCCAAGCCCTCACAGGAGCAACTGTTCTTACCAAAGTCATGTCTTGGTGGTTCAGATTGTAAATTTAAATTCAAAAACTCAGCCATGTTTGGCTTGAACTGCTTAAATTTCTGTGTAAATTAAATGATTTATATTGTTACTTGGACTGGATTTCAATCTTCATATCCATGTCCTTTCTGATGAGTATTAAAAAATGTGGCGTTGAATTGTTAAAATGTGCGGACAACACCTACCACATTATAAAATTATAACACTACACGTAAATTACATCGGCAAAGCAAAAGAAACTTTCAGTTTTCAACGATTTATGACAAACTATTACATCAAATGCGTAGAACAGATCCAACTCAACGAACATCAACAACAATTTTTATTGACTTACTTCTCAAGTTTCGTTTGTAAAACTTCGTTCATATATGATGCTGGTATATTCCTCTTAACTGAATGATAAAGAACAAAGGATAGCTAAAATCAAGAGATTCCATGGTAATTTTCTTCTTGAACCTAGTTTTATGGGCTATAACCACCCTTTTGAACATCATAACATGGTTAATCTTCAACACAGCGGCTCACCTTCTGGTTTTGGCGATTCGGGGTTGCAAGATTCCGGGTCAAGCAATCCAAGGCGCGTTAGAGCAATTGGGAAATGTTATCCGTACATGTTTGGTGTACCTTTTGGAGCTGTCCATGAACTCCATGATGGCTTTTGTTTCTTCCCTTTTTGATGCAATGAAACAGGGGATTACGGATTCGGCTACTGGTGCTGGCTCTGCTCTGGGCAGCTTAATGGAGGAGATGAGAGGTTCGTTGGAAAATTTGATCAAAGAAATAGCACCTCAAGTTATTGAAGGTTTTACGGATTTGATCACAAATGTTGTTGTAAATTTGTGGAATAGCTACAAGGAAGCTGTAGCTTATGTTCTTGAAAATATGTGATTACATTAAAAACTTTGTATCCCCTTTATTCTTTCGTTTTTTTTTTTTTTAATAAGATTTGAACTTCCTTAATTTCCATCTTATAAGAAAATTTGATCCTCTTATAACTTCTCCTTAATAACTTACCAATTGTGAGCTATCATTTGTAAATCACTTGATAATGAGGAAGGTGTTTTTTTAACTTAACAGTATCCTCCAAGTAACTTGTCATCTTGGGAGGAAAAAATAACAAAAACAGAGTGATGTTATAAGAATCGTTTATTCAATGCATTTGTTTGAACTATTACTGTTACACCGTCATCTTTTTTATTGGTTCCACCTCAAAATCAATTGGCAATGAGGCAGTAGCACATGGGTATGTAATCAATTGGCAAAGGGGATTTTAACACCCCCTCATCAATTGGCAATGAGGGAAGTAACACATAGATATATAATCAATTGGCAATAGGGGAAATAGTATATGGGTATATACGGTGATCAAGTTAATTTCCCAACTTTCACTTGTTTTCAAGTTCAAAGGGGATTTTAACACTCCCTCTTCAAGCCTAAAGGGGTTGAACAAGACCCCTTTGAACAATCAAAGGCCCAATATGAGCCAGTCAAACCGAAGAAACCGTTGGATCGGTCAAAGTCCATCCCACAATGTTCGCAGATTAAAATCCATTCTGATACTATCTTGAAGGCCCATATAAGCCCACATGTGGTTTCACCTCAAAACTAATTGGCAATAAGGGGAATAGCACATGAGATAAATATGGTGATCAAGTTGGTTTCCCAACTCTAATGTGGAACAAGTGTCTTTCACTTGTGTTCAAGTTTAAAGGGGGATTTTAACAAAACACCCGAGACATATGATAATTGGTCAACGGATCTAGTGAGTTATGGATTTCTGATAATAGATTCTCCAATCTATCTATATACTATACCAAGGCAAAAACCAGAGAGAGAAAACTAAAGGCATGGAGCACATGCCATATAGGATTTAATCCTATGTGGCATTTTCTTAATTTCTTAGACTTAAAAATGCACAAAACAAAATAACAAAACAAAAAAAAACCAACTAAAATAATTTTAAAAAAAAATCCCGGCAAAAAAGACGCGAGAAGCATAAGGTATCCCTCGCATCTCTCATCCTCGAGAACAAAAGGAGAAGATTAAGGAAGAAGAACAAGAAAGATAAGATTGGAGACAAATAAGTGAATATAATAAATGTTTTTAAATTTTTTAATCTCGCAGGAGGATAAATATAAGTAATAATTAATAAGATTTTGCTTTTAAAATAACAAAACTATTCTAAATTTAATACCATTGGACTACCCCCGTTCGATTACGTTTGTTAGACCAATGCTTCCTCTGCCTCAGCTTTAGTTTTGTAAAAGGAATGAATTTGGTCCTTTACCTCTTAAATGAAGATGATAAATCAAAATTGACTATTTCATCTCACGTGATATAACAATTTTGGACCAAAACGTGAAAATGAAATGTAAAGGCTTACATAAAAGACACCCCCAATATCATTAAGAAATGCCTAGGGTAAATTTGCAATATCATTAAGAAAAAAAAATAGATACCCACTATACAGTAATTGTGGGATATTATTAAAAATAAGTTGAGAGAGATTAAATTTAAATATGCAAATAACTTCAGTGATATTATTAATGTGGTAAAAAAAATGATTCTACCTTAGAATCAACGAAAAAAATGATTCTACCATAGAATGTCATTAAAAATAAGTTTAATGATTTTGATTTAAATTATTACAAGATATATAATTATTCAATTCAAAGTTGAATGCTTTGTTTTTTCTTTCTCAACATTCCACATTATGCTGAAAATTTATCTAATAATGAATAATTTCATTTTCTCTATATTATGATTTATATTGTATTTGGTAGAAATTTTCATCCATTAAATCTCTATTTTATAATTTCCATTTAAGTTTATTTGACCGTCCGATTAACACCTTTAAATTAACAAATTATTTTATTTGCCACGTCCAGTTTTTAACCATGACCAATTATATGCCGCCTTATCAATAGTCACTTCGAGACAAGGAATCAAGAACCTCATATGCGATGAATGTGGTAGCGTCAATTTAAGACTATGAATTTCGTACAGAGAAGTATTGCAGGACATATAATCATTCAATTCAAAGTTAATTATTTTTCTTTTCTATATTCCCTTTTTTTAGATTTTTTAAATAATTCTCTTTGCATTAAATAAATTATTACCATTTTGTAAAGTATTATTGATGTTTGTGTTTTATATTTTTCAATGAAATAATTATATAATTTATAATTAACATTTTATAAAAGTACAAAATTCATAGAAATAGTGATATTTTTATTACTTTGCTTGTGTTGTAATGTCTATATGTACATGTTCTCTCCGTTCATTGGACGGGTCTAACACCTAGTTTTATGTAGTGTATATTTGCTAATCTTCTTCGATTCTAGACTAGGTTGTTTTTTCATTTTCCGTTGACTTTTGACTTTGACGACCGAAATCCTTTCTTCAAGTTTATGGCTTTTTGGCCTTTGCGAGGACAACAAACATTGGAAGTTTCTCGCAGATACGCTACTAATGAATGAGCGCAGGCAAAACTGGCTTCCAGAAGAACGCGGGAAAAAACAAATGTGTTTGCGATGTGAATGAAGAATTTGCAAGTTACTATAGCTTATGGGAAGTTGTCATATATGTACACGAAACTTAACTCCGTCATCTAGAAAAGTTTGTCAAAACCTTAACGATCAATTAAATCTTAAGCGTTAAGCCCACTGATCACCTAAAACGTTTAACTGTATAACACAATGTAACTATGTGTATTAAAAATTCATTAATCCTCTTAGATTCTTGGGGTAATTGTTAGCTAAAATGAAAGGATAAAAAGGTGAAGAATACCTTTCTTTGGTCAATATTTTAGAAACATTTCTTCGAACTTAGGTCAGGAATGACGTCTGCTTCCTAATGTCCAGGTACCTAAACCCCAAAAAGCTATAATTCGGGAATTAGAATAATGTTTATCCGGTCTAAAAGTGCATAGACCGCCATGACTACTATAAATAGCAATCTCAGTATTGCTGATTCAATCATTCAAACTCAAAACACAGATTTTTTAGAATCTTAACAGGTTTTCCGACATAAACCCAATTCAGTTACTCCTATTTCTTTCTTTCTCCTTGATTCATAAATATCATCGTTTCTGTCTTACGCAATCTTGATTGAAAACCTGAACATGGAAGCTCTTCAATATACTTCTTATGGTGGTGGTGTCGCTGGCTTAAAGGTAATTCATTTCCTAACTTTTTTCCCCCATGATCATTGTCCCTAATTCAATTGATCCTTTCCTTTTGGGGAAGTTAAATTTCGTAGCGATTTTCATAATGTACGAATGTATAATGATAGATCAATTTCTGATGTTCATGGAAACTCTGTTTTAAAACAGCATGTTAAAGTTCCGATTCCAGAGCCAAAACAGGATGAATTACTTGTCAGAGTGGAGGCAGTAAGTTTGAATCCATTCGATTGGAAAATTCAAAAGGGCATGCTTCGCCCCATAATGCCTAGCAAGTTCCCTCACATCCCTTGTAAGTTTCTTTCCATTTCATCATAATCAACTCCGGCAATTAGGATTTGAAATGTAGTATTATGATTGGCCCTGTTTACAATGCACATCAATATATAGAGTACTGAATTCTGATGATCGGAAAGTGCAGGCACTGATGTTGCCGGAGAGGTAGTTAAAGTTGGTTCTGCTACAAAAGGTTTCAAGCCTGGTGACAAAGTCGTAGCCATGCTCAGCCCCCTTGTAAGTTGATTGTGATATTATAAATAAATATCCCCTTTTTGTTATTGCAGCCCTATGATGTTTTGTCTGTACTAATTACTGTGTAATTTTGTTATTTGTTGATGGAAAGAACAGAATGGTGGTGGGCTGGCAGAGTATGCTGCGGTAAAGGCCAACACGACAGTTCACCGGCCAGACGAGGTTCCGGCAGCCGAAGCCTCGGTGTTGGCAACTACCGGAATGACAGCCTACCAGGCCCTGAGAAGAGTCGGCGGGCTAACCAGCCGCCCTATTAGAAACATTCTGATCACGGCGGCCTCAGGCGGTGTGGGCATTATGGCAGTTCAACTTGCAAAACTATTGGCTCCCAACTCTCATTTGACCGTAACTTGTGGTGCCCGGAACTTCGAGTTCATGAGGAGCTTAGGAGCTGATGAGCTTCTCGATTACAGAACTCCAGAAGGGGCTTCTCTGAAGAGCCCATCTGGGAAGAAATACGACTTGATCATCGATGCTGCTTCAGGGATTCCATGGTCGACATTTGCGCCGAACATGAGTGAAGATTCGAAGGTTGTGTACTTGACTCCCAATCTCAACTCATTGTTGTCTGTTATAATCAGAAAGTTGACATTCTCCAAGAAGAAGGCAGCCTTATTGTTCACATCTCAGAACAAGGAGGATTTGGATTTTCTGGTTCATTTGGTTAAGGAAGGGAAGCTCAAGGTGAAGATTGACTCCAAATACCCTCTCACCAAGGCTGATGATGCTTGGGCTAAATGCATTGATGGTCATGCCACCGGAAAGATCATTGTTGAGCCCTGGAATTAATTGAAAATACATTGTACTATAGTTTACTGTGGTTTATACAAAATTTCGTAGTGATTTATTTTTTCTGTTCTTTTTCTTTTGGAAGATTGGATTAACGTGTGAATGGTGAGATTTGAATACAATATAAAAATGTCTTCTATTGTGAGTAATTGGTGTCATGTCACGGTATCTTTTTTTTTTTTTTGGTCATGTCACGGTATCTACACTAAAGGTATATTTATTTCGTTTTTTTAGTGTGTATTTTTAAGTATTTTTTGTATTAGAAATGTAAAAAAATATATTAAAAATATAAAAAAATGTGCTGAAATGAGACATTTATTATTAAAATATTCTAAAAAAACCATCCAAAAAATCAAACAAACAGAGCCTAAAAGTCATCCCTGAGTGACACGTAAAAATTGAAAAATTCTATTATATATAGAGAGATTATGAAGTCTTTTACTAAAAATATACTCAAAAATACTTTGACTGGAATGTTTAGAGTGTTATGGACTTTGATAGTTTCTTAAAAATACTCTCTCTCCCAAAACAAAATAGTGTACACTTTAAATCTTAATGTAGAGTATTTTGTTTTGGACTTTTGGGACCCATGGAGTAACATTTCTCTGAAATACAAAATGTACTTTACAACGTTGAAATAATGTGGTGTACTATGTACATTGATACTTTCAACTGATTCATAATATGATGTTTTACGCAGAACATTAGTTATTTTGCTGCATGACATCACTCTAGTAGTCTTTCATTAAAGTGTAAAAAAAAATTGTAATTGAGTTAAATTAAATTTATAATTATGTTTTAATGTCAAAATTATTTAATATATTTCATCAGATCGAACATAAATGTCGACGTTAATTAAATTAACTATTCACACATTCAAGGGCATGCAAATTTTGATTATGAAATTTAAAGTAGAGATTGACTCATGATATCCCTTTTACCCTATTAAAGCAGAAGACATGAAACTTATGTGGCAATTACGTATGTATCTGTTTTGGCTCCAATGCACTATATTTCAGATTTCATGAGTCTTTTTGCCACGTGTATGTCTCTTTTAATTAGAAGCTATATAATTTTTTTTTAAAAAAAAACACATGTTTTACTACAAATAAGGATCAGTCACATTTCAAACGAATTGATATATTAATTCAAATTCAAATGTCCAATCGCATAGTTTTGCAGGCTTAATATAAACAAAAAATAAAAATACCTAAATCTAGCAATTAAGAATAATGCCTTATAAATTAATTATTTATTATTCCCTTATAACTTCAGATTTATAAGTATATTTTTAAGCCCCAAACCATAGCATAAATGATATATACGCCAAATTAATTCCTCAAAAAATAGTAATTCAATTAGATTTTAATAAAATAGTAATTTAGAAGGAGCGCTCGGGCATCTGCCTGGGCCAAACATCTAGTTATATATATAACTGTTCGTTACATTGAAACCCTGATTATAATAAATTTATTTCAATCTATAAAAACTACATATTCTGTTATATTTGATTATGATTAGTTTGGTTAGAATATCTAAGTATATTTTTTCAATTAAGATTAGTTATCTTGGAATATCTAAGTATATAATAAAATTGTTTGGAATTGACATTTAGTGTAATTTAAGATGATTTTTTTGAAATTTTTTATTTTTTCTTATAAAATTCAAAAATATCTAAAGATACGTATAGTTAATTGTCTTATACACCTAAAGATTCCTCTAAAATCCTTTAAGAAAACTCTTTTTTTCCTGTCGACAAATAGAAAATCAACTAAGTTAACCATTTAGACGATCAATTTTGTTCTTACATTATATATGTAATTTTTTGGGTACAAAAGGGAGTAATTTTTTTAATTTATTTTCAAATCGAGCAAAGTTGGGATAAATCCAGTCAAAGTAATGACAAACCATTACAGTCACCCAAACTCTAAAAAAAAGGATCGTGCTGCTAAGCGCCCTAATTTTTTCATTTGAACGCCCTAAAAAGACGTACACGCCCCTGCAAAATAGAGTTACATTGGTTTTTTTTTACAAAAAAAAATGTATGGCGAGGGAAGAATAAGCCAAGCCACCCCTTTAAGGGGTGGCGAGAAAATCTTCGCCACATACCGAAGGTGTGGCGCCCTTCTGGGCGCCACATTTGTGGTGGTTGGCGAGCATTTTGCTCGCCAACCAAAGGGTGGGTGGCGCCATTTTGCGCGCCACCCACCTTAATTAATTTTTTTTTTTAATTTTTTTATTTTTAATTTATTTATTTAATTATCTTTAATTTAATTATTTTTAATGTGTTTAATGAATTTCTTTATTTACTTTAATTATTAGTTTAATGAATTTATTTAATTCATGTATTTATTTAATTCGTGTATGTTCTTAATTTATTTATTTATTAAAGCTTATTTATTTTTTTGGTGGTTAAACAAATAATTTTAACTTAAATATTTAGAGAATGTTACTTAATTATGTAGTAAATTTTTATAAAAGTTTATCATTAAGTTATGTAAAATTTTTTTAAACGTAAATAAAAAATTATCATTTAATAAAAACTAAAACTTATGAATTTACATCAAACAAATTAATTATTCATCATCGGTGCATCTAGCCGTCCTGGAAATATTTTTTTAGAAAAAAATATAAAATTTAAAATATGTTGAAACGAAAAATTAAAAACATGGAAAAAAAATATAAAATACTTTTATTTATTTATTTAATTTTTTAATATTTTTTCAACCGCCAAATAGATAAATAAAAAATAAACTTAAATAAATAAATAAATAAAATAATTAATTAAATAAATTAAAAATAGAAAAATTTAAAAAAAAGTAATTTCGGTTTGGCGAGCAAAACGCTCGCCAAACCGAAGGGGGTGGCGCCAGATTTGTGCGCCACCCCCATTTTGGGGGTAATATTCTCTCTCGCCTCCCTTAATTAGGAGGCGAGAAAATTGTGCGCCACCTTTAAAGGGTGGCGCATTTCTCCTGCGCCAGCCTTTCAGTGCTCCGTCACCCCCACCTCTTTTTTTTAAAAAAAAGTATGTATATAAGGGTAAAATAGTCTTTTTATAATTTTTTAGGGCCTTCAAATGAAAAAATTAGAGCGTTCAGTAACCTCCCAAAAAAAATAAGCGATAAAGGGCGCGAAATCTGGTATTAAAAAATTATTTATTAATATAATCTCGGATTTGGGGGTATGTTCCGATGAATATCGTGGTCAAACAATATAAAAAATGGTTTAATATCATGTATGGTCAACAATTTGACTTGTGAGGTAGACAAAAAATAAAAAATAAAAAAAATGTGTGCACTTTTTTCCCAAAATATTTGTCTAGCCCATAAAGTAAAAATTTTGAACTGAATAATCATTTTGCAAATATCAAACTTAATGATAATTTAATAAAGAAACCTCCCATGATCACATCTAGAAAAAGGGGAAAAAAGTTATAGTCCCGTAGGCCCGATTGAAATTTCTTTTTAAATTAAGCTGGGCAGTCAACACGTTTTGGATTAACGCTAATAATCAAAAGAGAAATTCAACCTTTTGATGACGGCCAGCAATTCGACTTTTCAGAAGCTTCTTGTCGAATAATTAATTATTCGATTTAACCTCCAAGTCACCCCCCTTCCCCCACTCCATTACTTATATATATAGCTTTGATTGATGCTCTTCACATTTCGGTAGCCCATCTGGATCATCTTCCATTTCATTCTCTCTTTCATACAACACACAAACGAATTTTCATTTCATACAGTCAATCAAATCATTCCGAGGATACGATTTCTGATATGGCGGCTAGGCTTATGAAGGCTCTTCAATACAGTTCTCATGGAGGGGGAGCTGCTGCTTTGAAGGTACTGTTTCTTACCATCATCTGCGATCGTGCTTTTTTCTTTTTTCTTTTTTTTTTTTGTCTGGGAATTGAGATACTATGTTAGGTAAGATTTCATGGATAATATAGACTCAGAAAAATGGCGGGATCACGGAACGTTTCTTTTTTTTTTTTTTTTTTTCCTTCCCCTGATATTTGAGGCCAACTGGATCAATTCTTCTGCATGAATAGTTGAAATTTCTCGTTAGATGTGATGATTTTTGAAAGTTAAAAATCAACCCTTCCATGAATTTGCTGTGGTAATTTCCAAAATATTTTCGCGTTTTCAGATTTCTCGACATGTTAACTACTACATGTTTCCGGTTTTTGAAATCTCTGTTTTATTGACCCGTAGCTGTTTGCTAAAATTAACAAGTGATGTGGTTCGCCTTTTCTTAAAATGCACGTTGTGGAATTTTGAGTTTTATGCACTCACTGTTTGATTGGTGAGTTTTGTTGTTATGTGGACCCATGGTGGAAGATCCAAGCAACAATTAATTATTCAATTGAAAACTGAAACTTGATTGGTGATGAACTCTTCTATGATTCCTTACCATTCTGTTCATTGCAGCATGTTGAAGTTCCAGTCCCAACACCTGATAAATTTGAGGTATTGCTCAAGATGGAAGCGACAAGTTTAAACCCCATCGACTGGAAAATACAACAAGGAGGCATTCCTTTCTTTCCTCGCAAGTACCCTCACATTCCTGGTGAGTTGAATGATATTCGAAATTTTTTTTAGATTCTTCAATTACGGTATTGTTGTATACTTTGGGTGACCACGCTTTACTTATACATGGAATATGAAGTTTACCATTTCCTTCACACTTCTGTTTTATTAAAGAATGGTTTTGTCATTGTTGGAAGAGTCGATTCCATTTCAACCTATCGACTAAATGCCTTCCTTCTAAAACCCCGAAGAATATTATGTGCCCCACAACTTCCTTTAGTCCTTGTAATGATAATAATGAAATTGAATGCTAGCTTACGTGGGCTATCTGGATTGTTGTTATTGGTCTGCAATGTTCGTCCTGAGATGCTTGGATTCCTTACGCGTATTTGTTAATTGGCGACATTTACCTGCTATGTGTTTACGTATTTTCCTAACCTGTGGTTACAAATTTAGGACTTTAACGCTATCCAAATTGAAGATTTGGAAACGGTTGTAACAACAACCACAACAGTAATAATAACAATAGCTATACAAAAATTCATGGTTGAGATTATTTCAGATTCTTGTCAGATATAGCCTTTCTTTCACTTTAGTTAAGTTGCTTAACTAAGCTCTGTTTCTCTGTTAACTGTGGTTTGGAAACTTTGGATGGAACAGCAACTGATATTGCGGGAGAGGTTGTGGAAGTTGGACCTGGAGTAAAAGATTTCAAAGTTGGTGACAAAGTTGTGGGCTATCGTCCTAATTTCGTAAGTTTTTCTTCAGTAATCTTTCGTCGTTTTGCAGTTCACATCTCATCGTTTTTTGAAAGAAAGGATTTCATTAAACTTGCTGGAAATAAGCCACTCATCTTAACCACTGTCATGTTATGTTTATTTCATTGTTTCCCCACTCTCTAGACTACCTAATTTTACATCCCTTGCGAATTTTTTTGTAGTGTTAGGAAGTTTTTATTCATTGATGTTTGAAGAAATGGTTTCATATCACCTTAAAAGCAGCCTCCTGAGAATTAACTGTTGCCCTCCTAAAGGGAACTTCCTGATGCCATTTCAGAATCTTCTCTACCTTGTTGTTTTCAAATAATTTGACAAAGAAATAAGGCACAAAGGCAGGAGGAATGACATGGCCAAAAGGAAAATTGTCGTGAAAATGTACATGGTATAAAATGATATTGTCCCCAAACAAAAAAGACAAGTTATTCATATATGCTTGGAGATAGGCTTCACCTGCAGTAGTTTGTGTTTGAATTTGTTCTGATTTATTCTTCTTCCTTGCAAAGGTTTCTTTGTTCAGTAAACAATGTCACAAAGGAATATGTCATCATTTCTGTCATATCCTTTGCCTTAGTTACTCATTACTACATCAACTTGCAATCAATTTTTTGTTTGTTCTGAATTCAATTTCTTTGAACTCTTTCTTAACTGAGTTGATGATTAATGGCAGAGTGGTGGCGGGTTAGCTGAGTATGTCGTCACTAAGGAGAACTTCACAGCTGCTAGGCCCTCTGAAGTATCAGCTGCTGAAGGGGCATGCCTCCCTGTCGCTGGGCTAACAGCACATAAAGCTCTTACTACCGCTGATGTCAAACTTGATGGCTGTGGCCCTCAGAAGAACGTTCTAGTCACTGCCGCATCAGGTGGTGTGGGTCATTATGCTGTTCAGTTGGCAAAACTCGGGAACAATCACGTCACGGCCACCTGTGGAGCTCGAAATGTCGAGTTGGTGAAGAGCTTAGGGGCAGATGAGGTCCTTGATTACAAGACTCCAGAAGGGGCTGCTTTGAAGAGTCCATCAGGGAAGAAATACGACGCGGTGATCAATTGTGCATCGGGCATTTCCTGGTCGACTTTCCAACCCAACTTGGCGGCTGAGGCAAAGGTCATTGCTCTGGATACCACACCAAAGGCCTTCTGGACCTATGCTGTGAAGAAACTTACTTTTTCTAAGCAACAACTGATACCGATATTCTCATCGCCAAATCGCGAGGGCATGGAATTTCTGATTAAGTGTGCAAAAGAAGGGAAACTGAAGACTGTAATTGACTCCAAATACCCTCTGAGCAAAGCTGAAGATGCTTGGCAAAGGAGTATGGATGGTCATGCTACTGGGAAGATAGTTGTGGAGCCATGAAAAACTTACGCTGGGGGTGTGAACTGTGGATTATTGCGGAATTCGAGTGCTTCCATGTAAATGTGTGAGTGGAAGAGTAATAATATATTATAGAAGAAATATGCTTGTGCTGTTCATCTCCATAAGCTTATATATATACAGTATATATAAAGCTTAATAGGAGTTTATTATGTATGTTAATGAGCGGTGTTTTTTTCAATTATTAAAAAAAAAAAGTCTTCCTTTCAGGTTAGCGTGGCTGGTTTATTATTATTTTTCATGATTTCCTACTTTTTAAATTTGCTCGAAAGCAAAATATTATCAATATGGGTAAAAAAAACCAAGAAATGAACTAGAACGTTGGGCTAATGAGGCACGAGTTCATAGAGTTTTCAGCAGTATCAAGGGGGGGGAAAAATGTCTGAGAGGTCGTAAAACAGCAAGATCTTATGATTCCAATTATTCCAAACGCATCAAATTATACTTTCATTAGGGTCTCGTTTAACAATCTAATAAAAAATTGATACATTAGTATGCAAATAGAAATTTCAAATATTTAACGATCACATGCTTTCATACATAGAAACAAAAAAAAGGACACATCGATCCTGTGATAATTATATAGGACCAAAAAGGAAGCACACAACAATACGTGAATGGAAGTACAATGACAAACAATATGCAAAAAATTTATTTTAATCAGTATGCAAAAAAAAAAAATAATAATAATTTGCCTATTTTTTTTTTATTAGTCCTGTACTTATTAGGAAAATGATATATCTAGTGAAAAAAAGATAGTGAATGATGTGAACTTATTTTTTGTCCTAATTTTTTACTATTTTTCATTAAAATTTTATCTTTCCTTAAAAAATTACATTTTTATACTTCATTAATAAATACACATATTTAGTGAGAATAATATATTTGTCTTTTCATTAGTCAGTATACTTTTTCACTATAATTAGTCACTATCTCTATCATTGCTCATACTTATTACTTATTACTCTTTTTGGCGAAAAACAAAGAGGTCAAATTCCAACTGTAGACACGACCGTCGTCAAGCAAACACAATACTTAAATCCATTTCCCAAATTGCGGGCCATTTAAAATCGGAACATTACTTCCTCGTTCCGCTAGAATCCCTGATTTTGGATACTGTTGATTGCATCCTTTCGTTCTCTTCTCCTTGAAGCAGCGAACTAATTTCATCATTTCTGGCGCCGGGATAAGCATACTTCAGAGAATCATTTGGTGGCTATGGCGGATAGACTTATGAAGGCTGTTCAGTACGCTTCTTATGGTGGCGGAGTTGGTGGTTTGAAGGTATATTTCTGAAGCATTTGGCGGGGGAGTTTTTTTGGGTTGGGAATTTGCTACTGTCGTTATTAAGTAACTTTTGTATTTCAACCCGTGTAGCTGATTAGGTATTACTTTTATCAGAGGATCAATTTAGGTTGTTTTTCATTTGATGCTTCGAACTTGAAAGAGTGATTTTCATGGAATAGCGTCTATGAGCTTGTTGTTGGTGAATGGTGATCGGCCCCCTTGTCTGTTTTCTTTCATATGATTTGGATTTCGCAGCACGCTTAGGTTTAGTTGTGCCTTCATAAATAATTAAATAAATTGGTGCTTTTATTTTTTTTTCAAGTGCCTTTAAGTGTTGGTGGATTCAGATTCTTCTCCGTGTGATTACGCCTGAGTTTTATATGTGAGATTTTGTCTTGGAGTATCATTGATTAGGTAGGATGAACTTCTTTTCCTTCCTCTTTCTCGAATGAAAGCTTTTTAACCCTAGGCCAGTGACCACATTTGATTGAATGTGTTGGATAGTTTGGAGTTAGTTTGGCTTTGAATTACAGCTCCCCTTCACTCTGCAATCTGTACTATTGCGTAAGATTTTTCATATTGCTTTTTAAGCAAATTTTACAAGCCCAGTTTAGTTTGCATGTCTTGTATTAGAATTCAGTTTCAAGGTATAAATTGTTGTTTTTAAGGTGCTATACTAAGAAAGTCTTTGATCTTTGATGTGGTCTCTATGTGTTGGCTGGCTAAAATGTTATTGACATAAATTCGAATAGTAACCACTTTTGTTTTAATGTAGCATGTTGAAGTTCCTATTCCTTCTCCGAGTAATGGTGAGATCTTGCTCAAGTTGGAGGCAGCGAGTATAAATCCCGTCGATTGGAAAATACAGAAAGGCGTTATTCGACCTTTCCTGCCTAAAAAGTTTCCTTATATTCCAAGTGAGTTGAACGACATTCATATTTCATAGTTTTACTTTTCTCTCTTATCATATATTTTCAAACTCCTTTAGTTATCAATTTTATCTTATTATTAGTTTTTTGGGTGATTTTGACATGATAGATTTTTGTATGTTACTGCTTTGGTTGTTGACTCTAATTTTGCCGATTGTCCTCAGATGATAATTGTTTTAAGTGTTAGTTCATGGACAATTCTTTTTTTTCTGATCCGGTTTTTAACGAAATGCATCAGGTCGAATTTGAGAATGAATATGCGTGTCTGAATAATTAATTTTATTGAAATGCAAGTTGTCTCTGCAATTTTGTAGAGCCTTAGATAAGTTCCCCGTTTGTACATTCTAGTCTCACAGGGATTAATATCTCCTCAGACGTTTGTTATGTGAGTTGTCTTGGCAATTTTCCAGAGCTTGAGAACAGTTTCTTTTTTCTACCTACTTACTTCATGGGGACTAATGTCTACCCATGTGTTTGGGTGACTTCCTTTACTCACTGCCTGGGCAACCCCTTAAAAACAAATAAAAATGCAGTCTGAACCATGTCGTGGTCTGTCTTGATTGTTGTAATATGTGTATACACAAATTGCTGTAATAAAAATGCTGTCTGAATGATGTTGTAGTCTGTCTTGATTGTTGTAATATGTGTATACACAAATTGCTGTGGTGCCAGCAAATCTTTAATAGCTTGATAACCCAACCACTGATGCCATGTTTAGTGCTTATTATGCTAAGCTTTTATGCGTAATGAAAACAAGAATAATAATGATGATAAATGACTGCCGAAGCATGAACGTTATTCTCAATTCTGGTTTTTGTTGAATCTTCATTTACTTTGTTTGATAAAGCATTGATTTCTTTGCTTTCGGGTGGGTGGACAGCAACTGATGTTGCAGGAGAGGTTGTGGAAGTTGGACATGGAGTGAAAGATTTCAAAGCAGGCGACAAAGTTGTGGCATATCTTGGTTTGGTAAGTATCATTTATTTTGTGTTCCGAGTATTCTGCTGCACATTTGGTGCCATCTGCAGCCCTTCTATTGTCAATACTGCAGCTGCTTGTGAGAGCAGAAGTCTATGCATGAGCTAGGGACCTTTCATTTTTATTCAATGCGTCAATGGAAATTTTACAAGACAAGGGACAGAAGGTTGATCCCTTAAAAAGTCGCTGTTTGCAATCAAGTTGAAGCTTTTTGAAATCTTCGCTGTTATTATTTTTTTTTAACATGATATGATGAATTAAACTCATGAAAGAAACTATGACAAGGAGACAAAATTGTAACAGAAAGTTAGCAAGAGTTTGAATTTGAAGCCAAAAGATAGATGGGGAAATAAATGGAAAGCTTCAATTAAGGAGGTCATCTAAAAAGATCCAAAATGATTACATTAACATAGCTTGCAGTGGTATAGGCAGCTTGGTCTATGGAATTTCCTGCATATGCAGGGGTGGGGAAAGTGTTAGGTTGTTAAGGCTACTGCACATGGTTTATCATTATTTTTCTGTGAGACTTTTCGTGTGGCAGTAGCCTTATCGCTGTAGTGCATCTTGCAATCTTGGAACAAATTCACGAATTTCCTTGCAGAGTAGGTTGACAGTGTATACCATGGGGGAGTACTTCTCATCTCCTGTCCTCTCTCCACGTTCTTTTTATCATTGCCATTTCTTTTGCATTTCCTAAGTGTATTCCATTTCTCCTTTTGTTTACGTTTTCATTTTTCCTTTTGACTGCTGCACTGTTGTGTCGATGGTTTATCCCCTTAAGTCACTTGTAACTGCTAAACTTCTGGTTTCATTCTGTCTTCTAGGTTACTAGTACTGCTATAATTAGGCTCATGTTTTCAGTAAGTTACTAGCACTGCTAAAAACTAACTGAGCATTTTCCAGTTTGTCTCTTATCAACTTTCCTGAATTACTTTGGCTTTAAATGGCAGGGTTCTGGTGGTGGGTTTGCGGAATATGCTGTTGCTAAGGAGAGCTTGACTGCTGCAAGGCCTCCTGAAGTATCAGCTGCGGATGGAGCATCTCTTCCAGTTGCTGGGCTTACAGCCCATCAAGCTCTAACCGAGGTTGCTGGTGTCAATCTTGATGGCAGTGGTCCACAGAAAAACATTCTTGTTACTGCTGCTTCTGGAGGCGTGGGCCATTATGCTGTTCAATTGGCTAAGCTGGGAAACACACATGTGACCGCCACTTGTGGAGCTAGGAACATCGATTTCGTGAAAAGCTTGGGGGCAGATGAGGTAATTGATTACAAGACGCCAGAAGGAGCGGCTCTAAAGAGTCCCTCTGGTAGAAAGTACGACGCAGTGATTCATTGTACATCAAATATCCCCTGGTCGACTTTCGAACCCAATTTGAGTTCAAATGGTAAGGTCATAGATCTCACTCCACCACCAAGTACCTTTGTGTCATATGCTGTGAAGAAATTGACGTTTTCGAAGAAGCTATTGGTGCCTATGTTCATGAATCCGAAACGTGAGAACCTTGAACTTCTTGTTAAATTGGTGAAAGAAGGAAAGCTGAAAACTGTGATCGATTCGAAACATCCTCTGAGCAAGGCAGAGGATGCTTGGGCAAGGAGTATTGATGGCCATGCAACTGGGAAGATCATTGTGGAGCCGTAGACGAAAGGTTGAGTTGATTTAGCTGTTCTCAATATGCATCTAGAAAAGATTGAGCTATGTATGTTGTAGTGTGCAAAATTACTTTAGGCGCTAGTCTGGTTGTAAATGAAAGATCATGAATTCTACTTTTATGATTATGATGTTAGTTGGACTATTCCAGACAATAAAATGTTCTATATTGTATAAGCGTAGCTGAAAAATACGTTTTCTTTTTTTGCCTATAAAAAAATTACAGGGCTATCATTCTGTGGGAGAAAAAATTACAATATGAACAAGTTTGACTTAGATAAGTCGTATCTTATATTTGATTAAAACCATCAGAAAACGAGATCAAAAGCCAAATTATTCATACACCCGTCACAGAGGAACTAACGAATATCAATACGGTGAAAAGCTATGTTGTTAAAACCGGATCGGACCGGCCGGTCGGACCGGTTCGACCGGAAATCGGACACCATACTAGTCCGAATTATTAAAAAATCACTTGAGTAAAAAATCGGTCAAAATCGCGGTTTGACCGAGAACCGGTGAAAATCGGTTGACTCCGGTTTCACAACTTTCCCCCAAAAAAACACAAAATGTTTCATTCCCATCTATTCTATAGATATTATACTAAGAGAAAAAGCAGAGAGAGAAACCAAAAAAAAATTCTAAAGGTGTCACATAAGATTTTTATCCTATGTAGCAATTATCCAATGCATTTCTCAAATATATCTTTGTACAATTATACTAAAGTCCTTAAAATTTCTTATAATTATAAGTTTAACAAATCGCATTTAAAAGTTACTTAGTTCAAAATAGAAAACGGGACATATCAAATTTGATTCCTTCCATAAATAATCCCCAATTATTATTAATTGATTGATTTAAATTGTAAGTTCAAAATGACCACAATTATCCTAAAATCTCGGAAACATAATGACCTAAAATTAAAAAATGAAAATAATCAAATTTAATGGATGGGTCTAATCAACATTAATGCGCCGAAATTAATCCCTCTCAAAAGAATCCTTAAAATTACTATTGAATTGATTAAAAGCGGATAAAAATAAGTATGGCAAAAACCCCTCAAAATACACTCAGTGTACTATAACCTAAACCTACGTTTAATACATAATATATAAACTATTATAAAATATTTATAGACGCTGATAAAAAAAACCCAAACCTACGTTTAATGCATAATATGTAAAATATTTAATTCATGCTCCGGTCTTATCCAATATTATTAACGATTACTTATCCATTCAAATTTCCTTTTTTACTAATAAGGTGTAAATTGATATGCGTAAAATGAAATTAAATTGAAACAAATCCAAAATTCAAAAAGTATGCGTATTTGATGACAAAAATTTTGGTAATGATCGCTAAAACCATGGAGGAAATAAAAGAAAGGGATTGGGTTCATGAATTTAAATTTTAAAAAATAATCCTTAAATTATATATGATAATGAACATCACTAATATTAAAAATATATACCTAAAATGTCTCAAATCATTAAACTCCATCTTCATCAACTATATGTAACCAAAACGTCTTTTCCCTTCCTCCTACGTGAAATTAGTTTTTTGCTTATTATTTAGGGGATGGATTTTTGAAGCCACCCACTTTAGTAGTCAAAGCCACCAAAAAAATTTTTGGACCATTTTGTCCCTGTCATTTAATAATATTTATACTTTAATGGTTAAACTCTTGATTTTATATTTATTTAAAAATAAATAAGTAATTAATTTTTACTTGAAAACAAATTCAAGATTATTCGTTAAGTTAATTTAATTGAATTGATATTAAAATATAAATTTTACTTCAAGCATTATTTTAAAGATAATTTTTAGTTAAAATAATAATTATACATTTATAGTAAAAAATTATAATTGTACTACAAAAATTGTGATAAATATGTGCAAATAGATTAACTATTTTTTGTAAAACAAAGATTGGTGATACTTAATGTAACTCAAATAATAAATTTATAAATTTAATAACCTAAAAACTAGATTAACTAATTACAAAAAAAAAATCTAAAATTTTAAAAATTAAAAAAATTGAAAATTAAAAAAAAAACCCGGCCGACCGGGCGGTTCACCCGTCCCGGGTTAACCGGGGACGCGCAAGGAACGCGTCCTCTTGTTCGTCTGAACGCGCTCATTGCACGTCCCGAGTTAACCCAGGACGCGCAATGAACGCGTTCGGGCGAACAAGAGGACGCGTTCCTTGTGCGTCCCCGGTTAAACCGGGACGGGTGGACCGCCTGGTCGGCCGGTTTTTTTTTTCAAATTTTTTTAAATTTTTTAAAATTTTAGTTTTTTTTTGTAGTTAGTTAATCTGATTTTTAGGTCATTAAATTTATGAATAATTTATTATTCGAGTTATTTTAGTCAAGTTATTTGATTTGAAAAAATAATAAGGGTAAAATGGTCCAAATTTAAAAGTGGTGGCTTCAAGTAGTAATCTTGGTGGCTTGAAAAATAAACACCCATTTACATTATTTACATCACAGTTTATACAAAATAATTTTGGGATTCAATACTACGTTTTTCTTCACGTTTGACTCCATCGTGTCTCTTTAAAAACTAATTGATTTTTTTCCCTGTACAGAATTAATTATCAAATATCAACCAAAGTTGGATCATTCACCTTGATAATGGGGAAGAAGTGCTCACCGATTTATCTACTCTGGAATGTCGACTAATAAGGTTTGTCATAATATTGCTCCTACTCTTTTAAGTGCCTATTTGGGGGTGTTCAATTTAGTTTCGTGATATTGATTTTTATCAAAATAAATTAATTAGTTTGATGTACTGAAAATTTTCTCACTTTGCTTTTATCTATTGGTGATTGAACCACTGGACAATATATGCGATCATATGTCTAGAATTAAAATATATTCCAAATCATGGATACATTTTTTCTTATAAAATATATGATTTAATAGAGGTTGGTATTCCTAATCATGGATGCATTTTTCCATATACAATGGATGATTTAATAAACGTTGGTGTTATGATTCCTTTGAAAATTACTTTGGAGTTTGTTGTATTTTCGTGCTTTTTGGGTTTTGAATGTTGCCAGAAAATAAGATAATGAGAAAAAAAAAAAAAACTACTATTGATAACTCATGTATGCTTTTTATCTTTGACCTTTTGCCAATGAACGAATAAATTTATATTACCGTTTTGAATTTTGAATTTTGCAAATGATGATTATACGATATTTTGGGTAATGCGTTGATTATCTAATCAAAATCCCTACAAATATTCTATGAAATTTAATTAAAAGTTTGTATTTAATACAGAATGAGAATCGTGAATAACTTTTCCGGTTTAGTATATGTCATCTTAACTCGAGATCACTTACTATATTTGCCAAAAAAAAAATCAACATCAGTCTTATATTAAAAAATTCTGTAAAATTTATAAAATGAATAAATAGTTAAAAGATAAATAGTTAAAGATTAGAAATTTAATCAATATCATGTGCCGCACAATTTTATTTTATTTTTTCAAAACACTTACTCTATAATAGAGAAGTGTTTTTTCATTGATATTGAATACTCAATTGATCAAGTTGTATTAGACTTTTGCTTAGATATTGGTATTTTTGTATAGACACAAAATGTTTGCTTAGATATTGGCATGTTTTTGTATAGATACAAAACGTTAATATCGACTCTGATTAATTTGGTTCTTCAATAGAAGTTTTTATTTTTCGAAAAGAGGTGAGGGTTGAAATGATGAAATTTAATATGAAAATCATTATAACATGATCGAATAAACCTGAATTTTTATACCCGCACATCGTACGGGTAATATCTAATTCCAATTTTATACCAATTCTCAAAAAATCTCACACAATTTCTGGAAACATATTCAATTCCGAAACTTCCATGACGTGTTTGTATCATTCTAATCTTTTTCTAATTCAAAATATCTTTATTTCTCTTATCTCAACCTACTTCAACACAAAAATAAAATAAGAAAAAAGAAAATTCTTATTCAATAGAAAATGAAGATAAAGAAATAGATGAAGTTTGAAGACTTGAATTAATTGAGATTAGGTATAAAAAAAGGAGAAAAGGAGAAAAAGAAAGATGAAATCAGAAGGCTCCGAAATGGAGAAGAGAAAGAAAGAAAAGAGAAGGGGAAAAAAAGGAGGGGGCGGCGGCTGGGGAGGAAAATGGGTAGGGTTTTATTTTGATGTTCTTAAATATAGGTTATGACGCTCATAGTCTATATTACGAGTAAAATGACTTAAAAATTTAACATAATACTCAATTTTTAACTAAATTTCATAGTTTTTGAAGTATTATATTATTATAAATATTTAAATTAATTTATTATAACATAATGACGTCACCGACATTTTAGAGCGGTGAAAAGTACAAGAGAATGCATTAAGGCTAATGATACACAAGTAACAAGTTTATAAACTTTTCAATTTGTCGAGATCGGAGCTGATCACGCGATAGAGCAATGAGCGATCATACTATTTCATTCCCCAAGATCAATCTTACGCATGTATTATCAAACTATTTAGAAGGTTTTGACTTTTGATTAGTATGGACCCCATCAAATCTTAATTATCTAGAATTTTTGAGAGTACACAAACATACCGACAAAATGAGAGGTAAGGATTCTCCGTATTAATAACGAACTGTTTGTTACTTCGGTAATAAAATCGTTATTCAGATTGGATTTTGAATTTTTGATTAGACAGATAATTGTCCTAAATCCGTATAAAAAGCCTTAACGACCGCCATCGAGCACAATGAAAATCCTTAATACTAATAATAACGAGAATAATCATATCTCGGTGTCCCTATAAAGATTGAATGTCGGTGGAGCCCTTTCTCAAATCAGATTTTTTTATTCCACATTTGCGGCCCCGTTTGGAATTGAAATACTTGCACCCTTAAATTCTTCGAATTTTGCTGCTCCGTTTTACCATTTGCTACCTCTTTGAACTGCGTTCTTTAAATTCTTTTGCTCTCTCTTGGACA